TTCCCAAATATGTTAGAAACTAACATGAAGGTTAAAGTCAGATGTTTACAAAATAAATAGAGCAATTTCATATGTAAGATGGCGCCAATTAATGCACATTCATGGTATTTTTCCTCTAATTTTGACCTTAGAAAATAAATATCTGCACAACTACTAATTGATGATAAACACTCAGCTTTTAAGAAAATATATGCTAATGAGTCTGATCATGAACATGGTATTTTTAGGTGATCATGGTGTATAAAGAACCATAAAAATCTACATTAGTAAAATACTATTAAATGCTTTAACACCATACCTGCACAAGCTGGTCATGAATAGCATCATGACAAAATAATGTCTGGACATCTGAAGAAAATCCTTCTATCTCAGTTTCCTCCAATTCATCCTCAAGATTCATCGCCAAAATACGTGTCTCGCTAATAAAGCTAACAACTAAGAAAGTGTCATACGGATCATCAGTAGCTGATCTTAACGACCACATTCCTTTGATTCCTTGAAGCTCTACAGATGCCTATAAATGCCATTGAAAATAAATTACACTGAGAAAATAAGATCGAACAAATTGACAAGCAGAAACTTATCAAAGCCGTACCTGCTCATTTATTCCAATACCATTGCGCACAATGCGTAGAGAACCATCTTTATAGGCTCCTGAGCAAGTTACAACCTGACCTTGACCTTGCCTCTCTAAGTCAACCACACAGAAGTCCACAATTGGCCCCAAATTTACAAACCTTTCAAGAACTTCCACATAAGAACCTTTTGCATCCGGATGAAGGTTAATCTTTATGAGCTGGATTATATACAAATACAATCAGAAGTAGAAAAGTAATCCATATGATATGAGAATTAGCAATGAATCAGATAATAAGTAGTTGAGAAGATTTACAAAATGAAAGCATTAATCAAATTTATCAAGCCATTTTGACGCAACTCAAGTTTCCCAGCTTGGTAATATTCACCTCAAACTTAGTAACACATGAAAATTAAGATGAGCCACAGCAGACAGATGCTAAGAAATAAGAAGAGAGATTTCTTCTAAAAAGTTATTCCAAGTTCACAAAATTTCTACTCTGTCCATATAAAATCAAGGAGAGCACAAGAAAGTTTCAGACAAAAGCAAACCTGATATCACGCGAAAATCAAAAAAGGCAGACTAACAAAGAAGAGCAAGATTTTGTTGCATCATATATCAAAAAAAAAAATTAAAGTGATTTGAATACTTTATTTTCCTCTCAAGCATCAGATACACGACAAAATGATACGGCACACTCCTATTTCATGTGAAAATTCAAAAGACTGACAGTAGAACAGTGCAATATTTCTTCATACAGAAGCAATAGTCTTATCAATTAAAACATACACATGTCTATTTCTTAGGAAATATAGTTACACCCCGAAGATCAATAGGATTAATATTCTACAAACCTGTGAATCTCCATAACTTGACCCCACAAAAACAACAGCATTATCAAGATATGAAATCGACGATGCAACAGATGTTTCGCCCAGGAGCTCAATTTTGAGTCCAGTGACCCTAGTAGATTACCAATAGAGAACATTAGGCATGTCAAATACAATAAGCCTAGACTTTGAAGCCAAAGTGAAATATACCTATTTCAAGAAACAATGTAATAGAATACAGCAAACTTACTTCTCCTTTTCATGGGTTATGACAAGCAGGTGCAAAATCCCATTATGATCGCCTAGTAAGTAGCGTGAACCATCGGCATCAACCCTTCCATAAGCCCTTGTGATAGACTTCAAAAAGGTAAAACATCAGCAAGGATTACAGTCGTGATTAACATGAGCAGGGATAGAGCTAGAAGCAGATGCATGCAACTTACAGGTCTGACTGGGATTGCTTTGAAAGCTGAGGCACTGCAATACACTATAGTTTCTTCGCCAATAATTAGGACACCACAAAGAGGCGGCGGAACTGGGATCAATAACTCTGCCCCATTATCAAGATTGTTCTGAGACCATGGACCCTCAACAAAATCTTTATCCTTCAAAGCGACCTCATACGTTTTCACATGACGAGCTTCCTTATTATCCTGGAATCAAGTCAATTATTATGACAAGCAGAACGCTAACAAAAATGTCAAACAGAAATTATAAATTCCAAAAGGTACTCCGAAGAGCATCACGCTTGACAAGGAAATAGTATATGGTCTAAAACATAGAAAAATGACTTTGCTGAGGCCATGACTTGGAACCGTCTTAACACCATGAACCATATATCAAGAGAAAATCAAGAATGACAAAGATATTCAATACAAAATATCAAGTAACTCATGCATGACCTAGCCTAGACCCGAGATTTTGAATCAAAATTGGTGACCGTATTAAGGCGACTCGTATGGATACAGAAAATTGGTTCTTCGAAATATGGGAAGACTGCAAGAAGATAAGACAATCACACTAATATTCTTGGATTTGTGCATAAATAAATCAAAACCTGATAAAGTACAACAATTGTTGGTTTCGGACAACCGTACAAAAACTTGATATCCAAAACTTGAAGCTCCTCAAGCCTGATGAAACAACAAAAAAATAGAATGTAAGTTAGAGAGGATATCCATAAACAAAGTCCATTTTACAATGACGAGACGAATATTGTATCATGCTCTAAGCTTGCATTAAATACTTTAATTGTAGTTAGGACACCATATGATTATCATTAATACTTGCTCTTCGAGCTGCAAGTCAATGTATGAACAGCTAGAGGTTGTGAAATGATTGTGCTGGCAAAAACTAGTAAGGTTCATCAAGAGAAAAATTATAGGACTTCGATGTTTAAAATTCAAAGTTGTAGTTTATACTTTTTCTGTTCATATAAATAAGAGTGTCTGACTCACTCGTGGTTCAGTGACACAATCTCAATAACCTTTCTGCATCACTTTGTATAACAAGATTCGACAAGCTCAACATCATATTTGCACAGCAAGAAAAATGAAACTTCATATAAACAGAAGATATTTTAATGATGGGAAATTTCGTCAACTTAATTACATCTTTTCAAAGCATATGCTAAGACACAGGAACTCCATCTTCTTTTAACATGATCATGAAAAAAAAAATTTGCTATCATCAGCAAAGCATCAACTATGAAAGGCAGGACTTGAAGTTAATAGGAACAATTAACAAGAAAATATAACAGGCAACAAATGAAACTAAATCATAAAGTCAAGCATTTCCATGAATAAGATGAATCCAGTTTTCTTCCCCCGTGATACATAACTAGATATTTTCATGGGAGAAAAATACCTAATATTAAATGCTTCTTTGAGCTGGCCTTTGTTATCAAATGGGATGACCTAAAAGAAAAAAGAAAATCTCATAATGAACAGTTAAAACAATGAAAGAAACAAACTTTGAAACAATCCCAAATAAACAAAAAAGAGAATCTACTGATATTCGAGGGGGCATGGAACTATCTATACCTTGAATAATCCATCATACAGGTGAAGTCCGATTAATCTGCAATCTGGATCCACTATACCAATCTACGCGAAAAGAATAGGTAATAATATAGTTATATATCTTCACTGGACAAGTCTGAGATCAAAATTGCAGCATTAAAACCCATAATAAAAAAAAATAGTACCTGTCCGTTGTCCGTAGGACGACCAATTCGATCTGAAACATCCCCCATGGCCCTATTCATATGGTGGAAGCCACCCCCACAAAGATAAACAAATTTCTTTTAGGAATAATGTAGAATAGAAAACCATACCAACAACTATACTAATGATAATCAAATATCATTGGAAATAAAGACTAGTTCTAAGGCTTTATTAGGATTGCCCACAAAACAATAAACTAGGCAACAGAACTGACTCAGATAACTTTGAAGAATTATTGAAAATATCAAAGTCCTAACATATCAGCACACAGTAACAATTTTTCTAAGACGTAATCACCCAAACTTCAACAAACTAGTGCCACACCTTGTAATAACCTCAGAGGTCTCTGCATCCCATTGCAAAACACAGAATTTATATCTTTCTGTGGCTACGAAAAGAAGATCTTGAGCTTCTCCCTGTTAAGTTAATACGAGAGTAAGAAATCAGTGACTTTACATCTACTTCACTAGGTCATGAGAACAAAACAAGTCAGAACACATGAGCTTTTAATCAAATGGAATGTCAAGGAACTAAATGCTTCATATGATAATCTGGATACTTACATGTGGACGGAAGAGCTCAAGCGTTGCAATTCTCCCATAAATTGGCACATCCAACATCGGCTGCAGAGACACATACATTAGAATTATAATCGATCAGGATGAAAGTGAAAATTGAGTTATTCTACTGCCCCTTCTAAAATTGCATTGCTCTAATCCCAGAGTAAATATAGTCCGAAGATATAACCAAGCAGGCCATAATTTCTCGCTCTTCATGGATAATTTATAACATAGTTCAGTATGAAACAATTATTTAGCAGGCCAAGGAAGTAATTTCATAATGAATATCCAATGCAACTTCAGTGATATACCTGTAAGCCTTGAGGCGAGAGTACATGGATCTCTATTCGAGTGCATTTCCTGAAAATTGATTACATTCACTGATTAGTAAAACACATTCCGAACAAAGATAGCACTGGACCAAAGCAATTACACAACACTCAATAGAAAATTCTGAACGATTAAGTTCCACAGCAATAATGCAATAGCATTCCCAGACACAAAATTGAAGCCACAATCATTCATTCGGGAAAAAAAAAAAAAAGAACCTCCCTATTTTCTAACAGGCACATCAATTTCTGTGAAGCGGCGCTGAAAAATAACTAAAAAAATTATAAAAAAAATAAATAAAATTGCGGGTAGAACTTACGCAACGATGAGATTGAGCTCCTGAGGGCCGGTGAAATTGCCGACGCAGGAATGAGTAACGTTCGTCGGTTTGTGAGCCGTCACCACATAATTCCATATACTCATTTTTACCTACTAAACTACTGTGTCTATAAGCCTTGGCTTCTGCGAAATGAAGAAATGAATAAAAACCCTAAACTCCCACTTGGTGTGTATATATACGTGACTGAAGGGAGAGGGACGAAGGATCAGCAGAAATTGCTCGCGAGTAGAGAGAAGCTGCCACACACGGGCGCGTATATCAGTTTATAGAAAGGGAGTGACCAGAAAACGGCGTCGTGGCGTTCAACCTCTAATAGACTGTGGATGGAGTAATATGCATACAAGGGCCAAGGAGTTGTCGAGCACCGGTTGAAGATGTACCAAACGGTGTCGTACTGATTTGGGCTAAAATGTATGTGTAAACCCATTTACCTTTCTTATTTGGGCCGGTCCAATTTATGCAGAAATTGAAATGGGTGGGTGGACGAATGACCCGACCCATTGGTGGTTAACAAACTAATCAATCATTCAATCCACCCTTTTGTTTTATTTTATTTATTAAAATTAAAAAAAAATAATGAATAAATAAATAAATAATAATAAAAAAAAAAAAAGGATGAGCTCCCACAGCACTTATTTAGGATACTCACTGATATGTATATATACACTCACAATGTGAGGTCTTTTTATAATTACAATTGAATGTACATAATTACAATAGTCCATGTTCTAATAATATAAGAAATAACCATATGACCAATCTATATGATTATAACAATGTAATATATTTCTTATTATAATTATTATATTAATTATAAAAAAAATTAGTTAAAATTTATAATTATCTTTTATATATAAACTAAAAACGTTAGGATAACTCATGAAACTCTAATAATTCATGAAGCTCTAATGACATATATATTTATAAATTTTTATTAAATTAATTGTTATTATTTTTTTTTCATCTCATATTTTAAAGTTTTTCTTTTTTTTACTTTCTTAGCAAATCATTTTATTGTTTTGTAATTTCTCAGTTAACCCTTCTTTTACACACACCCATGTAAAGAATTTATACTTTAATTATCAAAGGAGTAAAATAAAATCTCTCTCGCTAACACACGCACTGTGGATTTTTTATTTTTTTTTTGTTTTGCCGACCTAATTTAAATTGATTTTGATGTTATACTTATTTTGGTAATTTGAATTTCACAATTAATTATTTTAATATTGTATAATTTAAATTTGTTTATACAATTGAATTATCATATATTTAAATTTTCTTTTCCAAATATAAAATAGAGAGAATGAGGCAATAATTAAAAAGTAAAAAATGATTCACAAACGATTCACAATATTAATTAATAAATTAATAACATAAAATTCAGAGGGCACCAATGTTCTTGAGGCCCAATACAACCCCAACCCCAATAATGTGACCCACAACCCCACAGCCCAAAGTATCCGCCAGTGTGAAACCCGCCGGGTCACCCGTTTGCAGACCCGAATCCCTCGCCTCCAGCTTCAGACCCGCTGTCGCCTTCCGGTTCGCTGATGGAGCCAATCCAAACCGACCCGCGAACAGCATCAGGCTAGTTGACGTCACCATTATCTGCGTTTTTTCCAAATCCATAATTAAAAAAACATTTCCAGATTCGCATCAAATATATTAAAAATTAAAACTAACTATTTATTTAATTTAAATAAAAAAATTACCAAATTTGTAGGTGAGCCAATGAAATCACAACGAGCGCCCAAAGCACCCTGCCCTCTACGCCTCATTGGTTGAACAGCTACCTGAACACAGAAACATAAATTAATTAGCATTTAGACTAATATTTCTAAAATAAATAGTAATAATAATAATTACCAAAATGTATAAACGAGATCATAAACTAACCAAACTTTTCACAGGAGAAGCAGGGGCAATTTGGGGTTTCAGCCCATTGAACTGCGGAAGAGAAGTCATCACAGCAGATGCCATTTTTTTCTTTTCTTTTCTTTTTTCCCCTGAAAATGCAGTCTCTCAAATATTATTTTTCACTTAAGTGATTGTATTATTAAATAAATTGAAAGTGTTATAAGCTTAGCCACACGAGGAGTTTGTGGCCTCAGAATAGCAGAGCATTGGATACACTTCAGATACTTGCTGCTGACATGGCAGTTTATTATTGGATGATAACTACTGGATAAGATTATGATGTATTACTGGACTTGTTTTTTTTTTTTTTCCCTCCTAAACAAAAGGTGATAATATACTACACAATTTATTTATTTTATCTATTTATTTCCCCCCCCCCCTGAACGAGACACATTTTATTTAAGATCAAACATAATTGATTTATAATTGACATGATATACCACTGGCTCGTGTATCGAAATGCAAGAAAAATAATGTTAAGAAATCCCAGACATTTACATGCGTGTAACACACTGCCCAAGGTTTTCTCTACTTTGGGAGGAGAGCGTGCTTTTTTGGCCTATGACTGATTGATCAATGCCATATCAAAATTATGGGAGTTGAAGGATCACTTGGGAAAATAAAAACTAAAGGAAATATTAATTCATTTAGTTGTATTTTTATATTTTAAGATTGGTCTCTTTGCACCAAAAAAAAGGCGAATCCCTCGCCCCCAGGGCCCCCATCCCTTGGCCCGACAAGGATTGATGGAGGATGTAAATCATGGTAACTCAACGGCCCGTTTCCCTTGGCCCGACAAGGATTGATGGAGGATGTAAATCATGGTAACTCAACGGCCCGTTAAGGTAGCGGACCCGGACCTGGTGCCTACAAGGAACCAACCCTCATTTGGAGTTGAAATTCCCACACTGCGGCTGCCAGGATTCGATCCTAGGACCTTGCACCAACTTACCACCTCCGGAACCAGTTGAGCTACACCCATGCGGGCAGATTGGTCTCTTTGTTTATAAGCACGGGCGTTGTTTATAATTACACGTGGAAATTGGAACAATTTTTTTTTATTTTTTTTATTTCTGCCTATTTCTATTCGGAATTTTTCAATTTTAGAACAATATTTTTCAATCTGATATCCGAAATTCCATTTTTTTCGAAATTATTTGAGCCGGAATTGGAAGATATATGAAAATTCGATTTCTCGATTCAATTTCAAGTTCCAAAGTTACCGAATTTTTTTCGACTATTAGACTTAAAATACCAATATAGTATTTTATATGATAGGTGAACAAAATTGGAAATTTCCAAATTTCGCCAATCCAATTTTTTTTCGATTTTGGAACAAATTTTCTCATGTCAATTTCTGAAAATTCGATTCCAGGTTTTTTCGATTTATCTTCGAACGGAGTAGTAACTAGTTTTTCACTTCCGAAAAAAAAAAATTTCTCTAAAAAGGGTTCGATCTGATCCATCCGATTTACACCTCTAGTTAGAACATACATGTTCTTTTACCTATATATATATATATATATATATATATATATATATATATATATATATATATATATATAAACTCATGTCATCATATCACAATTCCATTTACTTGTCACCTTACTAATTCCAACAAATAAAAAGAGTTGATAATAAAAGTAGTAGCAAAGTAGCAACATAAACCTATTGACTTGAGAGTTGAGACAAAACAAAAAGATTCTTAAACTAACAAAAGAGCAAAGCATACTTAATCCAAAAACTTTACAAAACAACAATTAATTAACCACCTTTAATTTATAGGCAGCACTTCATCTTCCATCTATGAATATTAATTAAATCAAATCTCAGAACGTAGCACTAGCCATTAATGAATGTCACTAGAAACAGAAGAATCACATTAATCTTCCACAACACACTAGTTTCCATGTAGTATTTCGAAGACGAAGAACTTAATGACCTGCACAATATTAATTAAGATTCCGAGGTTTTAATTTGTCTGAAAAAATAATAAATAAATTAATTAATTACACTCACTCAGAAGTGGGAAATAAACATTTTGCATAAGTGGGATTGTTCGGAGTTAAAACGGCGGCGCCACCAAAATTGCAAGCAACATCATTGTTGCCGTTTTCTTGATAGTAACTGTTGAAAGCATACGATGCATGTGAGAGCAGTGTATTAGGCTGGAAACACGCGCCCCCGGGCTGGATCGGGCCGCAGTCCGACTTACCCAACCCGCAAGCCCAATCCAATGCAATCTGGAATCCTGTTTGTGATGACTGTTTCGGGCAACGAACCATTTGTGCCACCAAGAAACGTGGTGTTCCTTACGTCTGGCTTTTAGTTGCGGGGTTGGCTGCCTCTGCCTTCTCTGGCGCCTCTAATGATGTAGCATAAGCGCCACCCTTTGTTTGATACACTGAATACGATGGAAAATATCCAAAGTAAGTAATTAGCAGTGGATAATTACAATTAAGCGATGATCACAAAGCACGCTTTGTAAAGAAACGCACTTACTCATAAAAAAGTTGTAAACCACAAGTTTCAGAAGAACAATATGTAGCGCCTTTCTCATTGTAGTAAAAGCACCGGATTAAGTTTCCAAACTTAATACACATAATATACGTACATATATATATATATAGAGAGAGAGAGAGAGAGAGAGAGAGAGATCTAGAGAGAGAAAGACAGGGGGAGGTAGAGTGAGAAAGAAGTGCAGAATTGATGCTGTCTGATTAACGCACAAGTAGATGAAGAATCAAGCGTTTCTTCAAGATAAATTTTCTTGTTTTTAATTTAATGTTTAATTAGGTCTTGTCTTTCGTTTCTTTTTCACTGGCTTTTCAATCAGTAGAGAGGTGGGGTAGCCCCAGTGGCACGTACTGTTTCGTGTAGTTTGGAATTTAATCTTAATTAACACTTATTGTAAAATTCGTATTTATTTGTAACTAAAAATTAAATTGGAATTATTTGTTTTTTCAGAAAAAAACAATTTAGATTGGAACAGATGAGTTCACATACATTATGCAATTGATGTCATAAATGTAATGTTTGAATTTTAGTCTTATTATGTATCATCCAATTATATTGAGAATCGAAAAAATAGGTTGGTTTTTTTTTTTATTTATTTTTTTTAATACAGAACGAAAATTATTATTTTGATAAAAAAATGGAATTAAAGTCAACGAAATTCGAAAATTTCATTTCGAGTACTACCTGAACTAGCAAAACATGCTCGACATAATTGAAAATTTGGAATATTTCTCTATATCCAAATTCAAATAATAACGCTAAAAATAACAATAATTTAGGTGTTAGTGTTTGTTCTTAAAATAATTTATCAATATAAAAGCAATATTTTACATATTAAAAAAACTGTAACTAAGAAAAATACTTTTTGTTTTTAGAATTACTTAAGAAAAACACTTGAATTGAGGGGGTCATGTGCTATACTAAAAGTACAAGGAATTATGTGCACAAAGTACAAATTACATGGGGATCATGTGCTTGTATTGAAAACACAAGGAGTCATCTGCACAAAGTTCAAAATCCATAGGGGGTTAAGTGCTATTTACCCTTTTAATTTCTCAATAAATAAGATTAAAATATTATTTACTTTGGGCCGGAAATAGCCCAATTTGACGTGCTAACGTTAAGTGAGCCGTTTATAATTAACAGAGAAAGTAACGGGCCGAGCTAAAAAGTACCACAGCCCAAACGGAGAAACAAAACAGAAAATAAAATTGAAAAGGGAAAGCAACAGAGCTCAAATACAACACCCATCGCTCCGCCGCTCTCCTCCGCAGAGCGCCGTCCGTCACTGTAAGCCTCTTCTTCCTGTCGACACTTGTTGAAAATCATCAACTGAAACTTTTGGTACGTCTTTTTTATAGCTAGGGTTTGGCTAATTTATTTCATGATAAGTTCTATTTCGAGACATTTTTTGAAATTTAAGTACTGAAATTTTTGCATTCCATACTTAACGAAATGGTTTGTTTGTTTTTGAAGGGTTTTTGTTGATAAATTTGAAGAAAAAAAAGCATGAATACGTGTTGCAGAGCAAATACAGAACTATCCAATTGTCTGACTAATAACCTGGATTTGCTCAAAATTAGTAAGGGTAATTTAACCAAAGGTTTCTTACCGTTTTTGCCGAAGAATTGCAAAAAAGAATTCCTGAATAGAAGAGGAACCAGAAGAGAAAGTGTAGTACTTTCAGCATCAAGTAGTGGTACTAAAAACCATGTAGAAACTTCTGGCGGAGATAAAGGTGAGGTACTTACGTACAAGGATGCGGGTGTTGACATTGATGCTGGTTCAGAACTCGTTCGGAGAATAGCAAAGATGGCTCCTGGAATTGGCGGTTTTGGAGGACTTTTCCCTTTGGGTAGGGTTTTTTTGGTTTTACGTATTACCCGTATTTCATAGTTTTGCTGCAGTTGTTTTGGTTAATGTGTTAATTACAATTAATCTCTCTGAAGTGTGCATTTTTCTTTGAATGTGAATTGATTGGCTTTAGATTGTTGTTTGACATTTTTTTCGGTCCAACACTTGGACTTATTTAACAAGGAAAAGTTGCTTCAAATTATTTCCGGGTGACAGTGAGAAACTTATTGCCTTTTTTATGATTGGACTCCCCACATTCGAAGATCATTTTCGAATTTATTGGCATTCCTCTCAAGAATTCTTATAGTACGAAATTCGGCGATGATTCATAGAAACATATTTCTTGCACTCACCAAACCGATCATGCTTCTATATGTTGTTGGTTTTATTGCTCTCAGTACTTGTTACGTAAATTTTTACCTTATTCATTGCTGGTTGTATCTTGTGGTCTTTCCCATCTTATTATATTGTAATCTAACGATATATTTCGATACTTCGCAGGGGATTCGTATCTGGTGGCTGGTACAGACGGAGTGGGTACCAAACTTAAGCTGGCTTTCGAGACTGGAATCCACGAGACCATTGGCATTGATTTGGTAAAACATCTGTCATTCGGTGCCTATTCTTTGTTATTTGTAATGCTGGTCTTAATCTAAACTTTTATATCAGGTTGCAATGAGTGTTAACGATATTATCACTTCTGGAGCGAAGCCCTTGTTTTTCCTTGATTACTTCGCCACTAGCCATCTTGATGTTGATCTTGCAGAAAAGGTATTCCATACTACCTTTTATATTTCACCGCAAATTCTTCTGTTTTCATAATCTATAATAGTATTACATTATTCTGATGAATTATGTATAAACTACTGCAGGTTATCAAAGGCATAGTCGATGGCTGCCAACAATCCGATTGCACCCTTCTAGGTGGAGAGGTACTTCTTTCTTAAATGTTTCAAAAAGTAGTTTCATTTATTGGCTCTGCTCGTTAATAGCATGTATTCTTACTGCAATTTTATTTGCTATATTGTGATTATTGATAGAGCTTTTGTTTTTTGAGGACCCTGTGTTTGAAGATGCATGTACTCCTATATTATGTGCAATGCACATAAGCTAATAATTGATCGTATTCCCTTCTCCAGCCATACATATTATTCCCTGTCAATTAAGATTTTATTTTTTTTCTTTAAGCGAATTGTAATGTTGCTTGTGTATGCAAAATAAAAGAAACTAACATGCGTATTGTATCCTCCAGACTGCAGAGATGCCCGATTTTTATGCCGATGGCGAGTATGATTTGAGCGGTTTCGCTGTGGGAATCGTGAAAAAGGAATCTGTTATTGATGGGAAAAATATCGATGTCGGTGATGTCATCATTGGTCTTCCATCCAGTGGAGTACATTCAAATGGATTCTCTCTTGTCAGAAGGTTTTAACATTATTGCATGCTATTACAAATCAACTATATCTTTCCACCCTTCTGTTAATGAAAGAAACCACAAGAATGCTTATATTTTTTTCTGAAAAAACGGAGTGGGTATTGTTTTCTTTGCAGGGTTCTCGCGCGAAGTGGCCTTTCGCTGAAAGACAATCTTCTCGATTCATCTGTTACGCTAGGTGAAGCTCTGATGGCACCCACTGTTATATATGTTAAGCAGGTAAGAAATATTATATGTTGGTTCGTTATTCGAAATGGTATATCTATACGAAGGAATCTGTATACATTTGCCTTATGGGATTTTGTGTGTACAGGTTCTTGAAATCATTAGCAAAGGCGGTGTGAAAGGAATTGCTCATATCACAGGTGGCGGTTTTACTGATAATATACCTCGAGTGTTTCCAGATGGCCTTGGAGCTCTCATATACAACGACTCTTGGGCAGTTCCTCCCGTTTTCAAATGGATTCAAGAGGTAGAGATCATTTTGTGCTTTAGTTTTTAATCACTAAATTATCTATTTATTTATTTATTATATTTTTTTTACGTCAAGGCTGGGAATATAGAAGATGCTGAAATGAAACGAACTTTCAATATGGGGATTGGAATGGTGGTGGTGATGAAGGAGGAAGCTGCACTTAGATTACTTGCGGAGGATCGTGGCAAAGATTCCTTCTATCGAATTGGTGAAGTTATAAAAGGCGATGGAGTGAGCTATCGATGAATTACCGTATTTTCAGCATCGACAAATTTTGTGTAAAACGAGGGAAAGAGATAACACAAGGGTTTTTTTTTGTATTGATTGTTGTAGAATTTTGGGGTATCCGAGTTAAGTTGACATATTTTTGTATTATGTCCTAGTACTTTCTTGAAAATCTTGATGAGGTTTGGTTGTGGACAATTTTTATCTTTGTTTAATGAATGCAGGGGCAGAGGTATTGGTTTGCCTGTAGAAGTAATTTATGGTTCTCTGTTGTTTCAAACTATGATAAATTTCTGAAATTAATTTGCTTAATTTGTTTTTTCATAAGCAAATACCACCTTAATATGAAGACAGGTTTATCATGTCAATATTTTTTCATTAACTCGTACAAATTAATTTACTAACATAAAACTAAAGTGTAAATGAGGTAAGGTGAAATTACGAAAATACCCCTCATGTTTGGATAATTATAACCACATTGTCCCTTAATATGTTATATGTTTAGTGACAACTCTTGATATCGTCACAATTTTAGGATTTTAATGTCATTTTTTTCTTAGTAGTGAAATATATATATATCAAGCCATTCAAAATAAGCAAAAAATTATTTGCTGAGTTTTATTGAAAAGAAAATAGAACAAAATGGCCATTATTATACCCCCAGGGGTAACATAACATCCATTACAAGTTACAACGGAAAAAAAAGAAAAAAAAAAAAGAGAAGGGAAATCTATTTTATTGTTTTATTATGGGAAATTAAAACGAAATTGAACTAACCATATAAATATATATATGGTATACAATCCATCTAGAGCAATTTTTTAGCAAGCTCATCCAGCATGGCAATAATCGCTGATCCACTCAATGGCTTGTCCCAACAAGCGTCGAGCCCCGCCCTCATGAACTCTGCCTTCTCGGCTTCCACCTCGCAAGCAGTCACCCCTACTATCATACTCGTCACTCCCATTTCCCTCAGCTCGCGAGTTGCCTGCACACACACACACGCGCACATATATATACGTGAAAACACGCTTTCTCTATATATCATTCAATTTTTAGCGAGTTTTTCATAACGAACAAATTAATTAAAACAGAGACCTCTGAACCATCCATGACCGGCATCTCCAAGTCCATAATGACTAGGTCAAAAGTCTTCCCGGACTTGAAAAGGTCAACGGCTTCTTTCCCGTTTTCTACAACCTCCGTCTCCAATATTCCGTACTTTCTTAGCAGCGCCGCATGAACTCTTTGGGACAGCCTATCGTCGTCCACAACCAACGCGCAAACTCTCTTACCTTCCTCCATTTCTTTAGCCACCACCTTTCTTCCAAATAAAAGAAAAATAAATTAAAATAATAAATAACACCATGCATGCATGTATAGATTAATACAAATCATATGTGTGCATGTGTGTGGTTTTTTTTTTTTCTAAGTTGTAAGCATTTCATGCATGTATGAGTAAAATCTATATAAGTGGGAGGGATCAAGGGTTTTAGAGATGATTAATTTCATTTTTATTTAAAAATATTTATAATGAAAAATGAGGAAAATAAATCACCTCTTGCACAATCTTGGATTCAGAAGTGATGATGAGCGATGATATTCGATAGCTAAAATGGCCGGGTTTATATAAGTTTTGAGAAGTGATTTTTGGGCAAACTTTTTTCCTTTTTTCAGACGAAAGGCGTTGCGAAGGGATTAGACCTAACCGGGATTTCCGCACTTACGGCTAAATGTTTTAATTGTCTTTTGTAGCTTTTAGATTGACGAATTACCCCGTTTTGCGAGGAGATACGCACGGGCGTTATTTTTCTTAATTTTTTCCGTCGTCGGAGATTTTCTTTACTCGGTTTGGGAGATTTACATGTAATGAATGGGGATTGTGCATATCTAATATCAATAAAAGTCATTTGCATCTCTCCATTGTTTTGGATTGATGAACAATCTCAAAGGTTGAACACAAAATCTATTTACTAGATATGCAATTTTTTTTAATTATTTAAAAATTTGTCATAATTTAATAATTGAAAGTTGCATATATTGCTAACTATTGCATGATAACTTCATGTTATTTCTCCTATTATTTTATTTATTTATTGGGGATTCAACATCTATATTATTGAGAAATTAAAGGACCTATTGGTAAAAATACAAAGTTATGGGCCACAAGAAAGCCCATAAGGAGTAAAGAGTCCACATTCGGCCCATAATGTAAAATATTCAGAGTCTTGGGCCAAGGAAATGTATGCAATAATAAATAATAAATAATAATTAAATAATTAAAAAATAGAATATTAATTTGTAAGAAATGAGTAGGATTAGTTGATGTGACAACATATTTTGTCTGTTTGTCTCCCTATCGAATTCAAAACAGCGAGAATATTGCTACTGTCTGTGTTTAGTCTGTTCTCGCCATTGACAAATAAGTTGGCGATTTATTAAAAGTGTATTAGCAGCTGGATTAATTAATAAAGTATGAAATTGTCGATTAATTAAACGTTTCTCATATATTACTAAAATATGATTTGCGTATGTACATTTTTTTCTTTGATTTCACATTGCGTGCACAAGGATAGAGAGTTGTCTAACATGCCCTCTTGTAACTAAAAGGATTATATATAATAGTCTCTTGAGAAAGATGACCTAGCTGTTTGAGCACATAACTGGATTTGTATTAAATTATTAATTGACATAATTTCGAATCATCTTACCGACAATTGTTAAATCGAATTTGTCACACAAAAGTTAACCTATGAATTTTTGCATTAAAAAAAATTCATATGTAATAATTTTTTTTTAAATTTTAAATCTTCTTTAAGATATTGAATGCGGATTTTGAAGTGGGGTTCTGAAATATGTCACTCAAACATTTCAAATCAAATCGACAAAATATTTGTACCCGTTTCACTCTGTTGAAGATTCTATATATGATTTGTGCATCATTTTATATTGTAGCCTTTCTAGCTTGCTAGGGGTAATAGTACATGTGAACAAATAGTAAAAATGTATCATCGGGTAAATTTTGACATAAAATAATAATAATAAAAAACTAAAATAAAAGTGGAATTTTAGAAATTGGAATGAAAAAAATTGTTCTAATTTTTTTTAATTCAGCTATAAATAATGGTACATAATAATGTTGATACTGTAAGTGTGAACTTTGGAAACACTCGGGCGTTCAGAATTAGTTTTACAAGTTAAAATCGGATGGATCGGAAAATTGAATTTCGTATATATTCAAATTCTGATCTATTTCTCCTAGAAAATATAGAAGCCGAATATCGAATTTCTGAACGAATAAATGAAACAAAAATTGAAAATTTTTGAAATGGAAATTTCATTGAAGGGGACCTATTTGTTATTTGTTATGTGTTATTGCGGTTATAATTATGAAGTATGATTAGTTATTGCCATAAATTTCTGCTCTAATGACTCCATAGCAAGAATTTGGAAGATTTCTTTTTATTGCAAATGGACCCACAAGTTTTTCTATCATGATGAAGGTGGTCCATTTCTTTTTCTTTTTCAAATCGAACAACTTTAGAAAAATACCTTTTGCTTCCAATATTGATAGCAAGTCACGCATGCTTTTCTTCTGTTTTTTGGGCCCTTGTGTTTTTTCCTATATATTTCAATACATATATATGGCTTTATTTTTATATACATATGACCATTTTATGTTAAAAATAGTGTTAGCTATATAACTATAGTGATTATATAATTGCCACAAATGGTAAAAGACACTAGAGGAGTCATAATTTTAAATTCGTGAATCTCAGTGCATCAAAATTTTATGAGAGGGACTATAATTAGGGGTGGGAACGAGCCGAACTCGGCTCTTTTGGCCAGCTCGAGCTCGAGATCGAGTCCATATTCCCGAGCTCGAGCTCATCGAGCCAATTTTTTTTGGCTCGAGCTCGAGCTCGAGCTCAGGCTTATTAATTAATTTTTTTATTATTATTTTTTATTATTATTATTATTTAATTTTTTTATTAAAATTATTTTTTTTATTAGAAATTATTCATAGGAAAATAAAAAAATTTATAAAATACATAATGAACTCTAGTTATATATATCTTTTATTTTTTCTATTATTATTATTATTATTATTATTATTATTATTATTATTATTATTATTATTATTATTATTATTATTATTATTATTATTATTATTATTATTATTATTATTATTATTATTATTATAATATTTTATATAATTATGAATTATTTAAGTAATATAGATTTATTTCTATTTAAATACTAGATATATTTATTATTATAGACTATTTACTATTTAGTTATTATTAATAATAATAATAATAATAATAATAATAATAATAATAATAATAATAAGAATAAGAATAATATATATATATATATATATAAAGAAAAAAAAAATAGAAGGCAGCTCGTGAGCCGGCTCGCGAGCTGTCGAACAACTAATTTTGGGCTCGAGCTCGAGCTCGTCCGAAGCTCGAGCTCGAAAATCCCGAGCTCGAGTTCGAGCTTTTTTCAAGCCAGCTCGTCGAGTTCGCGAGCCGGCTCGACTCTTTTACCACCCTTAACTATAATGCAATTATACATGATTTTTTTTTAAATCTTCTTATAGATCATAGAGACTTGAAAAATGTTGGGAGCCATGGGCCTCTGGCACTATGCTGATTCCCACTGCTTATAACGTTATATTATGTGATGTATTGTCAGATTTTCTAGAAAAAAACAATAGAAGTCCAATTCCCTTATTACTTTATTAATGAAGAAATAAAATTACAAGAAAGGGTATGAATGCAAAGTAAGTTAAAAATCCACATAATTTGTATTACTACAATGATTTTGAATCGATCTAAAGTTAAACAAAATTAGGTTAAAGTTATAAGTAATTAATAAAGTAATATATTGGGTGGAATTGTAATTATTTGAGGAAGAATATGAATCTGCAAAAATATAATTGCATCTGCAATCCCTGGACCAACTTTTGTACTGCGGATATGGCCCTTACTTTTAGGTCCTTTTCAATTTCTGAAAATTACAAAAGAGTCCCACCTATCTGACTTTCACAATACTAACCACAAAATCATTCCAAGGGTAGTATAGACATTTAAGAGAAAAGGGTCACTCTCGGACGCCAAGTCCAAGTCACGCGCACTGTACATTCTGTCCGATCGGGGCAAATGAGTAAAACTCTAAAAGAAAGAAATAAAAAAAAAAAAAAAAAAGCAACACCGTTTCACTCTGACACGTGTCTTTCCATCAGATCCCTTGTAGCACGTGCCAGATCTTACGTCAGCAACACTGGAATCAAGATGAAACCATCGCACGCGTGGCACAGTTCCCTCACCGCTTCACGTACTGAGATTGAGTATGGGGCAACTTCAAACGAAATTAATCAAACTATGCAATTTTATGATAATTTATCAAAAAATAAACAAATTGATAAATCAATTAGAACTAGAAGATTCAATATATTATTTAATAAAAAGAATCGGTATGTTTTTTTTCATTATTATGAGAAAATACAAAAAAATAAAATTGTAGCTAATTATTGGATGAAAAGTTAGCATGTGTTTGGCACATGTGATGTGTGCATTAAACGCACAAGCTAAAACAACGGTTATGTATTGGTTATTCCATTTCTCAGTCCAATAATTGTGAGTTATAAATTTATTATCAAGTAAATTATGAACTAATTTACTGGGGAACTATATATGGTTATTAAAATCATCAGGTGATAAAATCATAAAATCAAAAACACAATTATATTTAATAATTCAATATTATTAAATATTAGTAATAAAAAAAATGAATAACTATTATATTATATTTAATAGTAATTCAATATAAGCTAAATAAATTACTGCCATTCCGTACGACGTTGCTTAGCTTAAATTGCCCCCAACGACCAATTTTTCATTATCTCCCTCCCTCTCTCTTTCTATCTCTCTCTGCATTCTAGCCATCATCTGCAAATCTTCTGTTTTTTTGTTGTACGGAAAACCCTAATTCGTGCCTGCTTCTTCGTCCCCATTTAATCTCTTCTTCTTCTTCATCAGCTTCAACTTCTCTCTCTCTCTCTCTCTCTCTCGTGAATTTGACTTTTAGGAAATTAAATTAAATAAATATTAATCAGCGTGAAAGACGCAAATCCATTGTTTCTGAAAGTTGAACACATTCTGTGTATGAAAAATCTCCCGCTAAATGTCAATAGACGATTCTCTCAAGGGCTCGGAGGAGTTGATTTCTGGAGGAATAATTCACTCCGGCAAAAGCTCAATGAGCAGCGATACGACGGCAGGGAGCCATAGCACCAGTTTCAGCCGGCTGTCGTTCGAGTTTCCGACGAGTTCGCCGGAGCATCAGGCGGCGCTGAAGCCGCACCGCTCGTCGGACTCTTCGTTCCAGGCAATTCAGTTGAGAACAAACCTAAGCTTCCGCGACTTCAGCGTGGTGCGGCAGATCGGCAGCGGAGATATCGGAAGAGTGTATCTCTGCCGCCTCCGTGGAGCGGAGGACGAGGGGCGGCTGTACGCCATGAAAGTGGTGGATAAGGATGTTTTGGCTTTGAAGAAGAAGACTCAGAGGGCGGAGACTGAGAGGAAAATAATGCGCCTTTTAGACCATCCTTTTTTGCCTACTCTTTTCGCCGAATTTGAGGCTTCTCATTTTTCCTGCGTTGTCATGGAGTATTGCTCCGGCGGCGATTTGCATACTCTCCGCCATAAGCAGCCGCTGAAACGCTTCTCTCTCAGCTCTGCTAGGTATATTCTTTTTTCCTGCATTTTTTGTCTTATTGTATTTAATTTGATAATACTGTATAATAATAATTTGTAATTTATATTTTTGGATTTTTCTTCAGATTTTATGCAGCAGAGGTTCTTGTAGCACTAGAGTACCTACACATGTTGGGAATAGTTTACAGAGATTTGAAACCGGAAAACGTCTTGGTTAGATCCGACGGTCACATTATGCTTACCGACTTTGACCTCTCGTTGTGCTCCGACGCTATCGCAGCCGTTGAATCTCCGGAATTTTCGCCCGACCCACTGTCCTCTCCCAGAGCAGCACCCGGCGGCGGCGGCCATCGCTCACTCACCCCTTTCTCCTGCATTTCCAGCCGGCTTTTCCGGTCCAGGAAAATCCAAACACTTGCAGGGAACAGGCTGTTCGTGGCTGAACCGGTGACGGCACGGTCGTGCTCCTTTGTTGGGACCCATGATTACGTGGCGCCTGAGGTGGCGTCCGGTAGGTCCCACGGGAACGCGGTGGATTGGTGGGCCCTGGGTATTTTTATCTACGAGATGGTCTACGGTCGAACTCCGTTCGCCGGCGTGAACAACCAGGCTACGCTTTGCAACATAATGAAAAATCCCTTAACTTTTCCCGGGGACGCGCTGTGCGGCGCTAGCGAAATGCACGCGCGGGACTTGATTTCCGGGTTACTGAACAAGGACCCGAACAGAAGGTTTGGGTCGAAGCGTGGGGCGGCGGATGTTAAACCCACCCGTTTTTTAAGGGATTGAACTTCGCTCTGATCCGGTCGGTGGTTCCCCCCGGTGTTGCCGGAATTTCGGGACGGACAACAGAGTCATCGAGGTGGCGGCAGACGGCGGCTGCGTTCAATGTATTCTGATATTTTTTTTGTTAGTTGATTAATTTAGGTGGGAACGTAAAAAAAAAAAAAAAAAAATTGGAGATAGTTGACAGTAGATTAATTATAGATATGTAATTATCGCCTTGTTATGGCAGTTGAATACCATAATTATGTGATGATGATAATAATTGAGTGGGTCGACATCGACAACATCATATAGAAACGTAACATATGTTTAAGGATTAACTATTAATTATTAATTATTTGTATATAGTTGACATGTAACAAAATAAATTTCATAAGATTTGAATATTTATAAAAAAAAATGAGAGTCCAATGATAATGGAACATAGGATTAAAAACACATGGGATGGCCCATGTGGTCACCTGCCAACTAGGCATCCCCACCGCCCCTCTTTAACCCACTGTCTCGTTCTTGACCCGGACCCACATTGACACGTCATCATGCCTACGTAGCTCTGCCTTTCTTAGCGCACACAGGAATATATAGTTGTCTAATTATATTAATTTCGCAACTTTGAATATATATTTTTTTCACGTTACTATTACTGCATATATTTTAATTATTAATTTTTATACTACTTTTTCATGAATTAATGAAAAACTGAAAATGGCTCAAACTGGGGAGCTCGTGAAAAACACTGGCTTGAGCCGATCGAGCCGGTTCATAAGACTCGTGATGGACCTTATTTACAGAAAACACGTGATATGCTTGTGACTAGTCAATTTTGTTTTCTGAACATACCATTAATTAAGTATGGGACAAAACTGTAACTAGAATCTGCTGTGCAGAGAGAGAACGAACTCTAGGTTTGACATTATGTTGAAAACAGCATCAAGAAAACAATTAGTTTATTAATTAAAAAAATGGGAGTTAAATGATTTGTTAATTACGATTTTGACTTTGCCCTCTCAAATAACTGTTATCTAAGCAAACACACATTTTTGGGTACTTGAAATTGATACCTTGCTCGACTCACGCTATGCCAACCAACACATGTAAATCCACAAAAGTCGTTATAGATCTTTAAAATATGTTAATTAATTATTGTTTTTTAAATTATTAAAAAAGAAAAAAGAAAAAGAAGGACGTCAAACGACGTCGTTTAACGAGCAAGGAAAAATGGGAGAAACAGAGGTTGTAACTTGTGCCTAGTCTAACGTGGTCTATCATCTACGAGTCTATGCACTATGGGCATTTACTACTGCTATAATATCTTCAGTTAAATCTTGTCCCTTTCTATTTTAAATTTTTAATGATTATTCCTTTTTCTATTCATGTTATTGTCGATAAACCCTGACGTAATTAAATATCCGAACGGGCTGGGCCGAAATCATTTGGGCTCGTTAATTGGGCTTCTCCCCATATTTTTCTTCCTTAACCCAGATTTAAATAAAGATAGATAAAGTATAAATAAATAAAGTATTCACCAAAATTCATATGTAGCCAGATAGATAAAGTAATAATAAATTAAAAAAAATCAAAAACCAAAACGGAAATAGTTAAGAGAGTCTCACAGTAGTAAAGTTGAAATATATCAACCAGCACCGAAAACCCGTAAAATCTTCCGTCCAGCTGCCCTAAACCTACAACGAAGAAAAAAACAAACAAGTCTTCAAATCGATAAAAAGAAAGAATCCAAAACCGAACACCGAAAAAGATAACTTGCATAAAGTCTTACGTATAACCAGAACAAGAAATCTTCATCATCGGAAAAGTAATCATTGCCGAAAGGGTTGCGGTCATCAGAAAGCCCGATTGGAAAAATATCCTCATACCCGAACAGAAAGTCATCGTTATTGAAAGGGTCAGTGTAGTCATCGAAAGGTCCCATAGAATAAACATAGTTATTACCAAACGGGTCATCATAATTGGAAGGGTTCGCATGGTCATTCTCGTCGAAATATACGTCAGCATCCCACTCGTAGTCACTGGTGCTGTCATAGCGCTGTTTCAGGTATTTTATCCGATCAGAGCATCTTTTGCCAAGATCCCCTCCTAGCTCAACTTTATAGCACTGCCGGAGATCGAGCGATTCGAGGTGTGGACAGCCGTCGAGTATGGCTTGCATTCCTTCATCAGTCAGCCTATTTCCAAAGAGTCGGAGGTGGTGGAGATTAGGCATGCTTTTTGCAATGGCGAATGCGTAATTGTTGTTGACATCTACGAGGGGAAGCTTGTAGCCACGATCGTTGAATGTGAATGATTTCAGATTAGGGCAAGAAATGCCGATCGCTTCGATATCTTCGTACAAGATTGATGGCATGAAAAAGAGGTGGAGCTCTTCCAGCTCCGGGAATTTTTTAACTGATTCTCTGAAGCAATGACTTGATATACCATCGCAGCATGCTAGCCTAAGACGTTTGAGATGACTTGATCTGTTGAAATGGATAAGCAAATTGTATCAAATTGTATATTCAGGAATAACTTCATTAATCATATATTCATATGCAACACAGCAGAAAAAAACACACGTTGAAGAAACAACCTAGTACGTACCTCTCCGTTTCAGAATCGAACATATCATTCACCAAACCAGCACAAATCGTTGTTATACGCACTATAAATTACCTCAAACCGGTTAGAACGAGCCTAACTATTAACAAATATAGTACTACACTTTTTTTTTCTCCCTATTTACTGTTCAGACAGTTCTATAGCAATTTATCGATGCCTCGCTATTCAACAATTACGTTGCTAACTCTCCCTGGCTACAATCCACTGTGAAAGGACAAACATTGGTCGTGTCGGTCATTTTGTGGCATCGTGATTTACCGAGAGAAACACAACAGAGCAAACCATATAAAACAAACAAATTCTCATGAAATCATCCATCAGCAATTAATTTACCAAAACTATAATTGCTAGCTAATTTTCCAGAATCATTTCTAATGCAATTTGAATCAACAACTAAAGAAAAATTATCTACTATCGAATAGACAATACGATAAGATCTTAACGAACATAGATTAATTAACTCAGACAGATTAGGGTTACAAATAAAACGACCCCAAAAACTATAATAAAATTCAGTACTGCAGTTTATGCCTGATTTACCGTTCGGAAATGTGCTCCAGCAATTCATCGGTGCAGAAATACTCGATGTTGATGTCGATCAGCTCACCCCGGCTGCGATCCACTGCATCGCGGCACATATCGATGTCACAGGACATGTTGAAGTAGGGCATATCGTAGCGATGTTGGGGGAATTTCATGTCAATGACTCGCCACAAAGAGGAATCCTTGCACACACTCCGCCAGGTAGTACACACTTTCTGTGCACTCTCCAGTAACTCTACCACTCCCAGCCTGTTCAGGATATTCAACGTCAATTCTGTGGGCAATTCGATCCATGGTGGCGGCGGTGGTGATTCCGACGCCGGAGTTTTCTTCATTAGCCTTCTGATTTGGAACTTCTTTCTTCGCGAACCTCTCATCTCTAGGGTTACCGGGAACAATTCGCCTTCCACCGCGTGTATTTAATTGATTTTCTAAATCGGTGATATATTTTTATTTCCTAAAATTTATAAATAATGATCATATTTTTTTTGAAAATAATTTTGAATTTAATTAAGGTTGAAAACTTAATAAAGTACGAGGTGGTACATGTGTTTGGAATTTGGGTATATATTCTGGAAAAAATGAGTAAATAATTTGATGAACTTGTGAATTAATTTTTTTTTTTATAAATAAACAACATTATTCTTTCTGTATCTTATGAGAATGAGATTTTATAATTTTATTAGATTAAAATAAATGACCAAATTTCACATGTACTTTTCCAATGATTGCGCAAATATCAACTGCCCAAAACAGTTGGGGCAAAAATCTATCTATGCACAGTGCAGAAATAAGAGGGGGGGAGAGAGAAGGGGTTAGATAATCGATATTCAAAGAACCTTTCTTCTTCGGACCACCATTCTTGATTTCTTGACAATAATTATATTCAATATAAGTCATCTCATAAAATTCCCAACAAATTTTCTTATTTGCAATTTATTGAGGAAATTATGAACGGAGTTCATCAAAATTCTACACCGAAACCACCCCAATCTCCGACAACCTCATCACAAGAATACGATGATTCGGCATTACAAGGTTTGTTCGTATTTATGCATGTATGTCTTATGTATTTATATTGTGTGATTGATCGGAAAGATCAACTTATATCGTTCAGGAGTGGCCGCGCACATAAAGTTGCTATTAAAACTAATCCAAGATCACAAAGAAGCCTGTGGAAAAGAGAAAAACGACCGCCGGAGAATGCTGAGGGTTGCCACAATGATGACCATTCTTGATACCGTGAGGGCCAGAATTCAGAAATGTCAGTCTTTTGGCAAAAGAAAACCAGAGCTCCGGCGGTGCAACACAGACCTGAAGGCTAACCAGAGCAGCAGCGGTGATGCGGCGGTGGTGGATGAGAAAGAGAAGCTGAGAAGAGAGCTGTCTGCCAGCCTGGCAACCCGTAAAAGCCTAGAAATCATGTGTTCTAGTTTGGGAAAAGAAAAGGAGATAATGGCTGCAGAACTATCGAGAAAGGTACAAGAACTGAAAGGGTTGGAGGAACTCTTGGATGACCTCAAAGCACAAAATCAGATATTGCTCGACAAAGTACGAAAACGTGTGATTTAGAAACAAATTTTATATTTTTTTTATCTGCATTGAGATTCCTAATAAAAAAAAAGTTCATCTCCCTGGATTTAAATTATCTAAGCAATCAATCAAGTTTAATGAACCAACACAATAATAATCATTCCCGAAAATTTTGTAATTTGTGACCTGCAATGGAGTTCAGAATCCATGTATTGGTTGCCACTGCGGCTCCAGCTGATGTGGCCAATGCCTCAGCATGAGCTCGTCTTTTGTTCAAAACAGAAGTTCCGTTTGATGATTGTTTGGACTGATCAGTAATTTCAAGGCTGTAAATAATCACGGTTGTTGCAGAGCATCCAGAAACGGGCTTCCTGTTCAGAACTTTCCCTCCAGCAGCAACTACAAGATCATGAATATATCCTTTGTACGAAGGTGCAAAATCACCCATAAAAAAGAATGCGTATCCATCAAAGAGCTTCGGCTGCTGCAATACACACAAAAATCCAAGCCTTAGAATGAAAAGCTGTTATAAACGAGATTTCAATAAGTTGCAAAAATGTTTAAAAATTTAATGACTATAATAAATGAAATATGAAAACAAATTTCATTCAAGTCATTATAATTTCAAAATTAGGATTTTTTTTTCATAAATAAGCAAAACCTCGATCTTAGTTTTTGAAATTTATCAATTTGAAAATTGACGTCGTTTTTAGTATGAAGATCACCTTGTTTAGAAGTCTTAATCTTCCGAGATTGGGTCCATCCCTGATTCCATGAATGTCAACTGAAATCTCATATGGTTGCTCATCAACTAATTCTCCAGCTTCCATGCAAGCTTTAATCCCTGCATCAACACAAACTTGAATTATTTGAAATTTGTCATGAAAAAATTTAATGGGAAACTCGTTTTACAGCTAATGAAAGACTCACAGTGAACACTCAAAATCCATTTTCCCTCTAAGATGGCCATTAAAAATTTGAGTGTCCGCCTACTTGCCCCATGTTCATCAGTAGATGCAATTACATGGGTGACAGTTGAGTTCCAGCTCTTCAATATTGTCACCCCAGACGAGTTTTCGAATTCAGTGACAATCTCCTGAATTTGCAACGTAAAAATTATAAGAATGTTATATCCTCTGATTTTTTACACAGTAAAATAAAATAAAAAAGAATTTGTTTACCTTCTCTGTGTTGGTGAGAGCTGAACAACAAAGAACTAAGTTCTTGAACTTTTTCTCAGATTTCCACTGTAAACTTGAACCACTTTTACATTCGTCAGTTGCTTTAATTTGACGGGTAGAAGATTTTCTGTTAAGAGCAAAACAATTCATTATATACAAAATGCTAATCCCAAATGGAACTATATACATACAGCTGCATATAGTCCTGGAGAAGGGAACAAACCTTTCATCAGCAGATTTTCTTTTCTGCCCAGACTTAGATTGAGGCATCTCATTAGGCAGTTGGCTGCCGGCATGAATTGGACATAGCATAACAAAGTTTTCCTGCCACGTGTAAGAGAAAAAATAAATCCAATATCATATATGCTCAATGCTTGCTTTAGATACACCACTGACAAGCTTTAGTTGTTTCAACTTACATTATCCCATCGACATTGTGGCATCAACTTAGCGCAAGGAACATGGAAGCTCCTGCGACAGCTCTTCTCGTAACATCCCAGGGCAGCCCCTTTGATGCCACAACAAGAGCATTTAATTTTTCGACTTCTAGATAATTCAGTTTCAAGGTTGATAACATTATCATCTTCAAAATAAACATTAGGTGCCCTGCAAAAGATATATAGCCATTTCATGTTATTATGAATTACGAAAATAACATGATGAAAACTTGTAATCATACCATTCTGTGCAATTCTTGTGCACATATATGCCGTTCGGTCTTGCATTTTGGTTGTCTTTCACTAGCTTTCCGTTGAGGTATTCAACCATCATCCCTGAAGCCTAAAGTTTTGATTCAGTTATCACCAACAACACACAAATATAAAAAAAGTTGAACATACTTGGTTTAGATAATCAATTTAAATATAAAATAAATATACTAAGGGGAAAATAAATATACCTCGGACTCCGCAGAAGATTGACAGAAGGCACAACTTATATTACTAGGAGATGTTGTATTGCATTTGAGCAGAACTCCACCATTCAAAGAGGAAACTGATTTATCTCTTTTTGCTGAAACCTTCCCTCCAAATTGATCTGTAGCACCTTGAATATCATGACATGTCTGCTCTTTCGCTGCATCTTCGTTGTTAGCACTTAAAATCTGACCAGGGCAGTTGCCCTTGGTCATGCCTTCAACGGAGAATTTTACCTTTTTTACAGATTTTGCCATTATCTTACTGCTTGCTTTACAGGTTCTTTTTATGTCTGAATCTGAAACTTCATTGTCATTTTCTAACGGCAACAACTTAGTATGTGACTCGTAATTCAATGTATCATTGTCTTCCTCTGCATTGATATACCGTTTGCCAGTTTCAGATTTTCCACTTTGTAGTTTGGCACCAGATTTCTGTGGCAGAGCATGTGCCTTCTTAGTGCTTTTGCTGCTTTTACAACTTTTCTTTAACTTGCTAATTCCTTCACTATTTTTCTTAGCATTTTCTGAAGCTGAAGCATGAACAAATGCAGCTTTTTGTCCATTTGCTATAGGCTCAGTCCCATCAGATGAAACACTTTTCTCCTGGTTGCCAGATTCAGAGAGGACTTTTTTGCTCTTTTTGGATTTTCCCTTAGAAAGCAATTGATCGTCTTTATTGACGCCGTGCATATCTTGACAAGTTAGCATGTCTGGTTCAATATCATCTGCAGTTAAATCATACATAGCTTTCTTGACTCTTTTGCTTTTCCTTGGCGAAGTTGCATTAAGGACTTTCTTACTAGACACTCCCATACCAACTTTATCTTCATAGATTTTGCTCACCGTCCGTTTCTTACCCTGACTTCTTCTGTTAGGAATAGTCTTTGGACATTTAGTTTTTTCCAAGGCAGCTCCATTCTGTTCAACAGAATCTTCAGCCTACATAAACAGTAATTAGCTGAAAGCCTGGCCAAGGATTGGGAGGAGTTGCGAATGGAAATATTTTCATGTTTGCATTCATAATCAATACCTGCACTGACAGGGGGCTTGAACAAAGTTCCGGAGAGCATGGCCTTTGAGTCCAATCAAACATCTCACTATCAACGAAATCTTCTCTGTCTGATTCGACACAGGTACCTCTCTGTACAGATCAAAAGTTGAATATAAAAAACTTGAATCAGTTAACTTAGCCAATAGCAAGACATTAACAAATTTGGTTTTGATGATTATACTATAAAAATAACTAATGATTCATTAGCAAGTTATACGAAAGTGATCTATGTATCGTCAATGAAGTAAGAAACTTACTTCGGGGCTTTTTGAATGAGGGACATCATCATCCGAGTCCTTGATGTCGCTGAAGCAAGGAGCATCGGGCGGTGTATACATGATCTGATTATCATCAGTCTTCTGACTTGATTTCTCTAAGTCGTCTTCTTCTCTCAACCAGAAAAATGGAGAAAACATTGATTCACCCTTTGTACATGTATAAGGCACGTCTTTTTGCAGAACAGAACAGTTTTTAGGTTGATTCCTGTCAATTTCAACAGTCCTGCCTTCCATCTTTTGAGGGTCCATTTGGGTTTCTGAAGTTGTATACGGTGGAACCTGAACCCTTTTCTTGGCAGGAAATGAAGGTTTCGTTGAGTTTGACCCAGAAGGTCTCTTGGTAGCAATTGATGCACTTTTCAATCTCTTTCCCTTTCTTTGATTTTGTTTCTGATTTGCAGAGTCGAAAGCTTCTACTTCGGTATGACCATTATCTTGGACATCACTTAAATTAACAACAGTTTTATTGTCTTTGTCTATGTATAACAGAAAAAGAATAATAAGAAAAAGTCAGTGAAACGATAACAAACTTATCACTTGGCAGGTTTCTACAATAAGTTGGTTTTATGGAATATTGCTATAGCACTAAACATGAAAAACTACTACTATTCACTCAAACTTGCATAGAATCATGATTAACCAAAATTGCATGTAACACTCGTTCAAATAAATACAACTAATCGGCCCACCACTCATACGAGTTTGAGTTATTAATTTCAAACAAAACCTTACTGATAAAGGAACTACCCATTGATGAAGCACTGCATATAAATCCGATTGTTTTTGTATTTATACAAGAACTTTCTGAAACTGGAACTACTTATATCTCGTTCATTCAACATGATTACTAAATTATTACCAGATAGTTTGGCTGAAGCCGCATGTTGAGTGACGAAAATATTGACTCCAGATGCTACTTCCATGCTCTTGTAAATGCTAACCATGTTATCCATATGAGTAGCAGGCCTCACCTCTGCCAAAAGAAAATAAATAATGTAAACAAATTTATAATCCAGCTTATGAATTACATAAAACGAACCATTTGGAGGTAAATATAGATCCACTTTGCCTATCTACCAAACTTGAGATGGAGTAAGAAAAATAGTTGTGATTTGTTAATGTAAAATTAACTTAAAGACCCCGAAAAACAATCGAACATAAAAGTAGTAGTGAATCTTCATATAACTGGACGCCTTCCCATTGAAACTGTTTTGTTCATCTGAATGCCAACTATTTTATGTCATTTTGAGCAGATCTTATTGTGCAATCGGTGCATACGATTTGGGATTTTAGTTCTACAATATTTGGATACCGCATCTTACTTCCTTTATAATGTTGCAATAATTTGAAACGATGATGCTTGTTCAGAAGTAAAAGGTGAGTACCTCTACGCCTATATGGAACTCTGCAAACTGGACATTCTGATGCTGCTTTCATGGATTTCTGAATACACGAACTGCATCAAGAGATCGAGAACACGTTGAATTGGGCCCTAATTATACATTCAAAATTCAATTAAAAAAAATTTGTAAATAATAGCTTACTCGCAAAACACATGATTACAGGTGAGTGAAACAGCAGAATTCAAGAGGCTCAAGCTGTTGAAAGAAATAATGGGGGGAAAATCAAGTCAGTAATCCAAAAACCCTAGATCCGTGAAGCATTTACAAATTGAGTAACATTCAAATAAATAAAATGAAATATACGTTACCATATAGGGCACTTGAGCTCCCTTCCCATTCTCTCCAGATGCGACGCGTCTGCCATTTTTCTTTTCCTCTCTCTCTCTCTCTCTCTCTCTCTCTATTCTGTGTGTGTGTGTGTGTGTGTGTTCGTGCTACGTATGGAGTGAGTGAACAGTGAATTATGTATGTATGTTTGTGGGCGGATGGAAAATTGAAGAGTGAAAACCATCTTAAATTTTTTGAAATATTTGCTGAGCCGCGCTAAAATTATTCAATTCTAATTTCCCGCCGTAACTCCATTCCCCGCCGCCGCCGCGGGGTTTCATTCTCGTGCTTAATATTCCACTTACAACTAGAGTCGCTAAAACGTATAACTAAAGTCGCTATAACTTATATTGGATATAATTTGAAGTGTTAACAGCCCAGCGGGCCCTTTTATATTTTTCTTGTTTCAGTTGGGCCTTATATTTAGCCCATAAAAACCTTTTTTTTCCTTTTTTAAATGTGGACTTAAAACTAGGGGTGTGAACTAGCCGAATTCGCCTATTTTGTAAAGCTCGAGCTTTTAAAACTAATTATCTCGTTAATAAAATAATTCTATTTTATTAATAATACTAATTTTATTATATAATATATAAAATAAAATAAAAATAATAAACATATAAGAAACTCGCGAGCCGGCTCGCGAGTTATCGAACAACTATAATCAGGTTCGAGTTCAAGCTTTGTGAAGTCATATCGTCGAGTTCACGAGCGGGCTCAACTCGTTTACCACCCCTTAAACTGACTCTAAATCTGGAGGTCTTCAAATCACTTAAAACAAATAATGTATTTGAAACGAGTGGTAATTATTAAACATAAAAAACTTAAAATGATGGTAAAGTATTTAAAGCCAATATTAACTAAATCAAATAAATCGACTTGAAAAAAGAAAATCAATTATTTGGAAAAATTGGATTGAATCTTCGTATAAATAAGCCGAGTCTTTTATTTATAAAAAAAAAAGAAAAAAAAAAAGAGCCCAGTTGTTGGCTCAAATTGGAACTCTTAAAATACTTTATCGTAGCCCAACTCTAAATGGCTGTAAGTTGCATTACGGCGTCGTCTGGCTGACCTAATTTACTGTGGGGAAGAAACCGCGCCTCCCGTCGAAGATGGTGGCATGTATTCTACTCCGCCGCAGTTCGTTTCTAACCCCGTGCTCGTAAATCGATGTTCTGGCTTACTTACCAAAGGTAATGTCACTGCCTTTTTTTGCGAAATAAAATAAATTTGGGTTACTGCATTTGTCCCCTTTTTATTTTGATTATCGTTACCTGTATTTACTGCAATTGGAAGCTTGTATTGATTTATAAAATGTAACTATGATTATGCTCACTCAGTTAAATTGATTCTGTAGATGTTATTTTTGTTGTTTGAAAATCATAGCCTGAATCATGTTTTATTTATTTTTTATTTTTTTTAGTATGTTGTTTCATTGATGATAATATATATATATATATTATTGAACATTGATAATTGTTGAAAAATAGGTAGTACTTTTTGAAATGCAGCATTCGTAGTTACATTGATCCAATTGTGCACATTTCTTAATGTGCTTTAAGGTTGGCAACTAATAGATAGAGTTACTCTCTTTCGAGATATCGCGTAATTTGTTCAATCAATCGTTTTAGCATTTAGAAATCCGAAGTTTCGTATTCTCTAGGATCATAGCATTTGCATACTAGAGTTACTGGTTGACTCAACCAAAGGTGTTTTTAATTGTCTACAACTGTTTTTCTTTTCTTTTTTGGTTTATTTATCGGATACGCTTCTTCTTTTCCACGATTTTCGATTCATTCACTCTTATCAGAGCCTCATGGTGGTAAATTTTCTCATGGGGTTTAAACAAGGTGATAAATGTTAAATCAGAGTCAATAAATATGCTTCTGATCTTCAGATGATCAGTTGATGAATTTCCTGATTGTACACTGGCTCAAACATATTCGAGGCTGTTTTATATTGTTATTTCCCGTAAGATATCGGATACATGCCATTATCTCATCTCTTTTTTTTAATTAATCTACTTTTTATGCTGATTTCTATTTCAACTTATCATAATTTAGCTTCATGCATTTTCCGGTTGGTCGAACGTGATATCTTTCTCAGTATATTTGATAGACCCCAATTTTCGGTGATATTTGTGAACTGCCTTCGGGTTTATCTTCAGTACCATACACATACAAGCATGAAGCATACATACAGATAGTTATAGATTAGTACGTATATTCGCATATCTTTCCTTCAAGAATACTATCGTCAATTTTTATTTTTATTTCTTTTTCGACTCAACTCTTATTTGAGCAATAACACATTCAAGTGTTGGCTTTTTGATTCTGGAAACTTATTACATAGCCTTATATATATATATATATATCTCTGCATGGCTGTTTGCATCTACGAGCGTGCCATACCCATTGGGAGTTTATAATGAGTTGACTCAAATCGGAGATCTAACATGGTTGCTCTAATACTGGATGGTACGAATTGTTTTAAATCATCAAATGCTATCGTTCGCGTTACGTTAACTGCATGGGACTTGCTTTTGTCGTCATCTTAAGATTATATCATGTCAACGTTGTGGTATTTAATGTTTTAGTTAGGCTGGAAAGTCTAATGCGTGTAACATTTATTGCTTTCGTATAAAATCGAGAATTGTTTTGTGAAAACTCGGTTAAGTTTATATATGTTTAGACTTGGCCTTAAATTAGATTGTTGTATTAACTAACTGTTGGACCACAATCCTTTGCAGGGTATTGTACTAATGTCTAATCCTATTCGAATGGACCGGGAAAACCGATCGAGACTTCACTCTTGCATATTATTTACGAGTTTTTGTGGCCTTTTAAATTAAATTTTCTGAAAATTAATAATCTGGTAATTATGCACTGTACGAAAATAAAATAAAATTGTGTAACCTTGAAATAGATGAAGAATTTTAAATGATTTGGTAATATATATAATTAAAATTTCCTTCATTGATTTAAAATAGCTTAAAATTTTAAAATTTAATTGTAAACTACATTTAATCAAATAGTTACTTCTTTTTTATCAATTAAAATTATAATTTTTGAACCTTCTATGTAGAGACTAATGAATAAGAATATAGGCATTTTTTTCCTTTTTATTTTAATATATATTTCCGAAAAGAGTGCATTCAATCCCTCTGCAAAACTATATATAACTAAAATGCCAAGTGTGTATATATGTTTATTTATCTAAGAATCAACTTCCAAACAAATTAAGAAATGCCAGGTGTAATTAATTGTTTAATATGTTTCTCTAAAAAAAAATAAAAAAATTGCGCAGAAGATTACATAAAAAGGTGGCAAATAGTTTATTCAAAAAAATCTACGTTTAAATATTTCCAATTAGAAACCACATGGGACCTCTGTCTGCAGAGTTGTTAGAGCTGTAATGATTTGGTAAATTATAGAGGGAAGCACGTGCGCATGAAAGTGCGTAGATGCATCTAACATTCAACACTTGACCATTAGGTGGGACTCGGGCTCAAGCTCAAACTCAAACTCGGACAAAAGTTAAAAGTGACTCGGATCACGTGCAGCGCACATGATGACATATGCTCACTCAATAATTCAAGTGACAAAATCCTGGATGTATATGTAAAAAAAATATGTCGGGGACTCAATCACTCAATCTTATGTCGCTAGTTTAACATCAACACGTTTTTCAGTGTGTGGCAAAAAACGTTAATTATAGTCTTGTCTGAATCGGTGATTGAGCATTTGTGGGAAAAGCCACGGCTTATAATCTTTCACGATTTTATATTCTTTTGGGGATTGATTTATTTTAATTATATAAAAATGTATAATTCTCATAAATGTTTATATATATCTACGCACTTTTCAGCCAGTCATGAATCTATCTTTACTTTCCACGTGTTCATTTTTCATATGTATATTTGTGTCAATCTAATAAGCCTACAATCTCTTTCCCTACTGGGCTACGAGTCCAATATTGAAGACCACTACTACCGATGTCCAATCACCTTCAAGTAAGGTTTGGACCCGACAATCTCCACTAAGCTATTTAATAATCATTGGAACTCATTCCTTAAGGTACGTTCTATTAACTGAGCAATACTATTAACGGTACTCTCTGGACTATTTCTATGATCAGCACGTCTGACTTGAGCGTCGTAGGGGGGTATCCGCCGGATCAACCCCCGGCCTAGTTCACGTGTTCTGTGATCGCAGGTAACGTGAGCCAGTGATCGACTCTGCTCTTCCAGCTCATCTTACTTCAACTATCTAAGGTGATCTATCCTTAGCATCATCAATTTTATTTAATATTGTACGTATTATATTTCACATGATAATTGATATGCATGCATGGTGATTGGCTGCCCATTGATCCCTTCAGATTTCCGATGGAATATTCCCTTTCTTATCTTTTATCTCTTTTTTGGCTGTTTGGAGATTATTTTTTTTAGTTTAAATTCATTGACATCGTATATATCAATAACGTGACATAAATTAAATATTACGGGACATACTTACATATACAACATATTTGGCAATTTTGACTCTTACACAATAGATGCTCGAAATAAAATCTTTGCATGCGTGCAAATATCGAGATCGCCCGTTAAACAAGTATTTCGGTTCGATAATGTCAATTCAAACTCAAACACAACTTTAAATGTTATATAAAAACAAGAACAAAGGTTACAAGGTTGAATAAATATAGGCGTATAGCTTGATCAACTTGATCCTAAATTAACACGTATATTTACGGTTGATATTTATGCATTAAATAAAGAAATTCATAAATTGAAAATTGATCCACATTTGCTGCATTTAGAACGCCACGTAAGCGTAAGCGGTGAGTTATGAAGTCGCATTTAATTTGAAGAATTATGTGAATTGAATCTGAACGCGGGCAACGATTTATTCAAGGTTTCACGCTTTTACTAATTTGTTGAGGGCATCCCATCTCGACTTTTTTAAACACACGACTTTAGGTGTGAATTAATATGTGCACCCATACTTTCACCAATAAATGAGACCTTTTTATTCAAAATATTAGGTAATGCGATGACGTGTCTTAATTACTGTCCATTTAAATTTTAAATCCCAAAATAAATTAAAGAACGGAGAAAAATATAAATAAACAAAGAGTTGGCAAAGTATATATAAACAAATGCCCGAATTTGACTAAGCAACAATGCAATTTATTTTTCTATTATTTCGACTTACAAAAGAACATATCCATCCATAAAAGTAAATTTGACTATTTGATTTAAAATATAAATTAAGAACATGAGTGCAATTCTATGAAGTTTTCCCTAATTAGTTGAAAATCTACCACACCTAATTAGTCGTCTATAAGATCTTTAGGCCTCGTTTGGTTAGGGACCTGAATATTATGTTATCATGGTTTATCTTGTCTTATAAACATGTTTTTTTATTCAATCTTCCAATGTTTAATAATACAATTGAATTTCATTAATTATATTTTTAATGTTATCTTGACTGGTTTTATCATGGAACCATACAAGGTTTTGGTATAATAACATTAAAGGAAAAGGTCAAGAACAAACTTAGGCACGATTAGACAATAATTAAAGTTGGATTAAGAAGATTAGGTCTAACATAAGGTTGGTAAAACTTGAAAAGGCAATCAATTCATGTCTAGTTAGCTTCCTTAGCTGGATTTTGCCAGCATTATATTTGCTATATATTATACAAATTGAATCTTAAATTCATTGTAATAACTACAAAAACAGTTAACAAATAAAATGTCGAATTTTCCGTTGCAATTAGGTCTTGAAATCGGAAGGTTGAAAATCAGCACTTCCGAACGAAAAATAATAATTTCAATTTCGTTCCAAAATAAATAATAGACTAATTGGAAACCGAAATTAAATTACAGTAACTGAAATGAAAAAAAAAAATGTTTCAAAATTGAAAATTTCCAAATCACAACAGACAAAATTAAAAAATTACGTTCCAATTTCAACCTTTCGACGACATAATAATATTTCATGATAAGAAAATTCTAAATATAGAAAGTGAAAATACAGAGTATAAATGAGGGGGTAGGTGGGCAACAAGTATCAGGAATGGCTGGTGGTTGATAATTTTAAATGATTTGAATATTCTTAGGGATGTCAATTGGCGCCACCCCACCCTCAATTAATTAATTAATATTTTTTTTTAAATTAGTAAAGACCAAATTGGTGATGCAGTTCCACGATAGCAAGCATTACTCCAAGTATATATTAATTATATATTATAGTCTTAAAGGTGGAAAAACAAAATTAAATAAAAATATTCATCGTCTTGATATATAATAATAATTCCTTGACCCAACTCAACTATTAAACTTTAACATATAGATATTTATATATACAACAAATCAAATAAGTTGACTGTTGTTTCTTGTTTGCACACAGGAACTTCAAGAAAATTTCATCTAACAAGATTCTAGTATATTATATTATACATAGGACAAAAAATTTAATACAATATGATTATATGGTAGTTGGAGTGTAATTAAAAATTAATTTACAATTAGTAGTAGCTTATAAGTTTATTAATTACTTTTTTCTTATGATGGTGAAATCCACATTCCCGTGACCACCATTAAACTTTGGATGACAAAAAAGTCAGGACTCATTCTAATTTATAACTATAACTTATTAGGGTAGACTAATCTTAGTATTAATACAACACGAGCGCCCACCTAACTCACTTAAGATTGATTATTGCCTCTCTCAATTATATATATGTCAAATTACGATCACCTCTAAGTTAAGATCAAATTACGAAAAAACCCACTTATGTTTGCATAATTTCATACCGTTTAGCTTTTGGTTCGATAAATAATCGAATCACCAAACCTTTTATTAAATATATTTATAATCTGATTTTTAAAATTAAATTTAGTTTAAATACTTATAATATATATATATATATATATATATATATATATATATATATATATATATATATATATAACTAAATAACACACCGAATTAACGTTTCAATTCGATCAGTTTACCGGCCGAACCAGCGCCTCTAACTAAATTTTACATTGTAGGGGTAGAATTGTAAGACAATATATAATTGATGGGTAGTAAAAGAATTTTTTTCTCGTAATTATAGCTTATCTCAAGGGTGAACGTAATTTACCCTAGATATATATTGATCTCAAGTGATATATGCATGTAATTAAATGAGAGGGAAGTTCATTTAATTTTAAAGAGGTGAAATAATATTCATTTATTTCTCCCGATTGGAAACATTACATAGAGGAACATATAATCTATACACTAAAAATAAAAGACAAAACATCAATAAACTTAACAATTGACACTTATTATTAAATTTCACAAAATAAATAAAAACTAAACAAAAAAGGAAAAAGAAAAAACAGGCAGACCATTTGTTTTCATCTTCAATGCGAATCAATCAGGAACTGGTGAGCAGAGCATTGGCATGTTCTTGAACAACTTTCCAGGCCAAAATAACATGCCTGTTTTCTGTTAGGGTTGCCCCGACTGCGAATCTCATCACGTACTCTCCACCTATGATCGCGTGTGTCATGTAAATCTTACCCGATTCGTTTATTGTTTCCAGCAATTTTGCGTTGAAGTTATTCGCCGCGTCTTCCTTTGATACGATCTGATGGTTCCCGCTGAACTCCAGGGGCGATATGCGGAAGCAGACGGTGGCGAAGTTTCTGGGGACCACAACCTCGAAACGCTTGTCCATCCCGATCAGGCCTTCGAAGTTCTTAGCCATTTTGATGTGGCTGCGGAGGAATTTCCTGAGGTTGGCCACACCGTAGCTACGGAGTACCATCCACAGTTTCAGAGATCTGAATCGACGGCTGAGAGTGATCTGCCAGTCCTTGTAGTCAACGACCTGCTTTGACTCGGAGGCTTTGTTCCTTAGATATTCTGGGTATGTCGACAGTGCTTTCACCAACGCGCTTGGGTCTTTCACCCACATGCAGCAGCAATCTAACGTCGTTAGGAACCATTTGTGCGCGTTGAAGCTGAACGAGTGCGCGTTCTCCACTCCGTTTAGGAAATGACGGTGCTCTGGTAGAATGCACGCGCTTCCAGCGTATGCAGCGTCCACGTGCACCCATATCCCGTACTCCTCCGCCACCGCGCACAGCGGGCTCAGAGGATCCACGGCGGTGGACGACGTCGTACCGATGGTGGCGCACAGGAAGAGCGGGAAAAGCCCGGATGCGATATCGGATTCGATAGTTTCACGGAACGCCTCCGCCGTGAGACCGAAGGCGTCGGCCTTAGTGGTGGCGACGGCGCGGAAGTTTTGAGGGTTGATACCGGCAATCTGCGCCGCCTTCTGAAGGGCGGAGTGGGTTTGGTCGGAACCGTACACGACAAGCTTGTTAATATTCTCCCTCCCGATCTTCTTCAGCATCTGGTCCCTAGCGGCGACGAGAGTGCAGAGTATGGCCTCGCAGGTGGTTCCCTGGAGAACGCCGCCGCCTCCGCCGGAGAATAGAAACTCCGATGGGAGGTCGAGCATTTTGCCGAGCCAATCCATGACGATGCTCTCGAGCTCAGTGGCGGCGGGTGACGACATCCAGTTGAATCCAACGATGTTGAAACCGGTGCTCAAAACTTCACCGAGAAAACCAGCGATACTTCCGCTGGAAGGGAAGTAAGCAAAGTAGTTAGGGCTCTGCCAGTGAGTAATACCGGGGACGATATCCTTCTGCACATCACGAAGGATTTCCTCAATGGGTTCCGGGTCGTGAGGAGCCGAATCGGGCATCCGTTTCTTGAGATAACCCGGTTCGACCTGGCTCCGAACCGGATATTTCTCGACGTTCTTGTAGTAGTCAGCGAGAAAGTCGATGACCAAATGGCCCTGCCTACGGAACTCTTCCGGGTCAAGTGGCTTCATGGTTCCGGAGAAGCCGTTGTCGGGTTTCTGGTTCTGTAGGCTGCCCATGGATACGGGTTCGGATTCGGATCCGGGTTGGATGGGTTTAGAGAAAATGCTACTAGTGAAAGTTGGGAACTTTCACTAATGTAGCAATAGGTGAAATATTTAGAAAGAGAAGTAATGTATTTTGGTAGTGAATTGGGAAAGAGGAATGAATGCATGAAATATATATATAGGGGAGAGAGAGAAAGAGGTAGATGGGCAACTTGATATTATGTATAATTGATGGGGGTTGTTGGTGACCATTATGCACGTTCTTTCTTTTCTTTTTTATTTATTTATTTATTACCATTATTTTTTTTAATTATTAATTATTAATGTATATTTTTTTGGATGGTATACAGTGACCACAGTCCACACGTTTTAAGGCAGTATAGTTTGTCTGGACTGGCGCTATTTCCTGGAAGGGTGCGTGGTGCCCAATTGCGATGTTAATGAATCAGTTAAATTGTGGGGCCCATTGATCATGTGGATGTTATTTTTCAGGCGTGATTTATAATTTCCTTCTTGTTCTCTTGTAATAATTCATAGCTATTTATTTATTTGTTTGTTTTTTTTTTCTTTTTTTGTTACGTATGTATGAAACAAAGGTGATGAATCAATTAATAAATGGTGAATTTTTTGTACAGTCTGGCCATTTTCCCAGTAAGGAAATATATGGGTATATTCACTATTTGATACGGTTGCATGTGCTGATATTTTTGATTCTTGGTTTCTTCAATTGTTTATGACCATTGTGATTATATTTTGGCCGTAAATATTTTTTTCTCTCAAAAAAATTAAAAAAGTTCGGTGTTCTAATTTTAATATTTGAGAAATATCGAGTAAGTATGATACAGTAATGAACGTCGTTTATTCGAACTCGCACGATTACGGAATCAAGAAAAGGAAGAATTTTATATAAATATTGATATTAATTAGCTTGGAGATCTCTATGATTAAAAATTAAACTAGTTGATTTCAATTTTGAAATTCACATTTTAAATAGAAAGTGTTTCATGCATGCCTAATTAATAATGATTATTTAGAGATACCCATAAAGATTGATTCATGTAATAACTAGATAAACAAATCTGGTCCACTCAAATTCAATAAGATTTTCTTATTATATATATATATATATATATATATATATATATATATATATATATATATATATATAAATATATATATATATATATAAATCATTGAATTGCATTGTGTATATTACAACAATCTTTTTTTCAGCCGGATATCAGGTTCACATGTGTTGTGATAATCTGTAATCTGTATAATACAGTATTTAATGGAACAAAATCGTATCAGAAAACCAAATTAATTAAGACAAGTCGTCGTTTGTCTAAATAATCTTCACTGCATCCGTAAAAACGAGCCTCGCCCACGTCGAACAACTTTTCACTAATCACTGTACAGTTGAACATTTATAAATTTTATACTGTCAGTACTAGCAAAACTCTTAATATAACGAAATATTAAATTAACGAACTATTAATTCATTACTCCGAGTCCGGATCGGAATAAATTATTATTCAAACAATGTTATAGATTTATCGAGGTTAATGTATATTATTCTTATTTGTTATGTAATTGGGAGTGGGATGATGTTGGTGAACAATGTCTAGTAACTCAATGCAACAAAACATAATTAAGCAACAAACAAATTAAATGACATTTACTTTATCGTATTATTTGAAGAAATAAATTGGAAAATGTCACATTTTATTTTATTGGACTGGGATATATATTTCAGGAAGGATCCATACAGTCAATATTTCTCAATAAAATCAAATATTCCAACCACATAAATAAGCCCATAAAATGAGCCCATGTAAAGGGGATATTATATTATTAATTAATGTGACTGGTCTATGAATTGAATGGGCTGTACAAACAATTTAGGGTAAATTACAAACACCCCCCTGAGGTATGGTCAAATTACAAAAACACCCCTCTTGTTTGGATAATTACAACCACCCCCTCAACTCCTCAAATTTAGTGGAATCTTCGAGATTATATGGAATATTATCACTTTTGTACCCGTTTTATCCCATTCAAACTTTACATTATGAAGCAAGATGATCATAATATGTGATTTTTAACTTGTATATATCAGTTTGTGGTGCATCGGAAACTGTATTTTTACACAAAACGAGTACAAACTAGAGCACATTTCACGGAATCTAGATGATTATGTTGAATTTGGCACCATAAGGGTGGAGGTGTAAGAAAAAATCATAGTTGAAGGGGGTAGATGTAATTATCCAAACAAGAGGGGTTTTTTTGTAATTTGACCATACCTCAGGGGGGTGTTTGTAATTTACCCAACAATTTAATGGACTGTCTGGCCTCTTGAGTTTTATTCTTAATTAAAAAAGAAAAATACAAGTTTACTTTTTCTTTAATTAAAACATAAATAAAATTAATATAATTCAATATAACCAAATTAAATCAACACACATATTTATGCTTCACATGTAATTAATTAATTACATGTGAAGCATAAATATGTGATGTACAATGTTACTTTTTATTACATTGTTACTTTTCTAAATACTTTCTCATGAAAACACTGTCCAAAGAATTTGTGATGTACAATGTTACTTTTTATTACATAAATAAAACAAAAAAGAATTTGTGTTCTAAAATCAAATTGAAGCGCCAAATTAAACATATTCCAATTCAAGAACACCACCAGCGCGTGAATCCACCGCCGTGGGTGACGGTACATCTTCCGGGTCTCTAACGGGTTTGACCCATCTACCATGATGGTTTTGGATGAGCCCTTTATTAGCGGATTGGTACCAACTGTGAGGTATCCTGAGTTCATCAACAAGCATATCGCATTCCTTATTCACCAACGCCACGTCCCTTCTAGCTTCGACCCGGAAACCCGATTCGCTGCTGTGAAACCCGTCAACCAAATGTAGGTACGTTTCCAGCATGTGGAATCCGACCAAATTCAGACCCTTTTTCAGATACGGAGATGATCGAACGTCGAGCTTCAATTCCACCCCCACGTGCGTGTAAATCCATTCCAGGGTGCCGGTGATGTCATCGAATCTCTGCAGGCTTTCGTTGAGGACGAATCCGGGCATTCGGGGCACCACGTCCTGTTTCGAAGTGACCCGTAATGTTTTGACCCCCATTTGGTATAGTTCGTCCCGGAAGGCGATGTTCCCCACGCGCGGGGCCGCGAATGAGACCACGCTTATCGGGAGGCCCGGGAAGTTCTTGGCGGACTCGTACGCGTTGATCAGTGCCAACGCGCCGCCGAGGCTGTGTCCTGTGATGGTGAGGCTGACTTGCTCGCCGTTGTTTTCGTAGAATTTTACTAGTTTCTTGATTTCTGCCATGACTTGTTCCGACGCGCTTGTTTTGTTGTACCTCGTGGTGCAACTCTTGGAGGTGTAGATGCTGAGGAATCCGTGCTCGACACGCGCGTCGCCTTGCCCGATGGGCTCGAGTTTTCGCTGCATGTTGTCGTACCACTCGGACGGGGCCACCGTGCCCCGCCACGAGACGACGATGTCCCGGCGGCCGATCCGCCGGGATTCCTGGTCGTCGCTGACGGCGACGAACCCCATCCAGTTGGAGTCTTTGCTCCACGTTTCGACCAAGTGCGACTTCTCGAGCCACTGTGGCAAGTCGATGTGGGACATTGCGTGTACGTATTTGGTCACGTTGTAGCCATTTTTGGTTAGGCCCAATTTCTCGAAAAGCTTGCGGCGGTTGTACTTGCAGCTGCCGCAGTATTCGGAGAAGGGGTCGAAGTCGAAAGCGTCGTAGGTTGCCTGCGCGAACTCGCCGTACTTGACGATTTCGCGGCGGAGGCTGGGGTGGAGGGGATCGAGGAGGTTCTGCCAATCGGAGGAACCGTGGAATTCGCGCCATTTGTCGGAGATGTCTTCTTTGGGTGACGTGGCAGGAGTGTCGTGTTTCTCGTGGAAGGTGGAGAGATTCAAATTCGATCTGTTGAGGGTTTTATGGGCGGTGGTGGTGGTGTCTAGGTGGATATGCAACATGTTGGACAATGATTCCGCTAGTTTGATCGCTCTGTTCGAAGGCGGCTTTCGATGTGCGTTTTTGTCGATTGTGGTGGCTTGCTGGTGTGTGGAGGCGGCCGCCGGAAGACGGTTCTTGCAGAAGGCGGCGATGTTGTGGTGGTGATGGATTACATTTCCGGTGGCCATTTTGAGGAGTTGTTTGTTCTTTTACTTTTGAGAGTTGAAGATGGTGAGAAGAAAGGAGGCTTTACCTATATATATATTTTGTATATTGGTATGACTGACTTTGAAATGACCTGGATTTATGGATTATTAATAATAAAAGTATTTGAATAAGTCCTTATAATAGATTAATTAAAGGATTAAATGTACAACAACATGGTATTTGTTTTTTTTATTTTTGAAGCAGTTGTTGACCAAAGCTATATAACGCGCTGGTCTCGTCTTGTGGTCTATGAAGCTTCCATGCTGTACTCAAATTGAACTAAACTAAAAATTGAAATCAAAATTGGGCTCAACTTTCTCGGCCTAATTGGTCAATTGGTCTCAATTATTTTTCAACCGATTGACCGGATAATAACCGAGTGAATTTGAATTGTAGATTTAATTAAATAACTATTCACTAAGCAAGTATACCCATTCATGAGTGTGTGAAATAGGATATAGACATAAGACATGTACTAAAAATACATTTCATTAGTTTGTCATAAATATAATTCAGCAGCACAAATGTACACCAATTATGGCACGTGGCAACAAACTACAATAAATAACAAATTCATTTTCTTCACAAAAGATCATCCTACTAAACAAACACAATTCCCTACTATATGTAAACACAGTAGAAACTAACAAGAAACAAAAAACATCCTAGGCAACACATATAAATCACAAACGTAAGAGAAAATTAAAACAAATAAACACGCACGCACATCAAACTGCGGACCCCGTTTTCGTAACCTGAGAAAGAGCATGGTCTTCAAACTGATCCTCGTCGTCGCCCTTGTCCGAATGCAAGCACGGCGGAACATACGACTTAAATATAACTTCCATATTTGGAGTTTCCTTCAATTCTCTGCAAGCTACATCAAGTGGAGTGAACGCGAAAGATCGGTAGAATTTCTCATTGCACACCAAAATAAAAATGATCGAGAAAATCGGAAGCAAGATCACAAGTGGAGCTCCTTTTACGAATTTCTTTGCACTAAAGTACCCCAACATTGTTACTTGATAAAGCATCAACGAAGCCATTATTCGAATATACATGTGGGGCCACGTTCTCCCGTAGCTCTCGTATTTAGGTACATAAACCTTGAGTACCTATATACATATATTATTCAAGAAAGTTTAATAATTATTTCAAGAAAGTTTTAACATGTAGATAATAAATAAATCAGTAACGGAGTATTTAATATCGAATATTACTTGATTTCGTAGCACGAGCCATCCCAAGCCAAAATAGACAATTCCGAACGGGATAATTAGAGGGGCAATAACGGAATAGCAAAGAACGATAGTAACAATGAGCATATCACCGGGTATTCTAGTTGCATATCCAAGATCCCCCGGGGCCCACGCTTCTCTCAGCTCGTTTTCGCTCTTGCATACATACTTCTTCTGTAGGTGATATACTAGCAAAGGAATTATTCGCGATAACTCAATCCCGTATCCAACAAAGAATCTGTAAACAGAAAAAAACGAACCAACTCAGTCATCACAAAAAAATTAAAAAAAAAAAAATTTGAAGAAAAAAACATCGTAAAAGTCTTACTTCAAGGCAACAAAAGTCAAGAAGAAGGTAGCACTTCCGGGTAGGCTCTTTGCTAGTAAATCTACAATAGAATTCGGATGCTCTTCGATCTCCTTAAACGTAGTGAAAAGGGTCGAACCAATCGTAACACCGATGAAAACATTGAGGACAGAGAAATAAAAGTACTTCCCCGAAGCAGCTCTTTGTGCGTGGCTTTCGGAAGGTATGCCCTCTTGTTTAGACAAGAAAAGTAAGAACTTAGGTAACAAAGCCAAGAATACGATAAGTGCAATTTGAGGCAAGTACGCCTCGAGCACTGTCTTGATGGTCGTTTGCTCCACAATGGGTTTCAAAAACGGGAGATACTTCTCCAAGTTCGCTAGAGTGGTCAATGCAGAAACAAATCCAATCGGAATCATGTAAAAGAAAATCGTTAAAAAAACGATGAAATATATCGTGTACTGTCGGATCCTCCTTGTGTAGAATCTTTTGGGGAGATTCGACCATATTATTTGGTGGGGCTGTGGAGAATCCATTACAGTCCAAGCATCGACCGTTTTATCGTGCAGACTTTGTGCAGCAGATGCAGCTGTGACTCGATTGTTGAAAAAGATTACAGCTGCACATTGTTGTTTGTCTTTTAGTGTGGCTTTTCTCTCGGCTTCTAATTTGGGGACGAGCTCTTTTACTTTTTTGTCGTAGTATTCTAATGCGTCGACTTTTTGTCCAACGAGGCCTAGAAATCCGGTTTTGGTAGTTGGTTTTGTTCCTTCAGGTTTCGCGGTTGTCTTGGATAATGCGTATACGGCTTCTGCGTGTGCAAGTTTCTTCTTATACCCTTGTAGCTCTTCGTAAATTTCGTTGACCTGGTAAAATTGTTAATGAAGTTTACACGACAATCAAGATTGAATTTTTATGAAAGGCAAAAGAAAGTTATTACCGAAATCAAGAATGTATTTCATTGACCTGGTACTAAAATGGTGAAAGTTTACACTAACTACAATCAAGATTGATTTTTTTTGGAAAAACGAAAAAGAGTTTATTACCGAAATCAAGAAAATGTATGTACCTTTGCGTTGTCTGTGACGATCATTGATCGGTAAAAGGTGTCTGGATACATTGCTCGGAAATAAGAGTCAACGTGCTCCTTTCGAGATTGACCTTCGGGGGCAGGGGGTATGTCTCGTACAATGACAGCAAACTGCTCGTTTCTCACTTCGGGAGACATAAGGGCGGTGGCTCGGAGATTCGAGACGTGTTTGTATGCTTTCCATAAGAGGTAATACGTGACGAAGGAAACCCAATATGTGGATATTAGGAATGCCCACAATCGAGGACTTGCTTCCTGTTGTATACAAGAAACAGATAAAATTCAGTGGTGGTTCAAAAAAAAAAAATTCTCAAGTGTTTGATGAATTGTAAATGTTAGGAAGTACCGACTTCGATATGGCCCATTGATAGTTTGTCGAGGTCATCGAAACTGCCTTGGCTGGTGGTGCTGTTGGCGGCGGCGGCGACGGCGGCCTTGATCACCGTGTGAGCAGTGGCGGAGACTGGCAAAAGTACCGGCAGAAGGATTACGCCGGAGATAACCAGTATCCCCAGAACTGTAAAATTAGGGTTTAATGGAACAACTATTAGACATGGAAATAAAAATCAAGAAACAATATATTATGCATCTTGCAATAATTTGCAGTAACCCCCACTCTGTAATTAGCTACCAAATTATGTGATTACAAAAAAAACATATGCAAAAAATCACAAATGAACTCAAATAAAAAAGGGAAAAACTTAACAGATCTATACCTCAAAAAAGGAAAATAAATAATTAATTTAATTGAGAAGAAGAATTACCGGTGGAGAGGAAAACGAAGTAGACGGCAGAATCAACGCCGGACATTCTGATGACATCAGCTTCAGTAGAGGAGAGGGCTTCCCGGATCCAAGCGAACGGGTTACGGGGCGCCCGGAGACCCTCATACGGGTCCAAACCCTTGAGCAGGCGGTTCGGGTAGTAAACGGGGTGGTTGCCGGGTCGGCGTGAGAGCCACGTGAAGAGAAACATCAGCACCAGGAATAGTATAAACGACGTCCCTAACGACGTCAAGAACGAACTGAAATCCATGGTTTCTTCTTCTTCTTCTTCTTCCCCTGCTTACTCTGTATGTATATATGTGTGTGTGTGTGTGTATGTATATATGTATTAGTGGTTGGTAAAGGAGGAGGGGGGTAGGGGAAGAGAGAACTAGTAGCCGTTAAGAAACATTAAAAAATATGGAAAGTAACCGTTGAGAGATGGTGAAAGAAACTGTAGAGAGAGAGAATAATAATTGATTTTTATAGCAGAAGAAGAAGAATTGAAGAAGAAGAAGAAGAAGAAACTCTGTCTCTGGGGTTTAATTAGTAATTAACCGACAGCGAGGATAGATATTTATGGAATGTGGGGTTTAACTACAGCTAATCTTGCCTTTTTTATTATTTCTTTTCTATTAATTAAAAAAACAAAAATAAAAAAAATGTTTCTTGATTTATGGGATTGAATTTCAAGAAAGTGTGTGGTTGAAATTGAATAAGATACTTGTGTGTGATTAGTGGAAGCAGGGATGATTAATTAGGAGGAAACAAAAGCCCTTCTATTCTATTTATATGTACATATATCCATACTTATTATTTTAACTATTTAATTAATTTATTTATTAAAATTAAATTGAGGTTAGAGAGGTTTAAAACATTAATAGAAATAAATATGAAAGAACTCACTCACATGTCGGCCATGGTTGAGATACATACATAAGATTAGATTAGATTAGATTGTTGTTGGTTTGGTCGTGCTAATCACTATCAAATTATATCACCAAATAATTGTTTGGTGTGTCAATTTTATTACGGCTACTAGCAATTTTAATTATTTTATTTTTATTTTTTAAATAATTATATCTTGTTGGATATACACAGTACCAATTCAGCGTGTATTATCAGTGTATGGATACTAGACATCATGGCTTTTGATTATGACATTAAAAAGAAAATATAAAATCACAATATTTAATTATAAACATTTTTCACACCCATGAAAATTAATTAATTAATGTCCGTGATGATGTAAGAAATAGATCACCTAGGCTATGTTTGTTACGGTTTTCAAATTCTTTCCACATTTTCCCCAAAATGAAAATTATCTTTCTACACTATTTTCAAAAACTTTCCCCAAAACAAATTCAAATATTTCTCTCTCTAACAAACATGATTTGACCGCTACAGTGAAAATTGTCTTCACTAAAATACAAAATCAAATCACTTTATCTTTTAAATTCTTCTTCCAAAATACTTTTTTCCAACACCTTTCAGACATGATTTGACTTGCTACAGTACAAATTGTCTCCTCCCAAAACACAAACAAACTTTATTTAATTTTCAAATTCTTCCCCCAAAACATCTTTCCCCAAAATAAAATGGAAATGGAAGCCCAAAAGCTTACCAAACACAACCCTAGTGTGTTGAAGCTGGGAGAGCAAAGTAGGTCACGTGCTCACGAGCTAGATAGTCCTGAGAACTTTAATTTACTCTAGGAACTTTAATTTACTCTAGGATCCTGCGAACAGAAAACACGTAATCTAAGCCGGGGGTTGATCCGGCGGACACCCCTCCGACGCTCAAGTCAGACGTGAAGATAGTTGGTAATTGTGGAGAGAATTCGAATAGAAGAATTGATTGAATAATAATGACGTACCTTATGGAATGAGGTCAAATGTGTATTTATAGCTTAGTTGAGATTGTCGGGCCCAAACCTTACTTGAAGGTGATTGGACCTCGGTGATAGTGGTTTTCGATATTGGGCTCGTGACCCAATAAGTAAATAATTTGTAGGTCCATTGGGTTAGGCCAATTAAGCATATCAGTCCGGTAATGGAAATTTTGTCTTACCTATGCAGCTATGTTAAAAATAGGAAGATAAATAAAAAGTTATGTATATAGTTACCCCGACATAGCATACATACAATACATACAGTGACAGTATAAAGTATAACCTTTTTGAATGGAGCTATCATTATCATCACGGAATATTAAGCAAGTAATATACAAATCAAAACCGCTTTTAATTAATTAATTAATTAATTACCTCTGGCAAGTCAAGTTGAATCGCTTCTTTAACGCTTTCCCTTTTTCTTTTGGTAATTTATTCTCAACTTCTTAATTTATGTCGGTAGTAATTAAATTTCTCCTTAATTTTTTTCGTCTTCCTAACTTTTATTACCAGAGTTGTGTCAGTTTGAAGTTATTTCTTTTCAAAACTATTTATTTATTTATATATGGTCTTTGGTGCCTGCTTATGTTATTCTATCAATGGGGTATCGTGGAACGTAATTGTCCACGTACACGCTCAATCATTTTTAATCCAATTTAACACACTTTTATCAATATTTGAAAATAAAGTTATTTATGTATATTGATTAGTTAAAGTGGACCAGGTTTAACACTGTGCCTGTGCCGACACACACATAAAAAGAATAGGTTTCAACTTCAAATTTGTGTCGATATACCCAAACCCACTTTAAATAATAAAATTGGGACCATTTTTCTGGCGTACAATTATTATTATATATATCTACCGTAACTAAATATTCGGCAGTTATTATTTCAGATAACATTTCAATTTAAAAAAAAATAATGAAAAATAACAACTAATTAAATGAATAAATCAAACAAGTTGAATAAAATTTATTACTATGAAACGAGTCACGTGCGCTACGTGCCACCAATAAATTTTGGACCCATCCTTTTGATTGGATGTCGACAGCAGAGACACTTACTTGTCATGTTTTTGGCATCATGGGCAACACGGATTTTTGGTAGTTACATTTATTGCTCAAAATATATCATTTCAAATATACATACAACAATCCAACACAACAACATTATTAAGTTGGCTGCAAGCAACAATTACATACAACTTGAGATTGAAATTGAACCATTCATCAATAATCAAGAATGTAGATAAGTGGGAAAATGATTTCTTAAATATACATACATCATCATCTTGATTCTTGTATGCAAAACTACACCACCTAAAACCTAATAATTTCATAGTGTTTCAAGCCTAAGTTCCAACAAAACATCGACAAGGGAGGAGTTCGATAGCTCTTCTCCGTTCCTATAAACCTTAAAAAAATACTATCTAATCCACAGTTAAAAATTGTCATAAACCCGGACTATACACCGTCTAATCCAATCATCTCATCGAAGCAAATACATATTGCCAAGCCACAAAAAGAATTTGACAATCCTACACGATTTGCAAATTTCCAGCATGAATATTCTTATAGCTTATTTTGTACCTTCAAATATTGCAGCAATGAGGGCGCCCCATCATCAAATTGTCCCATAAACAAATCATCTGTCTTGGAGATTGGTAGTGTGCCGTGTGATAGTCCTCCATGCACCCGTATTGACAGTATTTCCAATTATGAGTATACTTTACGTTGTTTCTCGTGCTGTTGAATTGCTCGACCCACATTCCCATGCTCACATCCTCCATTTTAAACAGCTGCAAGGTTTTGTAGCAAATGGTGTCTTTACAAAACAGTTGCCGAATTTCAAGAATAATATTGAAAAATTAAGGATTTATTACAAACCCGTAAGCTATGATTCGCATGTTGAGCGACAATATGCTCGGCTATGTCACTTGATATTATATATCCGGGCCCATTAGCGTACGGGGGATAAATTTCCTCAGGCCATTCCTGCAGTTAAGATAAACATGTTCAGCATTTAACCAACTTTCTTTTATTATACGAGGGAACTTATTTTGTGTTACCTCATAAGAGACAGCCCATTTTCCAGTCCTAAGAGGCCTGTGCAAGAGGTTTAGATTGCCCAAATACAAGGACCTTCCAGGGGACACACCTTCAATATCTTTTAAGATTGTGTCAACCCTAACAAAAGTGTCGTCATCACCTTTCATAATGTAAGACGCTGTTGCATTTTGAACCTACAACGAAAATGCAAATACATTTAAGAGAAGGAAGAAACCATCATGCCTGCTACAATAATATATTTGATTTTTTTTAAGAACGTACCCCGAACTCACAGATGGCAACAGTTTTAAGAACTACTAGCTCATAACGATCCATAAATGGCAAAATCTCTATGTCACCAAAGTAAGCAGCTTCCTTCTTCAAAACTGCATTCACCTCACTCCTTTGATTCTACAAGTAAATCTCTTAAAATGTGTTAAACTTCAGCTACTAACTTCATATTTACTAGAAGAAATACGTTAAAGAAAAAAAAAACATCGAGCAAGTCCGAAATCGTAAAGAAAACAGTTCAAAAAACCATTCCATTTGACCATAAAAATAGATCTACTAATTCCATTTAACGTCGTGAAACAATAAAGTTGCATGGTTACCAAAAAGACCCAGCCACTGTCAAGTTCAAAATTGAAATATGTTGTTCTTGGTACTCAACAAGTTAACTTGTTCGCCTTTGAATGGACTGATGAACTGATAAACAACTGTTCTGTATTCGGAAGGAAAAAAAAAGCTGGCTTACCAGTGCAACAAAGAAGCGAACAGCTACTATAGAGTTCTTGATGGGTAAAGATTGCATCCATGTTTTCCTTACTGCCATACGTTCCGCAAAGTGATTGGTGGCAGAAAGAACCCCAATAAAGAGTTGAACACCACCTTGGCGTATGGGATGAGATTTCCACTTCTCAGAGAAATCTAATACTCTCTGGGGTGAGAAACTGGGATGAGAAGTTGGCAGAGAGGTAGCATATACTGAATGAACATCCACATCACCTTTAATTGCTAATCCTGTTGCATCTTCCAGTGTAAAACCCTGAATAAATAGTAAAAACAAAACCAAGAATATTGTAAGAGTTTAAGTTTGACATTTATGTTGTGAAATGCAAAAGTTATCAAAAAAGGAGTTAGATAGTCTTTCGTATAGATCGTTTCTTATTTCACCAAAGCCTAAATAAACTAGCACATCACATAATCCAATGCATACCATTCTGTATGGAAATGATGTCACGTGTCGACCGCCAGCATTTATATGATATCCATCAACTCCTGCACGGATAGTCAGAACAAACATCCGTCCTTCTTTAAAGGGAAATAACCACGTTACATCTGGTTTTTGTGCACGTCCAATAAATCGATCAAACCATGAAAATATCTTGGACTCTTTTGTATCTATGATATCATTACGCATCCATTTTTCACAACGCATGAATCCATCAACTGCAATGAAAATACATCCGATTTTAATCCTTGAAATGTGTGTGTGTGTGTTTGTGTTTGTGTGTGTGTGTGTGTGAAATGTTGCAACAAGTGTAAAGTCATGTATCAAATTTCCATACTATTTTGTTCACACTTCAAGTCACCATTATGAAGCCAGGATTGTGGCATACCCGTAATACAGTGAAAATATAAATACAACATTCTAAATACATACGAAATTAAGGAAATAAAAAACATGAATAGGAACTTACCCAGCATGTCATCCTCGCCTTTGGATGGCAAACCATCACACCTCTGAGCTGTTCCCCACTGCATTCTATAACACGTATTGTGCTCAATTACTTGTTGATGGCTCCAATCACCTCTTAATCGAGGATTCAAATGCAAAATCTTTGGTGGGTCCTCCCCATTCACAGCCTTCAAACCTTGCAGCTCAACCATAAACTGCGACACCATAACCAACGCGTCATCGGCCCTCATTTTAGAAAGCTGAGGTACATATTCCTGGTGAGCATATCGAGGAGTTCCAATCACCGTAATGGAAGAACCTGCAGCAAGACCACATGGAAGGAACATAACGAAATCTCTCTTGGCCAGTTCTTCTTTAGTCATGGAAACCCACGAAGGACATGACTCGGGCTTTCCGTCAAGTATGGTGCTCATGTCGATATCCTTTTCATCGTGTTTATTTATTTCTTCCCACGCCTTAAACCCTAAAATCCAAGCCTCGTCTGCCATTCTTTCCAGCACAGACAAGTTAGTGGTCCTATTCATTTGCCTCATGATCTCAGCAGTTATTCGACCATACTGTGATGGCTTTATCTGCGGATCGCGACTTCCCTTCTCTTGTAAAGTTTCTTGATTTTCGTTATTTTGTAATATTCTATGGAGCCCATCAGAACCGACATTTAATTTAATTATCTCTGCTTCATTCCCTAGTGAGAATCCATGAAAATTGCCATTGCTATTACCACCACCACTTAAAACGGCTGCACTCTCCAGAAATTGAGGGGACTTGAAGAAAATAAGAATCAAATATAATGCAGCTGCACCCAACAGAAAGTACGGTAACTTGAACCTCCTTACACTTTGAGACTCCCCTTTCGACCTCTTCATCTTTAAAATCCCAATAACAAAACAGAATTCCGCGTCAAACACCAAAACTTACTATAACCCATTCCCACACCAACATACCTACAAAATACGAACATGGCTTACAAATGTAAGAATTAATTCACGATGAACATACTTCCAATGCGAATTCTAAAATCTACACCTTCATAAACTGGACGATATAGTAAACAAGCATTACACGAGATAAGATAGCGGAATATGATGCACAAAGTTCATTTTGATTCAGAAATGTAAACGTAAATCGCATTTTAAACAAATATATGAACCAATAATCTCCACCCAGGTTGCCGATCAAAAACATTAAATTAAAACTACCGATTATAAAATTGGTCAGAAATCGTTACGAAAAATCCAAAATGTGACAGCAGGTAGATCCAAATTTGGGTGATCGGGAGCTGCGGCGGCGGAGGTAGTGTGGTAACTTTATAATATTTATTGCTAAAAGAGGGGTCAATCTGAAACTTCAATAAAGGAAAGCAAATCCTTACCTACACAGTCTGTAATTTACAGATCCCTTTTCTTCTCTCCCAATTTTTTTTACGCGATAGAGAGACAGCACACATCACACAACTCTTCCATTATTTTCCCACAAAATCTCAATCGTGCATCGCCGTCTGCCGGCACCGGCGGAAAAACACAGAATCTCCGCCATCAATCCGCCCCAAATCCCAATGTCCAAACAGGTTACCAACTTCAGCAATTTACAAATTCTAATTGCTGGAAAAGGGAGTTTTTGGAATCGGATTAAAGAATATAACGGAACCAGACAGCCAATCAGGGCGATGCAGAGAAGCCCCTTAAAAATGAGATAATTGCATATTTAACCCCATTATTTTCTCGCTTTAGGGAACTTCCCCCGATATTATCCAAAATCTGCCAAAATCATCAGTTAGAATATTCGTAGTACAATTAGAAATTTGTGCCGACCCATCGGGCTCATGGGCTCAAGCCCACCTGGCCACCAATTTGCACGGCCCGGCCCGCCAGGCTGAACTCTACCTAAATTGGAGCCCCAGTTCACCCATAGACCCGATTTTATACAATTTAGATGGGCCGGAAGGGGCCCATGCAAAAATATATTAAAAAAAATTAATCGCATTTATTAAGTTATTAAAAAAATATATTTTACGCAATTTTTTTCATTAGTAGATTTTTTTAATTTTGCATTTGATTTTTTTCGTTAATTTTCACATGGAATTGGTGCATTTGCACAAATAATTAAAAAAAATTACAAAATATAAACTATTAAGTATAACAAATAGATTCTTATTTTAAAAATGTAATAAATAATTAAATATATAACAAGAGACAAATTATCAATAAATAAGCCGAAAGTTTGGTGAGCCGGCCTCGATATTGCCACGTAATCATACCAGTATATCCGTGAGCCCCGAAAATCAGGGTTTCCGCTATATCTCTGTTTTTTTCCTTTTTGGCAATTTTACTTTTTTTTTTTAATATATTACTACTGAATTAAATGAATCCACATTTTCTACCGGCCTGCGGCGGTTCTTCTTTCTGCAACTTCCTCTAACAGCCGGAGAAGAAGAAGAGGAGGAAAAACATAACCGATACAAACGATAAACAAATTACAGAAGAAAATAAAAATGGATCCGAATCTAGAAGGCTCCGACGAGCAGCAGCGCCGCTCCGAGATCTACACCTACGAAGCCCCATGGCACATCTACGCCATGAACTGGAGCGTGCGCAAGGACAAAAAGTACCGCCTCGCCATATCCAGCCTCCTCGAGCAGTACCCTAACCGTGTCGAAATCGTCCAGCTCGACGATTCCACCGGAGAGATCAGATCCGACCCGCCCCTCTCCTTCGACCACCCGTACCCGCCGACCAAGCTCATATTCATCCCCGATAAGGAATGCCAGCGCCCCGATTTACTCGCCTCCTCCTCCGATTTCATCCGCCTCTGGCAAATCTCCGATTCCGATAACGGGCGGCGCGTGGAGCTCAAAAGCTTGCTGAACAACAACCGGAACAGCGAGTTCTCCGGACCGTTGACTTCCTTTGACTGGAACGAAGCCGAGCCGAGAAGGATCGGAACCTCCAGCATCGACACTACTTGCACGATTTGGGATATCGAGAAAGAGGTGGTGGACACGCAGCTGATTGCGCACGATAAGGAGGTCTACGACATAGCCTGGGGCGGCGTTGGGGTTTTCGCCTCCGTCTCCGCCGATGGTTCGGTTAGGGTTTTCGATCTACGAGATAAGGAGCATTCCACTATTATATACGAGAGCTCCGAGCCGGACACTCCATTAGTAAGGCTCGGCTGGAACAAGCAGGACCCGAGATACATGGCCACCATCATCATGGACACCAGCAAGGTGGTGGTGCTCGACATTCGTTTTCCGACGCTGCCCGTGGTGGAGCTGCAGCGGCACCAGGCGAGCGTGAACGCGATTGCGTGGGCCCCACACAGCTCCTGCCACATTTGTACGGCTGGAGATGATTCTCAGGCTTTGATTTGGGATCTTTCGACCATGGGTCAGCCCGTGGAGGGCGGATTGGATCCGATTCTGGCGTACACAGCTGGGGCGGAGATCGAGCAGCTGCAGTGGTCTTCGTCTCAGCCTGATTGGGTTGCGATTGCTTTTTCGAACAAGCTGCAGATTCTGAGGGTATGAGATTAGACGATTCTGTTAATTTTAGTTGTAATTTTGCTGACGGATCCGTAGATTGATTGACCGTAGTTGTTGAACGAGAATTTCATTTTATACAAAAAACTCGGGGGCATTGTTCGGTTATGTTTAGTAATGTTTGAGCCAGTTTGCTGCTGTGTTAAATCCGTTGTTTCTCGTTTCCGACAAATGATTCTAATGTTCTTGATCCTGGCTTGTTTTGCCATTGCCAAGATAAACTTGTGCTTCTCTAGCCTCAATTTTATAAAACATTAAACAGCTTTTGATGATTGAATTGTTCCACTGTCGGTCGGTCGATCGATTTTCTGTGTGGTTGTTGTGCTGTTTTTTGCAATACAAATGCACTATGCATTTTTGCAAGCTTTGATTCTTTTATTTTTTCCTTATTGAAGAAATGATTTTAGATTCATATGATCTGGTTCATACTCTTGCAGCCGTTATTGTCGTAGAAAAAAGTATCCCTACGATATATACCTTAACTGCGTGAGTATATGTCTACAAGTAAAATCATACGCGTAATGCAAGTCGTGAATCTCGAATGCTGTATGCAACTTCGTGAACTTCGGATGCGTTATGGAAGCCGTGAACTCAAGCAGGTAGAGCGCTACTATTATTCAGCCGTATAAACAAAACACAAAACAGTGAGAATTTGTTGCATGTAAAGATTCGTGCGAATGCCTACTTCTTCGAAAACCATTCAAATCTACAAGGTGCAAGTTTGTCGAAACGTATTTCGGCACTAAGATACAACAACTTGACATCTCGAAACTTTCTCGACTAATTTGTATAGTCAGTATCAATTGAAATTTTGTTCAACGGTTGCTGCAGCTCATAAACTCTGGATCAAGAAGTGGCGTTGACAGGGTTTGCCAAAATAGAGACTTTTTTAGTTAGGGACAAGTGGTGAATTAATGACAAAAGTTAATAATTCTAGGTAAATTGTTATAATGAGGCAAAATTATAGGGTAAAACGTTACAACCAGTTAAAAGTTGTTAAAAGGGGTCAACACGCTTTCTATTCAACGTTATATTTAGAAAAAAAAAGAAAAAAAAAAGGTCCAGCGGGCACGGACCCGGACCCGGACCCGGACCCGGCTGCCACTGTAACTTGATTCTATCCTCTAAAATCTTTACTCCAGCAGCAGCTTAAACCCAAGCTCACTTTGCCTTGGGGAAGAAACCCAAACAACTCTCGCTATAATTTTGCTTCATTTGAGTCTCTGATGCAAAACTTCTCTTCTTGAATAATTTAAAAATGGCGTCCGTCTCTCCTTCTTGGTATTATCAAGGTATTTTTTGTGCTTGTATCCATTTTTTGCTTTTCGAATTCAATAATTTGATTCATCTTTTCTTTTTTTTTTTTTGGTTTCAGATGGAGGATTAAGAAGGGTAGTGTGTGCAGATGGGGTTATTACCAACAAGTTCTTCACCCGTAATTTGAAGGTTGGTTGCACCCTTTTCTTCTCGGAATTCAAGATTCCTCTTGTTTTAATTTCTTGATTACTAATGGAATAATCATCTTCTCTTTTCTTTTCTTGTTAATTTTAGTAGAAACCGTTTCTCTATTTTAAAAATTCCTGCCCTCTTTTTTCTTCTTAAAATACTGGTAATGTAATTTCGTCTATGAAAATCAAGAATGCCAGAGGTTGTATTTAAAACATACCTTAAACAAATTCTTTTAGATTAATAAGCCATATTAAATTTTTGGACAAGTGAAGTTGCAGATTCGGTCCTAATTCAGTCATATTCATTTGATTTTTATCCTTGTTTCATTTTTCTCCTATCATATTATTATTTCTCGGTCAGTCCCGATTTCTTGCATCTTCATAATAACAATGATGCTTTGGACATTGCCCAGATACAGTTTGGTGTTCCATTTCCTCCATCATCATCATCAAAGTCCAGATCCTACACCACCAGCCCACTTAAAAAGACTCATTTACCCCTCCGTATAAAGTGCGAGAAAAATGACAAGGAAGAAGAAGAAGACTCTTACAAGGACGTCACAATCGAGCGTGCTCCATATTACAGCTACATGGACTCCACATCCGGGCAAATGGAACCAGCTTCCGGTGCACGTGCAAGTATTCCAAGTGAAGAGTATTGGCCGGAGGGCACTTCCAGCAGAGTTAGGGCGGCAAGGGCTCCCGAACCTAGCGGCGTCTCCACTGGAAAACCCTCTTTCGGCAAAAACCCGGGAAGTAGGAGAAAAAAGTACAAGTCTTCAGCATCTGCTTCGCAGACGAACCTAGTTGTGAATGATCAAGCGGAGTCCGAGTATTCGTTGGATGAATCCAAAAATGGCGCATCTGAGTTCGTTGTTTATCAGACGGAACCCGAGGAAGAAGAGGTAGCTGGATATGACCTGGACAAGAAAATCGGAAATCCGCATTCTTTTATTGACCCAAAAGCTAAGATACCGATGGATGAGCCGCTCACTAGTGAAGAACTGTGGTGGAACTGGAGAAAACCCGAAAAGGAACAGTGGTCTAGGTGGCAAAGGAGACGACCCGATGTTGAAACGGTATATATATACACATACATACATACATACATATGCACATATATATGCATATATATAAAATGTTACGTTTTGTTTTGTGCAGGTGTTTCTGAAAGCTATGGCGGAGACGGGGCAAGTAAAGCTTTACGGTGACCAACCAACGCTTACAGAATGTGCTCTTTTTAGAGCTAGGCGACATATTTATAAAGAAGAGAGGTGTAAATATTAATAAGCGTTATTTTCGTTGTTGATGGATTTTTTATATTATATTAACTAAGTTAATTTCAAACGGGGTGTAGGCTACAGGATGAGTTCGATAAACTGGAAGAAATAGGGCCTATAGCGTATTATTCCGAATGGGTTGAAGCTTGGAAAGAAAAGGACACTTCGCGCGAAGCGGTGCAGAGGCATTTTGAAGAGACTGGTGAAGACGAGAACACGCAGCTACTTGAAATGTTCATGCTTCAAACCGATAGAGAATACCGCATTATGATGGGCACTGATAATCGTATCCGTCGGGACCCACTTGCCATGAGAATGCGCGAGGATCAAATCAAGCAAAGTATATATCAATATACTTTGCATACATAATGGCTTTTCTTGATTTTTTTTCGGCTTTTCTTGATTATTTTTTTTTTTTTTTTTTGCAGTATGGGGTGGAGACCCAGTTTACCCGACGGTGAATTACATTCAGGATCCAGATGAAGTGATTGATTACAGAGGTCCCGATTTCCACGAACCGACTCCAAACATGCTGGATTATCTTAAAGAGGTTTGATTACTTAAATTTTCTTTTACGCCACATTTACTTTGTGGGCGATGGAAATATTCGTTTCTTGATTTTGATAATATTTGTAAACCCATTATTTTTTAATCAGCACGGAAAGATAATAACGAGAGACGAGCTGGAGAAAGTCCTGTCGAAAGAGAAGACAGAAGTGCTCGAGGTAATATAATAATGAAGAAATTATTGATTTTATGCCCATTTTCAATCACCACTATTTTCTTGAGTTTGTTCGTCCGTCGGATAAACCCTCTGTTTGTCTTTGTACGACAGATGGCGGATATAGACGATGCAATGGCACGAGCTGTTGACATAGGAGAAAACGACGTGAGATTCGATATTTTTTTTATTTTTTTTAACTTTTATATTACCATTTTCGATTATCGGTACGTCGAGATAAAATATTTCTTGTGCGAGTCATTACAACTACAGGATGAAGGAGAAGAGAGTGAGGCTGAAGACGACACTAACGAGAAAGCTACACGCAATTGGAGTGTTGTAAAGAACAATGCAGAACTTATCAAAACAAAGGTAATTTTTATTTTATTTTTTTTAAATTATCAAAGTTAATAGAAAAAATGATATTTATTATGTTATTTATTTAATGGCAGGAGAAAGCTAAAAAAGATAGCATGTCTCTGGAAGAAGCTGTGGATGATTCAGAAAACTTGACAGATTTTCTCTTGGACTTTGAAGAAGATGACTAGTTTCTTCTATTTATAGTAAGTTTGTAAACAATGTTTGGGCCTCAATTATTTATGGGCCGGGCTTTCTAATTTGGGCCTAGGTGTAAAGAAAACTATTTGGATGCATTTAGATAATTTGGGAGGATGAATTTTAAATAGTTTTCAAATGGTCTGTTTTTTTATTTATTTTTTATTTTACGTTAATGATTAAAAAAAGTTAATTTAAATACTAATTAGTGTAGCACGTGAGAAGAAGAATTTTATTTAGGTTAAATTGCAATTAACCCCCTGTGGTTTGAGCTTTGTGCACACGACTTCCTTGTATTTTCAATATAAGCACATGACTCCCCTATAGTTTGAACTTTGTGCATATAACTTTTAATATAAGCACATAACTCCCTAGTATTTTACTAGTAAATAATCATGTTCATTAGGAAGATTAAAATTTTGAAAGTACAAGGGGGGTTATGTGCTATATTAAAAGTACTAGGGGGTCATGTGTACAAAGTTCAAACTACATGGAGGTAAGTGCTATTTACCCTTATATTTAAGCATTTTTTTTTTTGAGTAAATTCAAGGCCATTACAAGGGGAAATAGGGGAGGGGGGGACTCGAACCCTAGACCTTTACCCTATTGGTAAAGACTAGGTACCAACTCTCCTAACGAGGGTTGGTTCCTTATATTTAAGCATGCAGCCACTAATTATTGGGATTTGAAGTTTGTTTTATGGGCCTTCATTATTTACAAAGCATGTTTAATTATACTACTGCTTAATTAATGAAAACACTAATTAATCTCCTGAAAAGGGTTCTTAAGACTGCTTGATCTCTCTCTCTCTCTCTCTCTCTCTCTCTCTCTCTCTCTCTCTAACACACACACAGAGAAGATGTGAAACCCTACCATATGCATCAGCATCACAATATGGTATATTACTTTTCAGCTCAATAATTAACATGCATCATTGAATGTTATTTGAAATATATTCAACTAATATACCTATTTGTTTGGATATACATTTATGAGCTACATTATTAACTTTTTATTACATGCAACTCCATTTTTTTTTATTATTTTTTTTTTGGGGGATTAGTGGACAATTAAGGACCACATTGTTTCCTTAATTCTGGGAGATACTGCATAAAAAATGATTAGTGAGGTCGGTTTTAAAACAACACAATTAAAAACACTTGAGGTACATAAAAAATTAAAAATATTTTTTAATAATATATTTCTTGACATATATATGTTGGATCCTGTGTCGCAAGAAACATGATCAAGAAAAGCAACAATTGCATTGTTTCCTTGTTTCCCCTTCTCTTAATCATAATTAATTATGGCTGTATTAATTAATCATTATCATAACATAAAACATAACCCCAAATACATTGGGGCCGGGTCAACTGTCAAGTCAACCCATTTGTAGTTAAAAAGATTAGGGAGGTGGGGAGAGCACTAATGACAATATTATATGAGTACTAATCATGATTATTTTCCTTTTTAAAAGATATGGAGTATTATCATTTCATTAACACCTGGGGTTCCACTAATCATGATATATGCTTTTTTTTTTCTTCCCTTTTGTCTAATCCATAATTAACTTTGTTCTTATGCTAATCCTCCACAGGCACATAGATGATTACAAATTAATTAGGTATTTAATTAATTTCCTGTCATGTTTGAAACTTCTGTTGAATTTTGCTAGAGGAATTACTGCCAAACAAGCCCATGCTATTATTTTTGGTCATTTGTCAAATCCATCTATAAATAATTGATTAATATACAAATTCATTTATCAAAAAAAAAAAAAAAAAATTAATATAGAAATTCCGTGTGGTCCACATGCCGACAATTATGGCTGCCCATTTATTCGATATAAGTTATTATTAGGATATTTATTATTTATCACAACCCCAGATTTATATATTGTCGTGTCATTATCAGTTGTTACTTGTTAGTCAAATGTTAATTAAGGATTAATCCCCTATTCCCCCACAAATGACAAAAAGATCATCAATGTTTAAAATTGAACCAAAAAAATATTTAGTATGTAATTAATAAATTAATTCAAGTTAATTGCAGTGGATGCCGTCCTATTTAATCAAATTAAAAAGGAAAAATTAAGAAAAATAGAACACCGAGGGAGAAAAGGGTAATTTAAGAAGAAAGTGTGAAAAATTTGACGCCACCATGCACCCGGGGGAGGGGTCATCGTCAAAAAGTGCGACTAGAGCGTGGGACCCACGTGCCAGAAATCAAGATTTAGCAGAAATCGCGTGGGTCCCATGAATCTAAGAGGTGAGCTGTCCCTTTCTTGACTGTCTCTCTCCCTTTTTTTCACCGTCCACCTCCATGCAAGCACACCACTGTAAATATATATATATCTTTTTCACGTTTTTACTTTATAATTTATATAATTTATAAAATAATTATTTCATGAAGTGAAAAGAGAGGACGGTGGTGGGTATATATACCATCAGTACTGCATGTGGACCTAAATTGTTTTTAAATATTTGGGCAGATTAAAATTTATTTACCTTACTGAATATATATATATATATATATATATATAGAGTCCGATCCATTTGTAGAGGTGCAAATTCATGTGAGTAATTCACACATGAACTATTGAGGACAATGTCAAACATTTTGAAATCTTTTTGCACACCTTAAAATAATCAATGAACAATTCAGGAAACATAAATTGGGCGTGCGTGTGAAAAAAAAAACACTGTATTTTGAGGATCACAAACTTTTCCAAAATTCTTGTCAAAAAAAGAAAAAAGAAAAATGGTAATATTAGGCTCCATTATTTTTATAATATTTTAAGGAGGGGCGTTCTAATTTTTTTTAACGTTTAATAATTTTAATTAATGAAATCCAAGAAAACGGCGTTACGTTGTCGCCTGCAACAGAGAAGAGACAGTGGAACTGTGGACCGTATCGAGTACGGACACCGTACAATAAAATCTGTATCCCGTTCTCTTTTTATTTTTGTTTCCGTAGCAGAAATAATAGAGAATATTTCTATGATATTTACTAAAATAGCACCACCGCTACCACCAAAATTGCACGTGTTGCCTTTTTCCGATTATGCCCTTTTATTTAAAAAAACACAATAATATATTAGTAAGAATAAAATTATTTTTTAACATTTTTGAATTCAATTAATAATTAAAATTGAATCCCAAGGGATGTTTCTATAATATTTTTAAAATATGAAGAGTTTATACCAAAATTATTTTACATTACCTATTATTTTACAATTTCAATACTGCATTACATATGTAATTAAACCTAATCTCAGGGAGTTGGGTGTAATAGATGCACATTTTAATAAATGAGTTTATTTAGTAATAAAATAATAATAATGGTGGAGTTGGGTACTAATTTAAAGTGAATTATTATTTAATTTGTATAGGTAGTTGCTGAATGTTTAGAGTGATGGACCTGTCTAGATAGGGTTGCCAAATGAGTGGGTCAATGTGGAATTTATATTTCTCCAAACAGTACATGTGTTTCATTTATAGTGAGGTGACCCCTGCAAATAAAATTCCATTCCCATCATTTGCCTAATATTTATTTATTATACATCATTCACTTCAATTAATGATTTACTTCATAATTTTATATTAATGATTTTTTTATTTTTTTTTAGGATGGACAACTTTCCTCTAGTTTATTCTACGTATAAATTCAAATACAATCACATTTTATTTGAATTTGAAATAAATATTAGTAACATGTTAAACCGAATAGTGTTGGCTTACGTAGCACGAATACGAAAACGGCTATACGAGAAAATAGGAAAACGAACACGGGAAACAAAACCGTGTTCCAAAAATGGAATATGGGAGAACTTAAGGGAAACATGTAAATATTAATAGAATATAGGGGCATCTTTTTATAAAATATGCTACATAAACATATATATTTTTTTGTTTATATATAATTTATTTTTATATATTCACATACAAATATGAAATAAATACTATTATCAACTCATGTAAATAACTAGGGAAGCAACAAAAATATTTAGGAATTTGCTTTGAAAAGTTGAAACATGTTTTTTACTTTTTCAGAAATTGCAAAATGCTCCATAAGACGTCTAACAGGTGTCGGAAACGAAATGTGTCCGAAACACCAATAAATTCAGAAGTTGTAGTTTTCGTGCTTCGTAAGTGTTGGCTAATGTCATTTACACCGGTAGATTTTGAAAGCAACATGGGAAATTGGATCCAGACTAGGCTTTCCCATATTGGTATAAAATAAGCCAAATAATTTTTTTTTTTAATAATAATGGCCTAAGATATAATATTTTTTTTTGCACATCATAAATAATAAATAGCCGAATTATTAGACAATTGGGATAAAAACCTAGTAGATAGTCATAAATTGGAGTTCCCACATTTGTGGTTGTCCCCAACTTTGTGATTAGTACTTAAGACAGAATAAAAAAATATCTAGACAATAAACCAATAAAAATATGTGAAATTTTTAAAATTAATCACTACTATTTTTTAATTCAAAAAATTACAGGGCGAACAATGATTTAAGAATTATCCGAAATATTAATTGCTAAAAAGTAGCAATTAAATTTAAAAAGAAAATGAAAAAAAAAAAAAAAAGTCCTAGTTGGGCTGGCAAATGGCCCATCAAAACGACAGCAGATTGTTCATTCAAAGAAACCCCCAACTACTACTAGTCCTGTTATCTCAAGGCCCACTTCTTCGCATTTATTTACCAATAGCCCCACAATTAAAAATAAAAATTAAAAGGGTAAAATAGTAAAATAATTATAAATCTAATAAAGTTTTAATTATTGCATGGTCCACTGCTCCCACCACATCATCTTTCAAGGAAAAAAAAAAAAAGAAATTTCTGACACACACACACATCACACATTACACAAACATACACACACTATATCTCTCTTTCATGGCTTAAATGAAAAAAAATGACATCTGAAGAAGAGGAGAAAAGGTTGAATTGAATATTGACTGATTGGAGCAGAGGAGAGAGAAAACTGAATTCTAGAGAGAGAGAGAGAGAGAGAGAGAGAGGGGTGGGGGGAACACAATGTACAGCAACTTCGTAACTCTACAATACTCGTAGTCTCTCATAGATAGTGATAGATGCATAAATTTGCAGATAGAGAGAGATTTTTAGGGCTAGTAAAAAAAATGAGTTGAAGTAAGAAGCAGAGCGAAATACTGTTGTGGTATTTCAGTTTCACCATTTGTACAACTACTACTACTACTACTAGTATCTGTTATTCAAAGCTTTTTGCTGTTCATATATATATATATTTAATTATTAATTATATATATGTATGTACCTTTGTGGTTAGAGTGATGCGCATGCATAAGTGGAGTTTGATATATAGTGTGATTGCGAAATCCGTGCTTTTTAGAGGAGCAGCAGAACACTTGCTGCTGATTCAGGCCAAAAAAATGGGCTTATCATAAAACCTAATTTCATTCTGAAAATTAGTTGGGTTTTTTTTTTTTTTTTTGGGTAGTGAGATCTGAAGAGAGTTTGAAATTTTGTCCATTTTGAGTTTTTTTCTCTTTCCCCCTTTTCGTTTGAACTGAAATTTTGATTTAAACACATTAATTTTTGTTAGGGGTTTTGAGCTGAAATGTGGTGGTTCTTTTAGTTTGAAGGGTTAGTCTGTGTGAGAATCTGGGTTTATTAACTGGTGACGAAGATCAAGAGCGGAGGATGCTGAATTTGTTTGTGCTCTGCTGCGAAATAGGTTTTGGGTGAACATTTATAAATATATATATTTTCTGCAAAATAACTCCAAGTTTCACATAGTGCTGGTGTTGAATTGGCGGAGGGAGGGGATATTAATTAGCAGCTGAAATTGGTTGGTGCCATTGCATTTTAGGTCAGTTATTATGCTATTTTTTGGGGGAATTTTTAATATTCATTTTTGGATATTTTTGAAGTTAATTGTTTGTGGTGTTTGCTGCTACAGCCTTTATTTCTTGAATCTGCAATATGAAACCTACTGCTGCCCTGAATCAGCCCTCTCCTGAAGGTAAATTTCTTTTCTTCTAGAGAGAGAGAAGAGAGAAGAGAGAGAGAGAGAGAGAGAGAGAGAGAGAGAGAGAGAGAGAGAGAGAGTGTGTTAATCTAATCTGCAAAAGAAAAACATAGATTATCTTTTTTTAGAAAATAATATTCCTCTTCTTTTGTAAAGTTTAAAGTCAATTATTGTTTTTTGGAACTAAATCACTGTGCAAGGAAATTGTGAGTAATAATGTTTTTTGTTGTTGAAATAAAATCTGATTAGCAGGCGGCGAAAATAACTGTCTTAATTCCGAACTATGGCATGCTTGTTCCGGTCCTCTTGTTTCTCTACCTTGTATTGGAAGTCATGTTGTCTATTTTCCTCAAGGCCACAGCGAGCAGGTTTTTTTTTTTTTTAATAATTAAATTCGATTTATCGTTCTTCGTAAAATTTGCTACTACGCTGTTCCATATTTCTAGAAATTTGCTTATATATTTATTTTACAATGCATATACACACAGGTTGCTGTATCTACCAACCAGGAAGTTGATGCTCAAATACCGAATCATCCAACCTTGCCTCCGCAACTCATTTGTCAGCTTCATAACGTGACTATGCACGTAAGTGTGGTGTTGAATTTTTATTTAGTCCCTATTAATTAATTGTTATTGCAACATTCTTCGAGAAGATTGATGGATTTTGTTTAACCAGGCTGACATTGAGACTGATGAAGTTTATGCTCAGTTGACCTTGCAACCGTTGAGCCCAGTATGTAACTCAGCCTTATTTTCTTGAATTCTTGATCAGATTTTTTTTCTCGGTTGCTTTGTTGTGTAATCCATGTGGGCTGGTTCTTGTGCAGCAAGAGCAGAAGGAGGTGTCGTTTCTTCCAGCAGATTTAGGTTGTTCGAGCAGACAGCCAACGAATTACTTCTGCAAGACTTTGACAGCTAGCGACACCAGTACTCATGGTGGATTTTCAGTTCCGCGCCGTGCAGCTGAAAAAGTGTTTCCACCATTGGTAAATCTTTTTGCCTTGTGACCGTAATATATCCAGATTTTTTCGCTTTTTTTTTTTGGCATGTATGCTCATTCGATACCACCCCATATATAGGACTTTTCCCTCCAACCTCCAGCTCAAGAGTTGATTGCCAGGGATCTTCATAACAACGAGTGGAAATTCAGACATATTTTCCGGGGTAAGTTCTTCATTGTAGAAAACAGAGGTTCTTGATTTTAGGTTGTCATTAAGCTTAAATCTAGTCTTCAAAATGTGCCCTGACAGTTATTACTTCTTGTGATGGAATATGATGTTTGGAACTTGCTTTCTTAATTTATTGTTGTATCTCAGGTCAGCCAAAGAGGCATCTTCTTACAACAGGGTGGAGCGTTTTCGTGAGTGCAAAAAGACTCGTTGCTGGCGATTCAGTACTTTTCATATGGTAGCCAACTAATTTCACTATAATATGACGATATCTCTTTTTTTTTCGATTTTCAAAACTTTTTGTCCGGTTTTTGCATTTAATCAGGAATGAAAAGAACCAACTGTTTCTTGGTATAAGACGTGCTAATCGGCCACAAACAGTCATGCCTTCTTCGGTTTTATCGAGTGATAGTATGCATTTGGGCCTACTTGCTGCTGCCGCTCATGCAGCTGCTACGAATAGCCGTTTCACCATATTTTATAATCCCAGGTGTATATATATGTAGTGCTTCATCAATTAATGGCCAATACATTCACAATTCCACTAACGTATATTATTTTTAATTCAGAGCTAGTCCCTCTGAATTCGTCATACCTCTTGCCAAATACGTAAAAGCTGTATATCACACTCGGGTTTCTGTCGGCATGCGCTTCCGCATGCTGTTCGAGACAGAAGAATCTAGTGTTCGTCGGTAAGTGATTTGTCTCATTTAATTTGTTATATGCATGTAAGTGTATCTACTTTTGTACGGCTTTTGAGAATGTGTTTTTTTTTAATCGCAGCTACATGGGCACAATAACAGGCGTAAGTGACATGGATTCTGTCAGGTGGCCTAATTCACACTGGCGTTCGGTTAAGGTACGCCTCGCAAACGCGAAATCAAAGGTTCCCTCGATTCAACTCTAGTTTATGTATTTGTGAAAAACCGAATTTTCCCCCACTTTTTGGTGAAAAAGGTTGGCTGGGATGAATCTACTGCTGGAGAAAAGCAGCAAAGAGTGTCACTTTGGGAAATCGAGCCGTTAACAACATTCCCGATGTACCCTTCTCCGTTTCCTCTGAGACTGAAGCGGCCATGGCCGCCACCAACTGGCTTCACATCCTTCGCCGGAATGAAGAGTGATGACATGGCATTGAACTCTCACCTCATGTGGCTCCGTGGAGGAGATGGTTTTGGTGGAGGTGGAGGAATGCAATCTCTCGGACAAGGAATGGGGGTCCCACCAGCCTGGATGCAGCAGCAGCAGCAGCAGCCACCGTTTGCCGCCATGCAAAACAACGATGTTTACCAAGCTATGGTGGACCCCACCAAACAGATGCTTTCATCGATTATGCAGCACCAGCATCTGATGAATCAGCCTTCGTTTCTTCAAAGTCTTCCATTAAGCAGTTACCAGCCTCAGGCGGCACCACCACCACAACAACAATCACATGCTACTAACCTTCTTCACCAACAAATGCTCCACCAAAACTCGTACAATAACAACGTCTTACAAATCCATCAGCAAAATCAACTGTCGTCTACTCCGATTCAACACGCTTTCGATTCTCAACTGTCTCCAAACATCAAACCTGTTGCGGGCAATATTAATTCGCCCCTGCACAGTTTATTGGGCTCAGTCAGCCAAGAAAGTGGCTGGCCCACAAAGAGGGTTGCTCTCGATCCACTCCTCTCCGGTGGAATGTCACCACAGGCTAACATAGCCCACGACTCGGTTTCTTTGCCTCCATTTCCTGGCAGAGAGTGCCTTATAGAGCAAGAAAGTACCGACCCTCAAAACCATTTCCTATTCGGAGTTAATATAGACTCTTCCTCATCCCTTCTAATGCAGAACAGTAATGAAATCGATAATGCAAGCATGGGATTTGCCTCGTCTAGCTACATGCATAGTGATTACTCGATGAATCCAGCTGTCACCACTTCGAGCGGCTGCATTGACGAGTCGGGTTTTCTGCTGTCTTCGGATAATAACGCGGGGAACGCAAATCCTCCCAATAGAACCTTCGTTAAGGTTAGTTGATGTGTTTCGACTTTTACCAAATTAAGACAAAAAAAGGTCAAAATCACATTTGAAATCGAAACGTTAAAAATGAAACGACATTTATCATCTAATGTTAAGTCGAATTTATAATATTTAAAAATGTGGATCGATTTTCTTTATTCCTGTACAGGTTTATAAGTCGGGGTCGTTTGGAAGGTCGTTGGATATCACAAAGTTTAGCAGCTACCATGAGCTGCGGAGTGAGCTTTCGAAGATGTTCGGGCTTGAAGGACAATTGGAAGGCCCGTTGAGATCAGGCTGGCAGCTTGTATTTGTTGACCGAGAAAACGATGTTCTTCTTCTCGGTGATGACCCGTGGCAGTAAGTTTCTTCTTCAGCTGAATTTCGAGATTAAGATTAAAATTCACGCGACTATGTTTATACAATTACCGTTACTGATAACAAATATGTATATTTTGATGATCAGGGAGTTTGTAAACAGTGTGTGGTGTATAAAGATTCTGTCGCCACAGGAGATTCAAGATATGGGAAAACGGGGTTTGGAACTTTTGAACTCCGTTCATAATCGACAGAGATCGAACGGGAGTTGCGATAGCTATGGAGGACAGCAGGAGTCTAGGAATATTAGTGCTGGCATACCATCTGTTGGCACTCTTCATTTCTGAACAGTTTTTCTTCTTCTTTTTATTTATATATATATATATAGATACATTATCTCTGCTTGCTTGTACAATATTATTACCATCATTTTCCAGCTCTGGTAAGTGTTAGGCAAGAAAATTATGTTTCTAACCTAAAACCTTTTATATAGATAAGTATGTTCTGTAATTATGATAATCCTCTGTTTTTATGTCTTAATTCCATAATATTGCCCATACTAGTAGACATGGCCACGGGACGGGTCGGGTCCGGGTCCGACTTTTAGGGGACCCGAAACTGACCCGCGGGAAGCCGGGTCCGGGTCGGGTCCGGATCCGACCCGGTTTTTCAATTGCTTTTTTTTTTTTTTTAAACAAAAAAAACTTATACTGAAACTTGAAAAAATATGAGATAACTTTAATTCAAAATTAAAAAATAATTGAATTTAAACATTAAACAATTTTAGAAAAAAATGAAACGATTAAGACCTTGAGATATAAACTAAATAAAATGAAAGTCCTGAAAATTGGATTATGGGTATTTAAAAGTGAAAATAATAATTGAGAAATTTTTCAAAATTTCAAAAATCAATATTCAATCTTTCTTTTAAATTAAATCATATTTTTTTATATTTTTCAAAATCAAATATATATGCATTTGTTATTAGTCGGGGTTTTTGATATTAATAATAGTCAACATGACAATTAATAATTTATAAAACATTAGTTATACAATTATTATAATCATTTGATAGTGTTATTTATATTTTTATATTTATAGTTAGGATTATTATAACAAGGAATATATATAACATAAACAAAAGGTGTAAAATGATTATAATAAATAATGTTAAATAGATTATTAATTATCATATTCATTATTATTAAATAAGTTAATTAAATTATTAACAAATATAATATAATAAAAAAATAAAAAAAACGGACTTGAGCTTAATCCATTTAAATCTTACGATTCGATTCTAATATTTGAATAAAATGTAAATATAAAAAAAAGAGATTAAATCATATGATCTATGATTTAATTCTTACGATTTTTACAAACTGAACCAATTATTAAAAGAGAAATCACATCATAATATTTTGATTATACTAGTCATATATAATGTTATTTTTAAAGTAAGAATATTAATTGAAATAAAATATAATCTATTTTTGTTAAAATAACATCATTTATATTTTTAAATAATTATCTTATGATAAAATCCTCAATAATTAGTAAGTTCTTGTCAATAATTGAGGTAAATTGATTTAAATTAATTGAAATGAGTTATAATCTATTTTTATAAATAAACATATTATTTTATTTTTCATTCGATTTTTTCACACTATCAGTTTTAATAACATAGTGAATTGATTCAATACTTTATATTTTTCAATAGTGGAGATTATATTGATATATTAATTAATAATAGATGTTTTGAAGCATTGAAGCGTGATTATATATATTTTTTCTTATATTGCATTTGTTATTTATTTAATTAAAATTAATATGAAAATTATTAATTTTTTTAATATACTTATCATTTACACCATAGTTGTATATTATATATATTTATTGTCTATGTTTTGTTACATATGTTGGTTGGCCCAGTGGTAAAGAGCTACACATTCCTCCCCAATGCCCCAAGTTTGAACCCCAAATCTGCATTTTTGGACAAAAAAACCGGATATTTCCGGGTTCACCCGCCAGGTCCCACGTCCGGGCCCTCGGGTCTCCAGGTTCGGATCCATGGTCAACGGGAGGGGGCGGGGCGGTCAACGGGGCGGGTCCGGGTCAAACCCGCCCCGTGGCCGTGTCTATATACTAGGGTTACTATCTTCCACAATAGATACTTGTATATTTTCATGGTTTTGTCCAGTTTTAGGTCTTTTATTATTCATGTCAATTAATTTATTTATAAATTAAAATGACTTAAATAAAAGGAAAAAAACATTATAGGATGAAACACTATTTAATGTCTTTACTAATCATCTATTAATGGGGGTTGTCTGAGGATAAAATACATGAGAGCAACAAGAAAGTTTGATTTCATCATTGAACACACAATTATTTTGCAGGCACAACACCTAACTTTACAAGGTGTAAATGAAGGCATGTGTATAACTTCACTAATTCTAGTCCCGTCGAAACATTTGATTGTCGATAGTTACAAAAACGTATAAATCGATACTCTAACAGCAACAATTTAACACGGATTAAGCTAAATCTATATTCCAAATGGTACCGCACCACCTTAATAATTTGCATATTCTGCAGAGAATCATAATTGGCTTTTAAACAAATTGGTTTCGATATTAAGTTACGACCAACCACAGCAGATAAATGGAGAGGAAGGAATTCGTCCCATTTGGCGAATGTACTCGGCTTGTGCTGCTGTTTTCTCAGCCTCTTTTTTACTAGCTTCAGCCTCTGCTCTTTTTTCCTCCGATTTTTGCTTTGCCATTGCTATCTTCTTCACCATCTTTGCTTGCGCATTCGCTTTCATTTGCTCTATTTGTGCCAGCAAAAAGCTCGATTACGTTAAAATCATTATGCAAAAGCTCAAACTCAAAAACGAGATGAATGAGATTAATACCTCTATTTTCCTCATTTCAGCTTCAAGCCTTGCTTTCTGCTGACTCTCCCAAGCTTGAATTCTTATTTCTTCTCGTTCAAACCTGGCAAAGCGTATTCGATTCAGTTTATATACTTTATAATAATAAAACAGGGCATCAGCTTATATAGGATATCAAATCAAAACCTGGCAGCATGTTTCGACTTCTCAGCTTCTTCCCATGCAACCGCGCGTTTAGCATACTCTATCTGCTCGAGTTCGTCTCTATCAATAGCTTCATTTCCAGAATATTCTGTCGGTGTGGGGGCCGGTTCCCCCCTTCGAGGGGTCGAAGGTATCGAAGAAGTTGGGCTTCTAATTGGGGTTGTTGCACTTACGCGTGTCACACTTCTAGAAGGCTCTTGGCTTGCAATTGAAGTCATTTCTGTTCCCCTGTCCCTCATTGAAACTGATCTTATTGCAGCAACTCCTGCTTTTTTTTAAGGATGTTAAAATTATTTAAGTTCCTTCTTGAAAACATAGCATATTTATCGCTGACGACCAGCACGTGACGCGGTGATGATGTGGCAGGCGGGGACAAAACTGAAAAAGATAACAGCTGAAAATGGATGTGGGCTTTTCTCAAATGGAAAGAAATATTTTGGGCCTCTTTCCATTAAAAAAAGTAATGAGGGGGTTTCCTCAAAGAGCCCCTAATTTAATTTAGTTTACATACTACATGATTACTTGTCACATTTATTGTAAATCCCATTAGATAAAGAAATCTTTGTATTGAACAATATTCTTCATAGGATTGTGCAATAATAGGGACTACATAGTGATGTTCAGACTCGCTATCATTCATATGCTCGATTAAGTTACGAGTCTAGTTTTTAATCACGGGCATGAAATCTAAACCCTGAACATTTTATACATTGTGTACTTTCTGTCAGTTCCCAGCATTGTCCGAGATTACGAATCAAGAATATCAGAAGAACTGATCGTTGCTCCGATTTCTTCAGACCATTTGTCACTGCCATTTACATTGCCATTGTTACAGGGAAAAGCCTATCCAACATGGTGTACACACCCCCGCCGAGGAGGAGGGCACCGCTGTAAATAAACCAAAATTACCTTAGAACCAGAAACTTTGACATAAATATATTTCTCAAGCATTGGTAGTAAAAAGACATGCAATCGAAGCTGTGTGTAATTTAACCTCATTGGATTGATCCATGCTGAAAATTTGCGGAACGAAAGAAGGCTCTGCAGATAACTCCGTAGATTAAATAATTATTAAAAAGTAAAATAATTTACATATTGCAGCAGCAATTAATTATGAGGTGTCGAATTACGTACCTGTAATGCTCCAGCAAAGGAAGCAGCAAGAAGAAGTGGAGCAACATAACCAGTTGTGTATGTCAACAATAGGCTGCCGCCTATAACCGGATCCTGTAATACAAAATGCGATTCAATCGTATATTAGAATTCAGATTTGGGTGAAAAAAGTTAGATCGCAAAAAGGAAAATAAATGTAGATATTTACTTAATTTTATCCGGGAAAAAACAATAACAAATATGCTTGAGAAGAAGTTGGAAAAAGATACCTTGGTCGAAGCAACGTATCCGAGTAAGGTAGCAAGCACAGGCGTACTGCAAGGCGATGCAGCTAATGCAAATGTAAGTCCGGCCAGATATGCTTGGACACCTTACAGATCAAATTAAAAAAAAATTATTTAAATTATGAGCATTTATTAGTGATCAAAGTGCATTATTTGATATTGTGAATAACCGAGTGAAAGATTAAATGAATGATTATTACTCGAAGGAAAATTAGCAGCAGCTGCACGAGGATCAAAGTTGCTGAGAAATGAAGGAAGCTGTAATTCAATCACCTGAAATCATTCATCAACAGGAAAAGGTTATGATTAAGTTCGAACGCAAAAATCAAAAAATAAATAAAAAAGCGCGGTAAGGATTTTTTCTAAGATATATCTCATATGCAATTAGGGGTGGAAATTGGAAACAAGTTCCCGAATTCCGCCGATTCCGATCCGAATATTTCTGACTATGGAACAATATTTTTCATCCCTAATTCTTTTTTTTAACAGAAATGGAATACATATATTAGATCCCGATTTCTGATCCGATTTTTTTTCCGAAAATTACACTTATAAGTTACAATATCAATATTATTATGTATTTTTTTTACTATAGGTGATAAAAGAATTGGAAAATCCGAATTCGGCATTATTCCGATCCGAAATTTTCCGATTTTGGAACAAGTTTTTTCATTCCAATTTCCAAAATTTCGATTTCTGATTTTTTCGATTTTGTGTTTTGGGAACGGAATTGGAATTAGTTTTTTACTTCTGAAAGGCGAAAACAAATTAGAATTTTTCTGAAAGTGCTAATTCCGACCCGATCCGTCCGATTTACACCACAATGCTATAAATATTTCTTAATTAAATGAAGTCCTAATAAAAAACCATAGAATCACAACAATATCAATTATACCTCCAAGAGATTCAATCCCATGACAGCAGCTAAAAACGAAGCAGCTATAGGCAACCCTTGACCTATCTGACCGTACGCCTTTCCAGCAAACGAGGCTCCTACACCAAGCAGTGCTAATGTAGTAGCCAATCCCATGGCAAACGAAATCGAATTGCTAATGACCTGTCCAATAGAAAAATCTCAGAAATTCCCGAAAAATAGTGAAGAAAGTATAAATAAATGTTTCAAAATTTCACCTCTGTTTTGCTTTTCCCAGATCCAAATGCCCCTAAAATATTACATACCAGAAAGAGTAAGACAATAAAGACAGACGAGAGTTTAACACGGGTTAAGAATTTCCTAACCAGAGTCCGTACCTATATAACCAAGGGTTAATGGCAGAACACTCAGTGTACAAGGTGAAAGGCTGGTTACGAGACCAGCGCCAAAAATGACGGCTAAACTGCACTTAGATATACGAGAACAAGTTCACAATTCTTACAAGATTTGTTAGAAGCATAATCTGAAGCAGAACATATATTGAACGGACACAAAACCTAGTAAAACTGAGAGCTGACAACTGGTCCTGTACAGCCACATTAGCATCTTGACTAGCTGAATATAATATGCCTTGAAGCCAATCTCCGGTGTTACCCTCAGCAAGTGTATACAAAGAACCCGTCGCTTCCTAAATTAAAAAAATAAATAAAAATGGATATGCAAGTGATGCTTAATAGAAGATATTATAAGCAAAGATCTAGAAATACTAAGGTGTTGCCACATAGATCAGTTGTGCGGGTTTAACAGAATTTCGTTTCATTTTTCCAGCTAAACGAGTACAATCGTATAACCAAAGATCACAAAATAAAGAAATTAAACAAAGTAAAACAGAAACTAAAACTCGGAAGCTGAAAAATCATTAGTTCCTCACCGTGATTTTCTCCATGTCTAGAGCATTTGCTATCGGAGTAGCAACCAAAGTCGCAGCTGCACATTAGAGAATATGCAATAATATATTATGGAGTTTTCAATATTGCAGCATATGCAACTCAAGTCAATTTATAAACAATTCTGAACCTTAAATCAGAAAAAATAAAAAAAATAAAAAAAAAATAATCAGCAACAAACTCCAACCACTGAATTTCCTTAATTAATTACACAGTGCACTTTGTCGTACAAATTGGGGAAAACACGAGCAATGATTTGAATACCTGCAACGGAACTTATGAAAGCGGTGGTGAAATCAACTCTGCTCGTACGAATGTTTTCTTCATTAACAGGTGCACGCTTAAGGAATTGCGATTCTTCCTTGTCATAATTACCTAATCAACAAAATAGAAAAATCAAAAATTAAGAATTAAGACTTCCTCAGTTGCGTAAAAAAAAATAAAAAAAAGGAATTTCCAGTATGACTTACAACGAACAGTAGTAGTGGGTCGATGATTGAAGCTCGAAAGAGGAATCGAAGGAGATATTCGAAGGTTGTTACTGATACTGTTTAGTAAAGAAATCCTCATTTGCAATCTTCTGTTGTATCGAATTTAGAGAGAGAGAGAGAGAAGAAGAGGAGAGAGAAATACAGAGGCCGAGTTTCTTCGATATCTCTCCATTTTATTGTTGACTTTCTTTTTATTTTATTCTTTTGCTTGGTTCATAATCAGGCAACACACTTCCGTTAAATTGTTTGGACACTCGCGCATAATTACGTAAAACATACTCCCTCCGTCCCAATTTAAATGTTGTTTTGAGTTATTTTGCACATATTAAGAAAATCAATAAATGTGCATAGATTATAGTAAAAAACAGATAAAATTACTAAAATATCCTCAATATTAATTGATTGTCAACTAATTAATTATGAGTGATTAAGGGTAAAATTGAAAATAATGCAATTAATGCTGCATTAAAAATCTAAAATGACAAATAATTTGGGACAAAAAAAACTCTCTAAAAAGACATATAATATAGGACAGAGGCTTTACTGAATTAAAATAATCTCTCCAACCAAACGAGGCTTTACTGAATTAAAATAATCGCATTTGTTGTCATGGGTATATGAGTAACTTTCAAATAATATATACTCGCTCTCAGCTTAATAAGGCTCCCAATAATTATAAACTGTTTTTCTGAAGAAAAAGGATGGCATAATTTTATAGTTTTATACAAACTTAAATGGATAATAATCATTAATAAAAAATAAATAGTAGCCTTTCAAAATTGACAAAGCATAATAAAAAATGAGTAATTTTAAGGAGATGTGTTAGAGAAAAATGGTTTTGAACTTTCAGTGTAAAGGTGATAACTTTAGTCAGTAAACAGTGAGGTAATACAATTCAAATGTGCAGATTTATGTAGCTCAAACTTACAACACTTGGCCCCCAACTGATATATTTCATTTCTTCACTTGCAAACTTAAGAAAATGGAAACTGAATAAATTACTACCAGTAGGGAAACGAGAAAAAAAAAATCTATAATAAGTTGCCACTGAACAAGAAACAAATAATATTACACGTACTAACATACTCTAAGGCCTCTAAGAGTAGGATTTATATCCGGTGAAAGAATTAATCGTAAAGATTTTTAGCAGATTTAGTTCTCACAATCTTGCATTCACCTTTTGATACTTTCTCGACCGACTTTTCAGTTTGACATATAGCTTTAGCTACGGCCTTCAACTTCCGCACATTCTTTGATCTCTTCATGGGCCGCCCCTTCTTCGTTTTCCTGCATCAATAATATCTCAAATTCTAGGATATTTCAAACAAGCTAAAGAATCTTTAAGTTTTCATGTTTTTTAAGTTGACACGAGAATCTTGAAAGACTTCCTTCAGCCAAGGATGCACAATTAGGAGATATTGGACGCTTTCAACTGATGAAATATTACATGGGAAAAAAGCAAGTTAATGAAATTAACCATCTCTTTTGTCAGTAACAAACTCCAAACCTAAGATCGACAAATTTATTCCAAATAAGACAATCAGTAAATTTCTACTCCTCAAAAAAAGATTCTTTCATCACAAAACGTGTATAATTCAGTATACGCGACTAATTCATACAATCTTATGAAACAAGAGTTCAATTACTTCAACAGCACATGTTATACTCAGAAATAGCAACACAAAAAATTCAAGTAGCCTAGTTTCACACATCCAACAAATAAGCAATAAATGCGAAACAACTGGTTCTAGCCAAGTTCAGAAGGTAGAAGGTTGTCATCAACTAAAATTCTTGATTTGGTATTTATTATACATGCAAGAACCAAAAATTATCTGTTCATACTTCAAAAACAAAATAATCAATTCTACAGATTTCAGAATGCTGTCCTGCACCAAAATTTTTTATTTGAATACATAAAATAACGATATTTATACACACATGTGATATATATTGTAAACTAACCGGAGCACATACGCCTCTACTTAATCTGAGATGATAAGTGTGTGAATTTCTTTTACTACTTAGCTTCTACATATTTACACAATCAACAATGATTTCACACTAAAATAAGCTTAATCGTCACGCAAAATTACAATATAAAAAATACAATTCAGTCCAAACAATTAATAATAAGTTAAATTAGAACTGACCTGAGTGATACACCAACAGAAACGCTGGAACCTAAATTCTCAGATGTGTCCATAGCTGGAAAATTGAAGTTTCAGTTTAGATTATTGTTTCAAGCTAAACGGAATACAGAAACATGATAAACGAACAAAAGAGAAACAAAAAAAAAACAAGCATAACAGTGAGTTGGTACCTTGAGACGAATTATCAGCTGGCGCGATATCCATAGCCGTTTCAGCCGATCCATTTTTCTTCTTCTTTTGTCTGTTCTTCGCCATTGTCGAATTTCCAGAGGTTCTACGCGCTTTTCTGTTCTGATAATAATTAAAATTCAAAACCCTAGACGAAGAAACTGATTTGGTCCGTCAACTAATTGGGCTTGGGCCGATTCCTTGAACCTTTAAGCCCGAAATTTGCAAAATACATAAAAACTTTAAAAGGAAAATAAAAATATAAGCTTTAATTTTTATTTTGGTAAAATATTTATAATGTCCGTAATTTGGGATTATATAAAAAAATATGAAGGACTCATATATCAAATAAAACTTTTAAATTTGTAAAAGTTGTGGAATAATTGCATTAGTTAACGAGCATTTAAACAGTTTAAAATCACCGAATGTATTTCAACGAGGATCAATGATGAGTTAGTTGTGGCATGTGCCACCTCAGCATCGATTGAAATGCCAGGCAGGAAACAAAATAATAAAACAAACCCACTTAAAAATTGTACATACTATTTTCTTGCATATGTTATGTTGGCCACTGATTTTTGCAAAAGTGTCCTCCTTTATTTCTTCTTTTAATTCAGTTCATAAAATCCAAATTGAAGACACCACACCACACCACAAACTTATCTGTAACCTCTAGCTGTCAAATATCATATTCTCCACTTGTTCCTATTAATTTTGCTATGTTTAGCTTCTTCAATTTTAGTTTCCAATTTATATAATAATTTCACATCAAAATTTAATAACTGTGAAAAAGAAAAAAGCGCGGGCAGAATACTAATGATATAAAGAAAGATTCAAAATTCAAAAAATAAAGATTTAAAAAAGAAAACACACTGGATTTGTCACTAACTAAACAACAAAAAATGGAAAAAAAATGTGGAGCACTAAATAAATACAGACATGGATAAGGATCCAGTGGGAGTAGTTGTTGTTAATTGCCGGACTCAGTTATAATAATGTTAGGCCCATTTCGGATGGCCCACTTTAATATTATCTCTAATTAATTTAATCAAATTATTTTTGGTCAAAATTACGATTCAAATTCGACGTACGATTTATGATTTAGTTCATACAATTTGATACAAGTAAATTAGATTTCAGAAACTTTTTCTTATTATTATGGTCAAACTTATACCATCGAGATAATATTTCGCTAAATTAGTAGAATTTTGTTAGTCACGGCTATATTAATATTTTTGATTTTTTTTAATAATTACGATTAGTGTTTTTGACAAAATAATTTCCTCATTCAATTTACAATTTGACAATCATTAATATGATATAGAAAAACTATAATTTTGCCCATTGACTAATTTATTGGCTGAAAATAGAGTATTTAAGAGGACCACCAAAATTGTAACTAGACTTGGGAAAAGCCTAAAATTGTAAATTTACGTGATGGACCTAAATAAAAACATTCGTGTCCTTATTTTATCCACTTCAATTCGTGTCGCTTACTTAATCCCATGTCACTATATTCAACTACTTCTATTTTCTTATATTTAATTTAATATTATTTAAAAAAAAAACCCTCTCACAATTTTATATTTATTAATAATTAATTATTGCCTTATCAGATCTCAACGGTTTTCATTTCCCCCAAAAATATTTCAAAAATCTGCGCATGTATGTACAGTTTCCATTTTCCCTTTTGTTTTTCTTCACATGCATCTCCTGTTTTTATTTATTTTTTTATTTATTTCTAATAATAATAAATAATACAATACCCCCTAAAATCTTCTGCGAGGCTCTGCAGAAAAAAAAGAAGAAAACCAGCCTTTTGTCCATGGAAGGTTTTTGTTGTGTTTAATTATCTGTTTCATTAGCAAGCGTTAATTAATAATTAGCCTCGTAAATCTCATATTTAAACCACAACTCTCGAGGTTTTTTTCTTCGAACTTTTTTTTTTTTATTTTTTTAAATAAACCTTTCTCTGCAAGAAGCTCCACCGTCGCGAACGAGCTCCGAGTTTGCTTCCGCTTTCAATTTTGCTTCTGCTTTTTTTTTTTCCCGGGATTTTGCTCTGTTTTCTTTTGTCATTTGCAAAGATTTGAGCTTTTCCATTTTCCTGCAATTTTCACCTGAGAATTGCGTTCGCCGAACGGTAATTCGGCATCTGGGGAAACCGTGGCATCGAAGTTTTTTTTTAGGAATTTGTTTTAGGTTAGGGTTTTAGCCTCAATGTTTTTGAACAATGTCGACTTAGACATTGTTCGAAATCTGAATTGCGAAGCCTCCGTTTGGGCGGTTCTGATCTAAATTGGAGGGTTTTGCGGTGGATTCCACCTCCAAGGAGAGGAGAACAAAATGTTGTCTATATCGCCAAATTCAATGGCTCGGAGCTCATTGGAGGAAATGCTGGATTCTCTCCGGCAAAGGGACGATAATGAGAAGCCGAAGGACATGCCTCCAGCTCTGCCAGCACGTCCCAGGTCAACCTCTCGTGCTCGCCTTCCGTCCACCAAGCGGCCGCTGCCTACGAGCTCTGGAATTGGGGAACCCGACACAGCCGAGAGCTCATCCAATTCTAATGTGGACAAGGAAGAAAGAAAAGGATTGAGGCGGAATAGTTTTGGGTCTAAAAATGTTAGAGAAATGAAACCAGGGGAATCACCTTACCAAATGGCAGCATCAGATGAGAAAGGACATGATCTGAAAGCAGATGAAGAAACCAAGGCCAACCTTGCAAACTCCAAATCGGGGTTGCTCCAAGGGTTTAGGGAGCCCGAATTGGATGACAACTTGGGATATTTCATTAAAAAGGTAGACGATTTGGTTCGGTTTTGTTGTCTGATTGCTGGTATTGATCTTTTTTCTGCACAGTTTAGATGCTTGGTCTTTATAAGATTAATCACGGGTTTTGGGGTGAACCTTAGTTTTTTTCTGTGGTTACATTTCATATACGAGCTGTTTCTTATGATGCCAGATTGAGTAAATGGAAACCAATTGCGATGGAGGATCATATAATTTGTTCTGGCTTCTTCGTTTTCATGAAACTATACGCATGCTTGAAAAGCAAGCACTGAAAAGGATCCTAGCAATCATTATAATAACTATATTTTGCTAGAATCTGAAAATAGTAGCCTTCTGTCTTAGCTCTCTTTCCTTATCTGAGATCCAACTTTTTCTGCAAGATGTAAAGTCAGGATACCTATATTTTGATATGCAACTGGCTCGGATTGTTTCCTCTCGTATCTTCGTTTCTGCCATATTATATTCTGATTTTTTTATGAGAACAAAAATAAGTTTTAGATAAGTTTAAAGATTTCAGTGGTATCAGTTTAAGATGAGTTTTATTTAGAATATTGGAGGGGTTCAAATGGCTAGCTATATTGCTGTAACAATGACATGGATAGCATCTTATATTGCTAAATTATTAAGTATTTTAACATTTTGCATTCTAGATCTGATCACTGGCCAATCATTTTAAATTATGTTCAGAAACTTCGTGTTTGGTGTCGGCTACACAATGTTCCATGGCAATCAGGGCAAATACAATCAACTTCAGGGGAAAAAGCTTCTGTTCGGCTTTTGGATGAAAGTGTTAGTTCATATGTGCTCATATATAGTTAGTATTTATGATAACACTGAAGAATTGAGTGGGAAACTTTATGTACTCACTATGTTATTGGTATAGGTTGTGACAGTTCCCACACAAGACCTCTTACCTGCCAATCCGGACATCCTTGAGGGGGTGGATGATCTTATACAACTTAGTTATTTGAACGAGCCTTCAGTTCTTCACAATCTTCAGTATAGATATTCTCGTGACATAGTATATGTAAGTAGTTATGTAGCATTTTTCTTAATCTGAATTGTGAATGCTTTCTCTATACACTTTTATCAATTTCTTGTCGCTGTTGTACTCAGAGTAAAGCAGGCCCTGTTTTAGTAGCAGTCAATCCTTTCAAAGATGTCCAGCTATACGGGAATGACTTTGTTACAGCTTATAGACAAAACCTTCTGGACAGCCCTCATGTTTATGCTCTTGCTGACACAGCATATAATGAAATGATGACAGGTATGGTACAATACTTTATATTAAGTTGATTGATCCTTATTGTTGACATATGAACTAGGCTGAAGAGTTAAATCTCATTTGTTTTTGCTACTATGAATTTTGCAGATGGGATAAACCAGTCAATTATCATAAGGTTCGTTGAACCTCTCTGTTTCTTGTTACTTTACCCAGATGGGCCAGATCTCCTTCTGATGTTATGACGTGTTGCTTGACTTATACTACTTCATTTGGTTAAATGCTTTTCTGTCAGTACAAAATGAAATGCTTCTGTTGTGTTTTATTGTATATGTTATATTATGTTACTGGGAAAGCAATAATTCGTTGTTATGGTTTGTAGTGGGGAGAGTGGTGCCGGGAAGACTGAAACAGCGAAGATTGCCATGCAATATTTGGCTGCGCTTGGTGGGGGTAGTGGTGGAATAGAGTCTGAGGTCCTGCTAACAAGCTGCTTATTGGAGGCATTTGGTAATGCTAAAACAGCCAGGAATAACAACTCTAGTCGATTTGTGAGTTCTGATCTGTTTGTACATTAATCTTTAGTAAACCAACATATAAATATATGGCGTGATGATATTCCAAATTTGGTTCAGGGAAAGTTGATTGAGATCCACTTTACTGCTGCTGGAAAGATATGTGGCGCTAAGATACAAACTTGTAAGCATATGCTTGAACTTGCCAAGTTGAATTTTGCGAATAGTACTGCTTGTTGAATCTTTTTTAAAATGACTTTTTTCTACAATGTGGTGCATATCAATCATCTGTTGCTGAATCATTACACAGTCCTACTTGAGAAGGTCAGTTTTTCTATCTGAAACAGTGTTGACTATCTTCTCTGATCTATGTCTCCCCTGTAACTTAACATTTTGAAACAAAATATGTCATTGGATCAGTCAAGAGTTGTTCAGTTGGCTCAAGGAGAAAGGTCATACCACATTTTCTACCAGTTATGTGCTGGGGCTCCTGATGGTCTCCGAGGTTTGTTTTCAGCTTTTATCCCATTTTAGTCTTGCTCTTGTTTTATCCTTTACTTCTCTTTCTTATGTTTCTTTTCTTTCTAGAATTCATTTTACTGGGACCTTTCAAATGATTTTTGTCTGTCTTGGTCAACCCTGATTATGTATTTTGCCTAACTATTTCAGGCATTTTGAAGTGTAAAATATGTGCGGAACTTACTCAATGAATAGAGTGTTCGTGGTGTTTTAACTGATGATTACACACTCTCACTAAAACAACATCAGTATTAGTGGTATTTCAAACGTTTGTAAGTTGGTAGGTGCAGTCTTCAGATTATGAAATATTTTATTGTCCACAGCAGGTGGATGAAAGATATCCATGCAGGATATATGACTTACTAAACTATGGAAAACATCGAAAAGTGAGTATCTTCTATAATTTACCTCGTGCACATGGTTTCTTTTTCAGGTAGGTTGAGGTTAAAAAGGGCTTCTGATTACAGCTATCTCAATCAGAGTGACTGCTTGACGATCCATGATGTCGATGATGCTCAGAAGTTTCATATGCTTATGGTAATGTTTCCGACCTTGCACAGTATTATGTACTGGATTTGCAACTCACTGTGGTTTAGCTAATCAATTGCAGATCATCTATTCTTTTCAGTATATTTTTTCATGTTACTGTTGATTTTCTTTCTCTAGGACGCCTTTAATACTACCAGAATTTGCAAAGATGACCAGGAGCATGCCTTTGAGATGCTTGCTGCAGTATTGTGGCTGGGAAACATATCGTTTCTTGTTATTGACAATGAAAACCACATAGAGGTTGTTGCAGATGAAGGTAGCTATATGTTTTCCTGCAGTTTATGCTCTTTTTGTCTCTTCAGCTCTTTTATTTCGCTGTATATTATCCACCTTGGGATATCATTTCATAGAAGAATATTCTGCTTGCAACAAAACCATTTTGCACCAAATGAACTAATATAAGCATCAAATGACATGATTATGTTAACTTGAGTTCATTTGTATCACATTCCGAAATAACTGAGATATCTATTATCTTTACATGGAGAGCATTTCTTTTTGATTAAGTAAGAATTTTATGCCTACATTTATTATGCCCACTTTATCTGAAGGTTCCTACTCCCTTGACTATTTGACACGATTTTCCTGGCTGCAGCTGTTACTAATGCCGCTGGCTTGATCGGATGTGGTATTCAGGACCTAATGCTTGCTCTGTCAACCCATAGTATACAAGCTGGAAAGGATAAGGTCGCCAAAAACCTGACGCTGCAACAGGTTAGTATGTTATCAAATATTCATTTTTTTCTTGAAAAACATGTGGATAAATGAATGTTATTTGCTACTCTGGGAGACATACTTCGATACTTGCAAAAATCTTATATCTAGCCACTTTGTCTCTGTACGTCTGAGTTGAAGGTGTTTCCTCCCTCTAATTTAGGCAATTGACACGAGAGACTCATTAGCCAAGTTCATCTACGCGAGTTTGTTTGACTGGCTGGTAGAAAAGATCAACTTATCCCTTGCAATGGGCAAACAACACACTGGGAGATCAATAAGCATTCTAGATATCTATGGGTTTGAATCATTCAAGGTAAGTTGTGTGAACCTTTTCTTGTAATTATACTACGATGCAGCTCCGTCTCATTCCTTTCCTTTTCTTATTTCTTTGCTGCAGAAAAATAGTTTTGAACAGTTTTGCATAAATTATGCTAATGAGAGACTCCAACAACATTTTAACCGACATCTCTTCAAACTTGAGCAAGAGGTAAGCATCTAATACATGTTCCAATGATTTCGAGTTCATGGGCTTTAAATATTATTCCTTGCTATCAGATGAAGCAATTAACTTCATGCATATCATTGGGGATTGCATTTTTTCCTGTTCGACATATTTGCTTTCCAGGAACTTTAGCTAGCGTACAGATATTCCATTTTCACATCAATTTTTATTATTCGCCAAATCCTGAATGTTACAATAATGACAATGCAAGTTTATTTCTTGTTTATTTATTTGTTTATTATTTATTTGATTTTTTGTTGTATATTGTTTTCTACAGGGATACGAGTTAGACGGAATTGACTGGACAAAAATAGATTTTGAAGATAACCAAGACTGTTTGGATCTCTTCGAAAAGGTATTTCTCTTCCCATAGTCAAGAATCTCGACATTGAGTAGCAAGGGTGTTATTTTTTTGTGATCTTTTATTTTTGTTCTCGGGGTTGCGTTAATTTTAATTCATTTTTATGTTTGAGTGTGCGGGTAAGAGGTCTTACGTGGTAGGCCAAATTGTCCTATTAGGCTCATATGATAGATTTTGGTTGAACTTTGACGTGCTGCTCACTGTTATTAGATATTGTTTTATCTATTATTTTGTAGTAGACCTATTGGAGCCTGCAAAAATTGAAATGCGGCTATGGTGACCTTTTTCGTTCTTTACGAATTTGTCTATTTATGTTTCACACTGGTGTGCTTTTTAACAGAGACCTCTTGGGCTAATATCTTTACTGGATGAAGAATCAAATTTCCCCAAAGCTACAAATTTAACTCTTACCACTAAGCTTAAGCAGCACTTGAAGGGTAATCATCGCTTTAAAGGAGAACGCGATGGAGCATTTACTGTCCGCCACTATGCTGGAGAGGTAAGTGTTACTTATGGTTACACCTTCATGGAATTTATTTAAACCAATCTGAGCAATGACTATCTGCAGCATTAGAAATCTGAACAGAACTGTGGATTATTTATCTGGTATAACTACTGTACACAGTTGGAATAAAGTGTAACATTAAGAAGCAAGAACATATGTTATGATACGGCAAATATTCTTGTTACATCTTCCCTTCAACTTTAGCCTGCCTACCTTGTTTGTTTGGAAAAATGTTCTACTTTTGGAAGGTTTTAAACCCTCGTTTACTGTTAATCATCATCTGGCTATTGGGCAAGATGCTAAAAGTAGTTCGTCCTTGAATTTTGCGAAAACATATTTAGGTATACCATGTGATTCTGTTTGCAATATACATACATATTTCCAATTTTTTGTTGGAGAAATATTTTCAACAAATCCATTATTACTGATTGTGTCCTTATTTTTTACTAGAGTTCCCTTTTCTATCGTAAGCTGTTTCTCCAGTGGTCTGTAGTTATGAAATTTATTGAACCTCTTCACATTCATGGTCCACGATGTAAAAATATCAGACTGGTCTAGCTTGACCCTATATTTTCTCATTTTTTAAAAAACAAAAGTATGCTAGTTGAATTTTGTCTACACTTGTATGATTTAAACAGGGTAAAATAGCATCCACGTAAATACGAGATGTTAGATATGTCACTGCTGAATATTTTAAGTGCACATCTCCATGTTATCCATTAACATATTTTTATCTTTGCATACCAAAAGAGTAGGATTTTTTTATGTTGTGACTAAGATTGAGTCCTATTGCATTGGGAACTGGTCAGTTGCCCTGCTGTAATCAAAGCATTATGTAAATAGATATACCTCACTTGTGCTCCAAGATTCTTCTCCTGGTTGATATGCTCCTTTGCTAAATGTCGACATTGATATTTTATATGTTTCCTTACACGAGAAACAAGAATGATAAACTAAACACTGAAGTTATAAAGTAGCAGCTATTGTCTTTGACCTATGTTATCACATTGGTCCCTCCAATATCACATTTTTTACTTTTTTACTGAGAGAGGCTTTTTTTAGGTTCTTTATGACACAGGGGAATTCTTGGAGAAAAACAGAGATCTTTTGCATTCTGAAATCATTCAATTACTCTCATCATGCACTAGCCAATTATCGCAGTTGTTTGCCTCTATGCTCAAACAACCCCAGAAGCCTGCAAGTTCGCCCATCCAGGTGGGAATGCCTGCTTGTCAGAAGCAAAGTGTGGCCACAAAATTCAAGGTAAATAATCCCGTTCTTCCTCACCACGACCAATTATAGAGTTTAAATTGATTTTCCTTTTGATGTGATAACTTTAATTTCAGACATAATACAATGTTTGCGCACTTGTTAATGTGCCAATTATATTTATCTTTGGTTATATTAGTATTAGGCAAAGAACTTTTCAGCATACATGATATGTTTCCTGAAATAACTTACATGGTTGCAGGACCAGCTTTTTAAATTAATGCAACAGCTTGAGAGCACAACACCACATTTCATTCGTTGTATAAAGCCTAATAACAAGCATATTCCTGGTATGTTCGATAAAAACCTTGTGTTAGAACAGCTTAGATGCTGTGGGGTGCTAGAAGTTGTTAGGATCGCAAGATCTGGATACCCCACCCGGATGACGCATCAAGAATTCACAAGAAGGTGAACTACTACTATCTTCACATCCATCCACTTCTTATGGGTACTTTAGATCTCTTACACTTTGTTGGCATGACTTTCAGATATGGATTTCTACTTCCTGAAAATCATACTTGTCAAGATCCTTTGAGTACATCAGTTGCCATTCTGCAGCAGTTCGATATCCTCCCTGAGATGTACCAAGTTGGTTATACAAAATTATACTTCCGAACGGGACAGGTGAGTTTGTTTTTTGTTTAAAGGTCTATCATATTACAATGTGTCAATTTTTGCAGTGTTGCACTGATTGTATTCTGGATTGCTAATGGAGTATTATAAGATTTTCTGATCTTGTGTTGACTACAGATTGGTTCCTTGGAAAATGTTCGAAAACAAGTTCTGCAAGGTACTCTTGAGGTGCAGAAGTGCTTCCGTGGTCATCGTGCTCGTCGGTATTTTCACGAGCTTAAAGGAGGGGTAGTAACATTACAATCATGTAAGTCCCATTTCCTATAGCATCATTTGTAACTAGAACTATTCAGTTTGCTCTTAGAAATGGATGTGCAAGGAAAAATACGTTTGTTGTTCCGATGATTTCTTTGAATTTTTGCCACAATAAGTTTATCTCTTTTATCGGGTGGCAGATTGATTCACATGCTGCGGCTTCTTATTATCTGTATTCTTCAATAAGAATCAAACTACATGTCAATTCCCCCATATTTATTTTAGTTCTGCTCCACCCTACGTACCAATTATCAAAATGCATACTGTTTGTTCTTATATATATATCTAATCATCAATGCAGACGTTCGTGGTGAAATCGCAAGAAAGGAGTACAGTATTTTACTCAGTTTGAAGAAGCAGGCTGCTTGCAAGAAGCTTGATGAGCAGCTTATGGCAGTCGTGCAAATACAATCTGGTAAAGCTTCTATATGCTTTTAGCTGTAGCAGATGATTTTTTGACGAACTATCCTATTTAAATATATTCCCTTGTGCAGTCATCCGTGGGTGGTTGGTACGGAGGTATTTTAGTAGCCTTCAGGATTCAAAAGAGTCGAATGTTAGTAAAAGGAGACCAGGCAGGAGGAGTTCTGAAATCAAGGTACTGTGTTGAAAAGCTGGAAGGAGATATTTTAAGCTTCTTAACATCTTGTATTACATCTTTTGTTCTTGTGTGGCTAACTGAAAAAAGACGCTTCTAGCTTGATTTGCATTTCCATTTCCATTTTGTAATTTTATAAACAAGTTTTGCTTTCATTGGTTGAGCAGGACCTGCCTCTAGAAGTATTGCCTTCAATTGTTGAAGAACTTCAAAAGCGGATTTTGATGACAGAAGCGGCCCTTGGAAGGAAGGAAAAAGAAAACGCAGCCCTGAGAGAGCAAGTGCAACAATTCGAGTCTCGCTGGTCGGAATATGAAACCAAGATGAAATCCATGGAGGAAATGTGGCAAAAGCAGATGGCATCTTTACAAGTAAGCATTTATAGTATTCCTCAGAAAATATCTGTTATTAATGCCAAGACTTTAGTATATAGAGCAACCAGCCAAAAGCTTTCGAACTTTATTTTCTGTTTGTGTGTAAAGAACTATGCTCGAGAATTATCATAATGGGTAGTTTCCTTTTTGTTTTCGTATTTGCAGATGAGTTTAGCTGCGGCAAAAAAGAGCCTTGGTACCGACAACACAACAGGACAACCAGAAAAACATCATGGGGCCCAATCACCTTCTTTTTACGATTCCGAGGAGATGTCTTTTGGACCACACACTCCTAGCGGTAGCACCCCTACCAGAATTTTGAACAATGGCACCAACACAAACGGTGGCTTAAATTCAATCAGCACACTTGCGAACGAGTTTGAACAGAGTAGGCGGAATTTCGACCACGAAGCCCAAGCAATTGTGGAGGTTAAGTCAGCAGATACTGTAAATTCAGTAGAGGATATACGGAGCCTGAAGTACAAATTTGAGGCATGGAAAAAGGATTTCAAAGTTCGGTTAAGAGAAGCAAAGGCGAAAGCACACAGGCTCGGATATGGCGATGCCGAGAAATATCGTCGGAAATGGTGGGGAAAGAGAACTAAAAGATTTTAAAAACATCAATAAATTCGATTCTTTTTATTTGTTTTGTTTGTTCAAGTAATCTGGTTATATAAGCAACTTTGCAATGACTGTGAGATGCTTCTTTTCAGGAACGCCCCACAAAATCGATTCGGTTTATGCTAGTTAGGTGTGTGTGTGTGATGTTGTCATTGTGTTAATGGCTTCTTTTCGTTTCTCGTGTATAGCGTGTGTTTGTTAATGTAGTAAGGTTTAGAATGTAGTAGGATATAGGTAGTGTGTAAAAACCGGGGACTCGGAAGAAAAATGGAAGGAGCACGAATCAAACACCTTGTAATTTGCTACATCATCCTTTCAGTCTTCTAATTAAGAGCTGTTTAAATTAGGCATGCTAGATTTATTTCGTGCAAATATTATATGTTTATATGTTACATTCAGTTTTTCGATTTTATGGTTTTATTGAGAGAAGATTATTAATTTATTTCAAAATGTATTGGCAGTTAAAAAATGGTAGGTATAGTTTTGCGGTGAACGTGGATCGAACACGTGACCTTCAGATCTTCAGTCTGACGCTCTCCCAACTGAGCTATCCCCGCTGATGTTCTGAGCTTTCCAAATAACTATAATATCCTCTGTGTATCAAAAAAGGTTAAGGTTAAAATGAAAATTGAAATGCGGTGAACGTGGATCGAACACGTGACCTTCAGATCTTCAGTCTGACGCTCTCCCAACTGAGCTATCCCCGCTTGACATTCATAATTATCGAATAATATTAATGAACGTTATGTGTTTTTTAAAACAGTGAAGGGTAACGGTCGACTGTAGCAGTGCCATTTGCCAACCCCTGGTGTTCCTTTCACCATCAATTCAAAGGTTTTAGAGCAAAAAAAAAAAAAAAAAAAAAAATCCACAGGACTGTATTTTTGGAATCAGATAATCCAACATGCCAGATTCAAATATCCAGTTGTTAATTCTTTAGTTCTAGGGTTTTCGAAAAAGACAGCGAAAATGGGTTTGAAAAAGACGATTCCGCAACAACTTTTCGCTGTTGCAAAGAAAAGGCCGGAAAATCACCCAAGGAAAAGCAGGGAACCCGTCGTCAACCACTGGGCAATCTTGGTAACTGTTACTTCCTAATCTGTATGCTTTTGTTTTCAATTTTCGATTCGTCTGCATATAATTTTAATGCGCTACACGATTTGCCCTTTTTTTTTTTTTTTTTTTTTTTTTTTTAATCTCCCTGGACACTTCTATTGATGTTTACATGATTTGTTTAACCACTTGTTCGCTTGTTGTTAAATGGATTCAACCATCTTATGTTTTGCTACATCGTTGATTCATTGTTCTAGTGGTTTTGCTTAAGTTCCATTTATCGAACTTTCGTTAGTCATCTGCTTGCATTCACCTTTGTTAGTAATCTATTATCACATCCTTCTAATTCGAGTTTATGAGTGTGTGTATTTCTCGCGCGTTAATCGTCTTTTACCTAAATTGTTATTAAGGGATTTTATCTGTTTGATTGATAAATGAAGGATGAAATCGAAGCTCCCATGTGGGTGGATCTTACTCTTGAATGCAACTCCACTTACGAAGACAAGTGAGTATTATTTTTCTACTTAATCGGAAAAACTGATTGGTACTTGTGTTGAAGTCTTTGTTCCTTTTGGTTGGGTGTCGTATGAATTGCCTTTACATCATGGTCATGACTTTTGTTGCATTTGTATGTTTTATTGCAGGGACGATGAGTGGTTCAACATAAGCCATCCGTAAGAGTCTTTTTCATTTCTTTTGGTTTCGTCTCGTCTATAACGAATAGAATTGGAATCTTGAATTGGAAGACTTTGTCAAATTGTTTGTTCTGATCAAATTCGATGCATTTTCAGGTTCCATCAATCCTCTGCCCGGCAGTTAATATCAGCATCTTCTATTTCTGCGGGACCAACTTCTCCAAAGCTTCCACAATCAGTATCAAAATCGAGAGGCAAAGATTACAAGAGTAAGAAGCAAGAACCTTTGGTTTGTAGATTGGCCTTAAACAAGCAGCTTCTGTTTGAAAATTCGAGCAGCAAATGTTCATCGATAAGTACAGGAAAAGTAAATGACAACACCTTATCTCAAACTGCTGCGCTGGTTTTTTCGAAATCAGCGTCTAGTTTTGGAGGCGAAGGGAGCAATTCAAATGGTTCGATTATGTCAGAAGCTACAGCTGGCAAACTCACCGAGACATCTGCTCTGCCATTTGGCTCTACCACCGGTGGGTTATTGTACAATAAGATTAGAGATAGCCTGCGGAAAAGTTACGTTACGAGACAAGCATCCAGGGTAGAAGGTCAGAAATCTTCTTCTTCAAGTAAATCGAGTGTGGGTTCCTCTTCGAATCCTGCAGGTCAAGGAAACATGGAAGAAACTCCAGATAGCATAAACATCAAGAAAATGCCTCAACTCCCAACTGAGAAAGTCGGTAGAGCAAATGCACTCGCGGGACCTACTTCTCAAGCTCAGAAGACGAGATGCAAATCTTATCTAAGCATGAACAGAGAAGCAAGTAAAACAATGGTGAGAAATTGGAGTGAGTTGATAATCATTAATCTTTTTTTCTGCAAACCATGTTATATGTCACATGAATTGCTCTCGATTTCGGTAGGAAATTCATTTGTTTTGATGAATATGCAGTATTTGCTTCTTGCCTTTGAAAGTTTTTGTAACTTGTGTCGTATCGTGGTTTCAGGATCATAATAAGAAGCAGAGAGAAGGTTATGCTACTCGAAAAGCTATACCTCTAGCAAAAGCTAATAATTCGACAAGGGGAGTTAACCAATCCAAAACTCTTAGTGTTGGTAAAGAAAATCCGTCCGGAAAATCAATTACGAGGATGAAAGAAGCTGAACGTCCTCTGCAAGATCCAAAAATCACGAGAAGAAAAATACGCCAGACAAGTGATAGAACCAAATTTGTTGGGTCAAGGGTACATCTCTTTGCTTTTTAAGTTTATTGTGCTAGTTATGTTAATACTTGCAGTTTCATGTTTAATAATATAAACTATTTCGACCATTTTTCATGTGCATTATATTGCTACATTTCGACACTCCATTCTTTTGAACGGGAGATAGTTGTTATTAACCCTTGTTCATTATATTATCTATTCCACCGATTCCACAAATCCAAGATTTGTTTTTTTTTTCTTTCTAATATTCTTATAAACAATACACTCGATTTTCCTATGTTTGCAGGACGATGGCAGTATCGAAACTAAAGTGAAGAAATCGAATAGAATGGTCGAGACAGTCTACTTTCGATAGTAAATCAGCATAACATGTGTATGTATATAGATAGCTAAATCCCTTTAGCATTTCTCAATGGAGTGTGGTATTAGTAGATTGGATGAAGCAAAAACTCAACCTTGTAAACCTCCCTTGCTGTATGGCCCTCCCTTTGGTTGTTTTGTTCCTACTGCATGTTACATTTGACAGCTTAACTTGGAGGCATTTGTAAGAATCAGCTGTTCATTTTTGTCTTGGAAAAAAAAACCATGTAAAAACCATATTTTATTTTTTGGGTAAATTACGGCCACCCGGCCCCCTGGGGTAATGTTAAATTACGGAAAAACGCTTGATGTTTGGGTAATTACAACCGCCCTTTTAACTATGAATCTTCTTACACGTCCATTCTCGCGGTGTTAAATTTAGTGGAATCTTGTAGATTATGTTGAATACTCTCTAGTTCGTACCCATTTTACCCCATTCGAGCTCCGCATTTGAAACAAGATGATCATAAAATGTGTCTCTTAGCTTGTAAATATCAGATTGTGGTGCATCTAAATATACATTTTTGCACAAATGAGTACAAACTGGAGAACATTCTACGTAATTTGAACACTTTTAGGGTGAACATATAAGAAGATTCGTGGTTGAGGAGAGTTGTTGTAATTACCGAAAGATTAGATATTTTTTCTTCATTTGACAATATCATAATTTACCCTATTTTTTTTAGCTATTGCAAAAAAAAGCTATAGGGGAAACTATTTAGGGGTCTTTCGAAATGGTCCTATTTCATATTCTTGATTTTGCTGATGTGAAAGTTAGTTCAGGTATGCGTCACTCTACTCATCACAACAAAGAAAGATGTGAATTTTTACCCCTGAAAAATAATTAAATTGCTATTATCTATTTTCTTTTAGTGGAACAGTTTTAAGTTATTTTTAAGCAATATCATATATAATATATTTTCAATAAAACCTTATATTTACTGGTGAGTGGTGACGTGTCAACAAAAGCAAAGACAAATTTATGATGAATGGTTGTGAATATAATAAAGAAACAGAAACATCTAACTGACAACCTACAACACAATGAAACTTACTTGTAATAACTACGACATCTCCTCTATACTATGTAGGTTGCGAGCAATTTTTGCAATAAAATTTCGAATTTATAAAATTCATTTTGGTGTTCCTATATATATATATATATATTAATAATAAAATAATTGAACCTGAAAAGAAAAGAATTCCATTGAAAAAGGGCTCTTGATGCACGGTATATGATTTGCTGTGAGAATGTATGTATGTATATATATAAATGCAGAGATAATTATTGTTTAGGTTTTGTAAGGTTATAGAGGAGTAAATGATAAGAAGAAATAATTGATAGGACTAAAGAACAAAAAGGAGGAAACTGCATGGAAACTGTGTTTTTCGAACTTATTTGGGAATTAATGAGATATATATATTAATATTATACTTTTTTCCCTAAATTAACCTTACATCATAACTTTTGTTTTTCACTTTTTATAATACTCCAACAAATAAGTAAATATTGCTCCCCGGACCCTACTATCCGGATAATTTCATTATAATAAATAAAGGGTTGTAAACGAGTCGCACCTCACAATTTGATGAGCTACTCGAGCTTGACAGATTAGAGTTGAGTTTGTCGAGTTCAAACTCAATTTGTTTTTTATTGAGATTATTTATTACTATTCTTAAATTATTGATATTATAATAAGAAATGAACTGAAATTTATTTAGTTAAAAAAAATTATTTGTTATATTATTATTATTATTATTATTATTATTATTATTATTATTATTATTATTATTATTATTATTATTATTATTATTATTATTATTATTACTAAAAATAAAAATAAAAGTAAAAGTATAAAAAGTAAAAGAAAATGAGCCGTATAAGGACTATCTATTTTCTGAAATGTGAATTACATATACACATTCATGTTATATAATTAATGTTTCCAATTTCTCTTGCCGACATTTTTTAGATCAAGCTCGTCATACATGGTTTGTCCGAACAACTTACACCTCGTATGTGATTTAGGGGTTATTGCACGACAGTGGTTATATATACCAGTGTCCCGTGCACATCAAATTCATTTTTCAAAATAAATATAAGTACTAATGGTTCAAATTAAAATTCTTTGTTATACTTAAAAAAGTAAATATAGCAAAAAAAAAAAAAAAAAAGAAAGAAAAAAAAAAATGAAACTATAATACAAAGACATGGATAAATGAATGCAAGGGCATTGTAGTAATTGTGCAAAACATTCGCCATATCTGCAATTATTACATGTGTGTCTTCATCTCTACAACCTTACCATAGCCTCCAACCTTACCAACCTAGTACCCCTTCTTCTTCCTCATCCCCTCAACAAACACATAAATCAAATATGCCAAATTATGCGCAAGAATTACGGATTCGCCACAACTACAACGACATCGATTCTTCTTCATCCGAAGACGAAAATCTAGAAGAAGAAGATCATGAAGAAGAAGAAGAAGAAAACACAGAAGACTCCAAAACCAAGTACGGCGGCTGCGGGCCGGGGGGGCGGCGCCGCCGCGTGGGGTGGTGGTTGTGGGGTAAGGTTCTGGACCCGAGGTCGACGTGGGTGAGGGAATGGAACAGAATATTCCTTCTGGTATGCGCCACCGGACTTTTCGTCGACCCGCTCTTCTTCTACGCACTCTCAATAAGCGAGAACTGTATGTGCCTCTTCGTCGACGGTTGGTTCTCCGTCACCGTCACCGTCCTCCGCTGCATGACCGACGCCCTCCACCTCTGGAACATGTGGCTCCAGTTCAAGATGAACCGCCGCCCCCACCACCCCCACCACGGCGGCGCCGCCGTCGAGAGGCACGGAGGAGCTGATGGGTTGATGATGCACGACGGCGCCACCGCCGGAGAAGTCGCCTGGAAATACTTCAAGTCAAAGAAGGGTTTCTTCTTGGATCTCTTCGTCATCCTTCCGTTGCCTCAGGTGAGATTTTATATATATATATATATATATGTGTGTTTCATTCTCTCGTGCACATATTAATTCTTTTGAGAATTAATTTAAATATGAAAAAGAAGAAGAAAAAAAAAAAACTGTAAGTAATCATCGGAGAATTAATCATGGTCATGGAATTCTGGTAAATTACAGCGAATGATGCCAAATTGTAAGGATTTTATTTTGGAATTATTGTGTCATATATATATATATATATATATATATATATATATATATATATATATATAAATATGTCATAAGAATTGTTTGTATGCATGCAGTGATGAAAGGTAGCCTTACATTACTGTTACATATTCTTACAAGAACATGTGACCATATCCTGTGTGTATATGATCCGTATATGCTTCGTAGGATTGATTAAAACAAATGAAATTTATCAAGGAAAATACTCAATTTATAGAAGATTCGAGTTAGTTTGTTTAATGCTATTAAGCTCTATTAACTAAATAATATGGGTTAGTAAGATGTTTGATTGATGAGATTCGCATTTAGTTTAACTCGCTATTACATTTAAAGTCCGCAATTAAATGTTATTATTTGGTTAAATTAGTAGCACCCCTCTCCTGCGATTAATTTAGTGGAAGGTGATTAAAAGAAGAAAAATACAATTATATCCTTAAAACAATATCTTAATTTTGTTAATTAAAAGATTTTTTTGACAATTTACAATTAATACTATAATTTAACAAATTCAATACAAGATTTAATCAAACGAATCAAATATCTTATTGACTAAATAATCAATTAGCTAGTCAATGGGATGTTAATTCAATCTCACATAATCCAATGTAATTCGATATAGACAAATAAATGAGTCCGTATATTAGCTAATTATCTAGAAAAAAACATAATTTTCAAATAATTAGTGGAGTTTATGAGAATCATGGAGACGATTTCTTTTGATTTCTTGAACGTTTCCATAACAATAATATATGATTAAATAATTATTATGTTTTCATATAAAACTAATTAATCATAACATCACTGTTTTTTAATTGCAACTTCAAATAATTTTCGTTTTGGGTTGATGTATGCTTAATTTTCACTTAATAAAATAATAACAATATACGTGAATTTTAGAGAATTTTCTTTGCCAAAATAGCCTTCTCATTAATAATTTTAATTTTCACTAATTATTTTTCAATTAAAGTGACAAGGGTAAAATTGAAAAACATAATAATTAATTAAAATTTGAAATTACAAAGTGACAATTATTTTGAAATGAAAAGAAATGGAATTTGCAAAGTTTATAGTCCAACTCAAATAATTGAAAATCTCAAAATTTGAATTGTAGCTATATAAGTCATGTCACGGGCTAGTCTTGAAACCTGGTCTAGGCTTATTAGCTAATCAGCCAAAAATTGTTTTAGTTTGTACTGAAAAAACATGATTTAAGAATTAAAGAGTGATTAATTTGCAGATAGTAATGTGGGTGGCGATCCCGAAGCTGCTGGAGAAAGGTTCGACAACGGCGGTGATGACGGTGTTGCTAGTAACATTTCTATTCCAATATTTGCCCAAAATCTACCACTCCGTTGGCCTCCTCCGCCGCATGCAGAATCTCTCCGGCTACATTTTTGGTACCGTTTGGTGGGGCATTGCTCTCAACCTGATCGCCTATTTCGTCGCTTCTCACGTAATATTAATTATTTCGATTTAATTCCTTAATCAATATTTAATTTCCCCCATTATAATTAGTAAACAATCTTTATAAAGTCAAGTTAGATAAGCCAAATATATATATATATATATATATATATATATATATATATATATATATATATATATATATATATATATATGATGATATTAATGTTATATATATAATTGTGTGTAATGAAATATTGTATAGGCTGTGGGAGCATGCTGGTACTTGTTAGGCATACAAAGGGCTGCAAAATGCTTGAAAAAGCAGTGCATGTCGACCAAGGACTGCAACGAAAGAATGATGGCTTGCCAAGAGTCGATATACTACGGCACGAAAGATATAATTTCGGACAGAACAAGATTCATGTGGGGGGACAACAAATTTGCAAGAACCACTTGCCTCGAAAACTACGACAATTTCGACTACGGAGCTTATAAATGGACCGTGCAGCTTGTCACCAACAACAATCGTCTCGAGAAAATACTGTTCCCTATTTTCTGGGGCCTCATGACTCTAAGGCAAGCAACTCAACTCAATTCACCTATGTCAATTATTATCTCTTAATTATAAATTGACCCTAAGATAATCATGTTATTATCATGATCATATATACTTTGAACGAAAACAGTACTTTCGGGAACTTGGAGAGCACAACAGATTGGTTAGAAGTGGTTTTCATTATCATTGTTCTCACCACTGGACTCCTTCTTGTGACAATGTTAATTGGTAACATCAAGGTATTAATTAATCAATTCATTAAATACGTAGCTATTTGTGAATTAATTTTATTTCGTTGTTGTAATTGAAGATATTTGTGAATAATTAATTTTGGGTAATAAATGGAAATAAAATTCCAGGTGTTCTTGCATGCGACGACATCGAAGAAACAGGCAATGCAGCTAAAGATGAGGAATATAGAGTGGTGGATGAGGAAAAGACGACTGCCTCAAACATTCAAGCAAAGAGTAAGGAATTACGAGAGGCAACGTTGGGCGGCAATGCGTGGTGTAGACGAATGCGACATGACTAGAAATCTGCCTGAAGGACTCAGGAGGGATATCAAATATCATCTGTGTTTAGATTTGGTCAGACAGGTAAATCATCATAACTCCATTTTCTCAATATATAATTTATCTTTTATTAAGTAGTGGATTATATTGTAAATATTCATGCTTGAACATATATCTTTTATTTATTTTCAGGTACCTCTATTCCAACACATGGATAATCTGGTCCTCGAGAATATTTGTGATCGTGTCAAGTCCCTCATATTCACTAAAGGAGAAACAGTGAGTAAAATTTACTAACCTTCTATTCATAATTCAATATTTCAATCTGGTCACCTCTGTGTTTGATTAGCCTAATTAATAGTTAGAATAAAAAATAATTTAAATATATACTTAGTATTAATATACGTGTCTGTTGCTTATCTTGGAGTCATAGCGGTTCCAAGATTTCACGGGCCTAGGCAAAATTTAAAAATTATATAAAACTACATTGACAAATAAATAAATGATGGAAATAAATAAATGATGGGTAAGATGAATTGAATTAGTATACGAATCAAATCATGTGTTTACGATAAAAGATAGAGAAATCATGTGATGATCATAACACAAAATTCTCTAATTCATCTTCTATAACTTCATTATTAATCAAAATCATAACTTCATTATTAATCAGAACTTGAAGGAATTAATAGTTGAATAAATTTCTGTTTAATTTTCCTTTCAAAAAATTAGTAATTTAGATCTTTCTTAGCAATCTATTCCTTCAACCCCGACCGGCCGAAAACCAAGCCTCAAATATTACAATTAAGCCACACTTGTGTCCGCTCACGTTCCAAGTATAATGCTATAGAACAACAATTTGTAGCTCATAATTTCAGTTTCAACTCGGAAGTGAAAAAGAAAGAAATCATCTTATTCGAACACAATAGGATGCATGATTTGTTGATAGGCTATACTAAACAACAAATCCGACATAATATATCGAAGTAAAAGAGTGTTTAGTGTCTACAAATATTGGTTGGTTGGTTTTACAAATGAAATCTTACTCCTATTTATACTTTTCTAAGAGAGAATTGATTTAGTGACTATGTAGAGCAATATATAAACGTTCTAAGTACTTTATAGTAACTAACTAGAATAAAGATGTTTTTAGGAAATTTGTAGAAATCTATAGAATTTGGTTACAATTTCCAACAAATTTCTAGAAAATTCCTATCTACAAGTTGCCTACTTTGCGAAAATATCATATTTTTTTGGTTCAAAACAGACAGACGAACCGTTACACCTCAGTCTCATACACATTCATATTATTTATTCTCTGTTATTATATATTATTTTTACAAACATGTTATTCATTAAAATAAAAAAATTCTTAAAAAAAAAAGATAACAAGAGAAGGCGATCCGGTGCAAAGAATGCTATTCATAGTAAGAGGGCATCTGCAGAGCAGCCAAGTCCTACGCGACGGAGTGAAGAGCTGCTGTATGTTGGGCCCCGGCAATTTCAGCGGCGACGAGCTTCTCTCATGGTGCCTGAGGAGGCCCTTCGTCGAGCGGCTGCCGCCGTCTTCCTCCACGCTCGTCACCCTCGAGACCACCGAGGCTTTCGGCCTCGAGGCGGAGGATGTCAAGTACGTGACCCAGCACTTCCGGTACACGTTCGTGAACGAGAAGGTGAAGAGGAGCGCTCGGTACTACTCGCCGGGGTGGCGGACCTGGGCGGCGGTGGCTATACAGCTGGCGTGGAGGAGGTACCGCCACCGCCTTACGCTGACGTCGCTATCTTTTATCCGGCCGAGGAGGCCGCTGTCGAGGTGCTCGTCGCTTGGGGAAGATAGGCTCAGGCTTTATACTGCCCTGTTGACTTCCCCCAAGCCCAATCAAGATGATTTTGACTTTTAATTACTATTATTAATGTTTTTTGTGTCAACTTTTTTCGAGTATATAATACAAGTATATGGTACTACTCACTATGTATGTTTGATGTTTGAGATGTTGAATAATTGTGTTGTGAGCAATTTATTTACTTCTTTTCATTTCATTTTTTTTGAGAAAAATAAAGTTGGAAAGAAAAGTAATATTGTTTGTAAGCAAGAATAATGTAGCGGTCAAATTCATGTTACATTTTGTTATATTTTAATGTGTAAAGATCTCATCAGAAAATTCGTAATTGATTTTTAAATATTTTTAATAGTGTGGAAAGCAATTTTTAGTGGGTCAAGTGCAACAATTATATAGTTTATGGGTACTCATTTTAAATATATATATATGTATATATTTAATGACGTACACTATTATCCTTAAATTAAATTATTTAGAGTTTGACATGATTAGAATGATAATAACAACAATCTTTCACAAGTAATTGACTTAAATTAAATACATTAAATTGGTATTATCATGGACGAACATTAGATGATACACCTGGTTATTTACACTGAGTGTATTTGAAGCGTAAATTTGATTAAATAACTACACACTAAGAATAATAAATAGATGTAGAATCTAACTTCCCGTATCGTGAATGTGAATATAATATAGACCATATGGTGAAAAAAGAAACTTAGTTTATAAAAAGCAAATTAATTACGTAATTTGTGAAGGACCACAATATGATTACATGGGGCGTCGACAAAAAAACGGAATAAGGACAAAAGGGGAAAAAAGAGACGTTGATTAAGCGGCGGTGATCTTCAAAGGCGGAAATTGATCGTCGGCTTCGGTTTCTTGGCCGGTAGAGCCTCGGAAGAGCAAAATAGCAAGGCTACCAATGCAGAAATGGATAAAACATCCACACCAATGTGTCACAAACGAACCAAAATCCGTTCCCACGATACACTGCCATCCCGCTCCGTAACTCCTATCAAATTCCTGCAATTATACATATCGAACCACTCATAAATAATTATGTTTTAACGATTTATTTTCTCAAGTAAATACAAAAAACATTTTCTTTTTTTTTTCGAAAAATCAAAAAAATAATTTAAAGAGTGTAAATAAATTAATATTAATAATATACCTTCTTAATGAAACGGGCAATTTGAGTGGAATCAGTGACATCAAAAAAATCAAGAGCCTTGGCTGCCAAATCAAGTGCATCTTGCTGCATAGCTTCCAGCATGTCTGTCTCACCCACAACTGCCTTCCCTTCTAACATTCTGATTTATCTATATATTAATATTAATGAATATTTCAATAACTAACAACTTTCTCTCTCTAGATCTCTCTCTCTAAATATATGATTGCAAGTTCTTGTTCTACAATTCTTTAATCTTCTTACTTCTTCTTATATATAGTACTTGTAGGGGTGGGGGTGGGGTGGGGGTAAAGGGTGAGGTGGACCAAAGGGAATTTAGGCACAAAAAGATGGGGATTCCATTTATGTGGTGCCCAAAATTTATGCATGTGATCCTTTGGTATCATTCGAAATAATAATAAAAATAATGGCTATTTGATTTTAGACCAATACAACAATTAAGTGGACAATGGTTTACTTTGGTTGAGGTCCATAAGGAAAACATCAACTTGGCTACTACACTTAATTATTTCCATTCTCGGTTGCCGACTCATGAATTTTATTTCGGACATAGTACCTTCTAATATCTCCAGGTTGTCAATTGCAGGCGAATTACATTTGAAACCTTGCACTTGAAATATTTTAAATTGGGTGGCAGCAGGATTCGAACTCAAGACCCTACATTTAGTTTGCCTCTGATACGATGTTGAATGATCACATTAACCAAAAGTTTAAGCTATTAGTGAAGTGTATCATTTAATATTAGCATCTCAAACATTAATTGCTATTTCTCCACTTATGTGAACTAATATTTAATAGAATTTAAGATAATTATAGCAAAAAAAATGTTAATGATACTGGTATTCCAAAGTGACAATAATATAAGTTAGTAATTTTTTTCTCAATTTCATTATTTGTTGTGTATATATATATATTTCTCTCACACAAGAAATATATTTATGTAGGAGAGATAATTCATTTGTATATGGAGGAAATGAGGAAGAAAGACAATTATGAATTATGTAGAGAAATTTGGCTGGAATGTAGAATTTAAAAGAGAATTCATGATCCTTCTTCATCCACGACACTTGTCTAGTTTGTTGTGGGTATGCAATTGGGGCAAATGCATCGTACGTGCTGGATGCTTCAAATTTCGTTTTCGCCAAATGTCACGATTATCAATTATGCAAATGCAACTAAAACACCCCCACTTCATTTCCTTATCCCCTAGAAAAAGTGCACAAAAGTTAGGGAAGAAAAGAGAAAAAAGAGAATGTGAACAATATAACAAATTAGTGAATTACACCCTTTTCCTCATTAAAATAAAAATAATAATAAAATAAAAATTGGATAGTTCTTGATACTTATACAAGAAGATTTAATAAGTTTGATTGATGTATATATAAATATCACTCATTAAGATATTTTTTGCTTGATTGTTTTGATGTAGGCCTACAATTTAATATCGTTGAATTCGAACGTGATTTTAACTTTTTTTTTTTTTTTTTGTGATTTTGACGGAATGCAAACCACATAAATTGTAGTCTTTTGAGATATGATTCTAATCCAACTTGAATCTGCTAGATTGGATGTCGGTGATAAAGTTATGCCTGAATGAGTTATGTTTTGAATTTTAAACAACTCAAAACATTAAATTATGTGCAGTGTTCATTGAATCAGGCATATATTTCTCTCCCGACATCCAATCTTGGTGATTCTAGTTGGATAAGAAAGTTATCTCAAAGAACAACAAATCCCGAGTTTTGAGTGTTGTCGAATTCAGACTCAAAATTATACAAATCACGTTTGAAGTCAAAACGACATACTTAAACATCCAATCTTGATGATTCTACTTGGATAAGAAAGTTATCTCAAAGAACAACAAATCCCGAGTTTTGAGTATTGTCGAATTCAGACTCAAAATTATACAAATCACGTTTGAAGTCAAAACGACATACTTAAAACTTAAATGACATTTATCATATCCCTAATTAATTATTTGGAATGTGTGGTCGTACCTAGACCTTTTGTGATATACTATTCGTTATGCTATTCGTTATTCAGAATAGTATCTCCAAGACTCAATGACATAGGAATATAGGATGATTCTTTAATTATTATGAATTATGATTTTATATATATATATATGGTATTTGTCCTCCCATTGGTTGAGGTATTATGCACAGAAAGCAGTAATTTGTTGCAATTTGCAAATGAATCAAAGTATCAAATAATTGGTAAATAATTAACCTCCAAAAAAGGAATAATTAAATAATATAAAAATAACTGCAACATCATAAAAATATTTACAGGAAAGGTAAGTCGACCGACCTCACAAACAAATAAACTCCACTCACATTATTCATTTCTACATATTGGTTTGAAACTTTCCTTTGGAGGCAAAAAAAAAATAATCAAACCCTCTCAGCAAATATCAAAAGGGCAAAAAAGACCTACAATTTCACACAGAATCTACTGCCTCAACCTGTTGCCGAGCAAGATATTTCTCCCTTCTTTCTTTCTGAAAAAGAAACAGGTTGAGAAAAGGCCACAATTAGAAACAATCAAATAAAAGTTACCAGTATTATAATTTAAAAATAATTATATACGTACCCATTCGTCTATAACAAGACCTTCCCCAACGACAGGAGGGCCTGTGTCTGCTGGTGGCTTCTTGCGGGTTTCTATTGCAGCATCGGCTTCAGCCAATTGACGCTTCAGTTTTTCGAGTGCCTTAATATTGATTAATGTCATCAGAATACAGAAGTGGTAGCGAGCAAAAGAATCGTCATGGAAAAAAAAAAAGAAGAAAAAAAAAAAGAGGTCTTACGGGAGTAGAACGCTCGGGATCCAAGAAAACAACCCGCAATATACGTTCAACAACTACTTGATCCCTTTGCTCGTCAAACTGCAGAAGTGAATTCAGATTATACACGTTTATTGAAGAGGATGTCGCGATAAATAGGAAGCAAATTGCAAGTTAATATGAGAATAAGGGCCATGATGCAAAATGATAATAAATTATCAATTTTCCAGCTAAGGTTACAAAACACCCTGTATTTGGCTCCAATGTGCATCTTAGTCTAGTCAAACTGTGAAAGGTTGCTGTTATAAGAACAAGCGCAAGATTTCATGGATCGAATGTAAAGAACTTGAACATTCTTGTACAAACAGAACACCGTTAACTATGTTATTAAAGTCTCACAAATCTTACATCACCTTGAACATGAGAGTTTATCAACTTAATCAAACCTTCACGTTTCTCTTTTAGGTTAAATTTGACAGAAAAAACATTGACAAATCATTTACAAGGAGAAAGCGGTTCTGTTTCATAGATCTCCATAACCCCATTAACAAAAAATCGGGAAGGGAAAAATACCACAAGATGTGTGTCACTTTACTGTGAAAATTTTCTTGCAGCATAAATCAGCTATATTATCAGGTTTAGTGACAATCAAGTAGCATAATTCCAAGAAAGCCATCATGCATATTCAGTACTAAGTAAGATTCAAGAATCATTGGTGAAGATGAAGGATCCACTCATTTCTTTTTCTTTTTCCTTTATAGTTATTCTACAGGGTAAGAGAAGTACTGAAGTAATGATGCTTTGTTAGCTGAATGCCTATATCAAGATCAAATACTTAGGAACTAGTTCATTAGAAAAATAAATAAAGTGGTTGTACTCTCATTTAAAATATGCTGACATCAAGCCCATAACAAAGCTCAATCTCTTCAAAATCCCTGGTCAAACAGGATTCACTAAGGTGGGAAGAAAAAAAGTTAATTCAATTAAAAAATTCCTACTGAAAGCTATGTTGGTAGTTGATATACAATCATAGCGGCCGTTAAGTATAATAACAACTTCAATTCCCATCAATCAAAGCCTTATAAGTTGGGTGGGAACTGCATTCTGCATTTATAAACTTCCTACTGAAGATACAGAAGCAATTGCTAACATTAAACACAAACGCAGTGCATGTTAAGTAAATATTACAAATGATTGCAGTGGTAACTTGAGATCATAATTGATGTTGACGTAAATAATGAACTTGTTGAAAAGTAATGACAATCGTTAATACTTTTATCCATATTTTTCTACCTGTAATGCCTCTATATGAGGCCCCAACTATAGGCTCTTAAAATGAACTTAGTGCATCACAGCTTTCTATCGTATTACTTTAGAATTGTAAAACACCAAATAGTACATGAGCAATGCTTTTGGTGTGGAAAAATCACTTACCAATTCAGGCACATAATCGGTTCCCTCCTTCACCTTAAGACTCACAATTTTGAACTTAACCTTGCTCTTTTGATTTATATGTTTTTCGTTGTTCTCTGGTTGCTCCATGAACTTGAATACTGTCAACCATAAAATATAATTAGATTTACTGGAGACGAAAACAGCTCTCGATATAAACATGTAAGAGATCCAATAATTAATCACAACCACACGAAACTTAAAGGTGACAAAAAAATATTTACCAGTTGCTACGAGGCCTTCTCCAGGAGCAAGGATACCTCCAGGGGGTCGCATATAACAACTCTTCGGTGCAGTTGTTTGAAACTACAGAAAGCAGAATAAAACCATCAAGCCACTTTCCCAAGCACAAGTGCACAACTTATTTAGGTCACATGTAACATATTTTCGTCTCTGGACTTGTTTTTCGATATTAAATAATTAACAATTTGGAGTCTCGAGAGATATCAAACAAAAAATTATTGAGCAATTAAATCAACATGTTTTACATATAAAATGATTTAAAAAGCTACTTCTCCAATCAACAAATGAAACAAGTACCTTGAATGCAACATGAGACTTGCTGGAATTCCTAATCCTAACAGCACTCCTCCCCTGCTTTCCTGGTTCATCTTCGAAATCATAAACACGAAACAGAATATCAAACAGTTTGTCAGCATTCATCACGCAATAATTCCATATTCATTTCACTTAAAATTCCAATTCCGTACTCAATTTATCCAATTCTGAACAATACGAACCGCACTCACACATCTTAATAACGATACCACAATTGTAAAGGAAGAGAATAAAGAAGGAATACAGGATAATGTAGAAATGAAGAGAGTCGACAATTACGCACAGGGGAAGTAGAGGTTGTTGGAAGGATCGAGGCGGAGCCTCCGCCGCGCGGGGAGAAGCGATCTGGCCACGGAGGAGACGGTGGAGGAGCGCGTGCCTGAAGCAGCGACGCCGTTTTGCTGGCTGTGGTTCTGCGGCTGATTGTTGAGATTTTGAGTGGAAGAAGCAGATGAAGACGGCGTTGCAGACTGCCACAACGGACAGAGGCGCCACTTGTGATGGTTGCGGTGGTGGTTATCGGCGATAGCCATGGTCGCCGGAATCTGGAGATGGGATTTTTTGTTCTCTTTATCTTTTATTTATGTTTATCAGTGATTCGATTTCTGAGTCATGAAAATTGCGTTGACTTAACACGTAAATTGAGTTGTAAAAAGTCAGAACATACCTGTTTATATATAGCGTGTGAAGATGAGCTGTACTCTTATAATTATTTTTTCATTTAAGATGTGACAAGAATAATTTGCTTAACTTTTACCCGGGAGAGGGTGAAAAAGCGCAATTTCGGACTTCGAAAGAGGGTTTGAAAATAATTTACTCATATTTTAAGGGGTGTAGTGTAAATTAATTGATCCAACTTTTACTTGAATTTTTATCTAGTTTTGAAATTTGAGTACAAGTTTATAATTGATAAGCAGTTGAATAGGATTCAAACGAGTTGTTAATCTAGTAGCTAGCTTTATTATTTGAATATATTTTATTATTTTTTAATCGAACTTGAGCTCGAGCTGAACTTCATAGCTTATCTTACAAAAATATGTATTCAAATTTGATTCATTCATTAACAAACTAAATCCAAACGAGCTTTTGATGCACGATCTCGAATAGTTTGGTTTGATTTTCCGTATGAGCTTATTACTTTCTTGTTCCTACAACTAAAAATCGAAAGTCATCCCATTTGATAGGCTTAAGTAATTTTAGTATATTGGTAAACATGCATTGTTACTATCTTTTCTACATATTTAGTTTGAAACACGATATTGTCTAAATATGCGACTACACTAGAATTTTGATAAATTAATATTTTTGCTTAAATAATAGTATATTCTGGTCCTGATCTTGTAAAAATCAATTAAATTATTAGTTTGATAATTTAATATTTCGCTAAATTAATAGAATTTTGTTAGTCTCAACTGTATTAATTATGGTCATGAAAATGGTACCGAAAATCTAGTTATTATTGCATATTCTAAACACAGTACACATTTTCCTTGAAAATAAAATGATATTTGTTTTTATTTTGATATCTGTTTAATGTACTTTTCAATAGGTATCAATTATATTAAGTGGTAATTGCATGATTAAGTAGTATGAGTTGGAAAAGGGTGAAAATTGTAAATAATTGTGTTGTACGGGGCCCTACTTGATATATGTCGGCTAGGTTTGTTGGTATAGGGTTAGTTGGAAGGTGGGAATTAATTAGGTAATTAAATGATATACACTCAGGTTGAAAAATTAAATTCTTTAGTACATTGGGCTAGTCAAAAAATAATTATTCAATAAATGCGTTTCTATCTATATTTGCATGTATTTAATTTCAATGCCTTAGGGATTTGATGAGCTTTAATTGGTAAAGTTGGAATTTTTTTTTTTTTAATATTTTATATACTGGGAAGGTGGAGCTTTTACTAGCAGTGAAGAAAATGGGAATAATTAATTAATTGTGTATCCTCTTTATAAAATTTTAGTTGGGGGTTACCTACTTTCTCTTAAGAATTTGGTTTGTTTTTGTCTTACACACCATGAAGGCATGAACTTCATCATAGAAGCTAAGTTATAATAATAAAAATTAAATAAAATTAAAAAATATGAATTAACTGAAATTTTTAATTTATATTTTTAAGGATTGTGTTGGTTGTAAGAGATGTAGTATGCCTGCGAAATTTTAAGCGTTCGAGTGCATTGTTATGTTTTATTATATATAATTTATATTAGACTAAAAATAAAAAAATAATTAAAAAGTCCGCGAGTCACTTCGTGAGCTTATGAACGATTAAAGATGACCTCAAACTCGAATTTTTTTAATACATAAAGAAAGCCAACTTGAAGCACTACAAATTTGGTGTTCTGAATTTTGTTAAATTCGCAGTGAAATATGGCCTAACAACATTTTTCTATAGGGATTATATAATATAACATTTATCGAAAAAGTAATAGAGTAACAAATATTGAGATATACGCAAAAATACCCTGTGTAATTTTTAATTGCCAAGAAAATCCCATGTTAAAAATATTAGCAATGATCCTCTTTTGTTGCATTTGATTGGTTTGAAATGACGAAACTACCCTACTATGTTTTCAATCAGGCCCGGTTCTGAGGGGAGACGAGAAAGGCGGTCGCCTCGGGCCCCCGATTTTTTACGAATTTTAGGGGCCCCCGATTTTGGAAAAATAGCCCTTATACATTAGTATTTATTAGTATTTATTTATTATATATAAAAGACAGAAAAGAGAAATTAAAAAAGAACTATGATGAAGATTCGTCAACTCTTTGTCTTCGATTCTCCATTATCTCGTTCTTCTTGTTTTAAGATTGCGTAAAAAAAATCCAGATTTTCGTAATTGTGATTATCTTATATAGGTGTACTTAGTACTTGAATATATAGGAGTTTCCTTGTGCAATTAAAATTCCTATAATGCGTAGTCGAGGAACTACAGACGGCCGTCCGAAATTTAGTTCATTTTCTCAGACGACCGTCTCAACCTTCTATTAGATTCTTTTTCCTCCCGGGACGACCGGTCGGAGAATCTGCTGAAATCTCCAGACGGGCGTCTCAGTTCTATTTTTGGTCTGTAGTTGATTGTCTTCCCTTGCCCGTTCTTTACCGTTCCATCCTCTAGACTCCCGATTCTTCAATATGTACCTAAAATATAATAACCAAGTCATTAAAAATCATTCAATCAATAAAATTGCACAAAAATCCTCATGAGAAAATATAAAGTGAGTGTAAAACTTACACTCAACAACTCTAAAAAAAATCGGGGGCGATGCCCCCCGTACCCTTCAAGTTTTTTAACCTACTATGTTTTAATTACTTCGAACAAAAAAAAACCAATGTTGCTCTTGCTAGGGGCCCCCGTTTCAAATATCTACAGAATTCGCCTTGGGCCCCCGAATTTCTAGGAACGGGCCTGTTTTCAATGATATCACAATTTAAAAGAAAAAAAAAGGGGTCACCAATCCAAACCCATTCATCCTTCTCATCCAAATTGAACATGGTTTTGCAAGTCTTTGCCAAAAATGGTCGAACCCTTTTGAGGCCGTGGTTGGAAAGGCTAACGGGAAGGACAACATATATCAAGGTTGAAGAAGACTTTTCAAAAACTAATAAGGACTGAATTGAAAATTTTAAAAATATCCTTTCGGGCATATGACACTACGCGGTGGATATGAAATTTTTATAGTGCTATGATATGCAAATGGGGAGACTTCTATAAGTCCAAGTCTTCTCTTTGAAAATTAATAAAATAAGGGTGCTACTATTTTCACAATTTTAACTATTGTATTCTTCATTTAACCATGAGGTAAATTATGTCCAACTTTGAAGTAAAGTTCAATTACGAAAACACCCCTTATGTTTGGGTAGTTACACGTCCACTTTTCTGCTGTTAAATTTAGTGATATATATCTTCGAAATTATGTGGAATATTTATCAGTTTGTATTCGATTTACCTCACTCGAACTCCACATTCGGATTAGATTGTGTGCATCAGAAACTGTATTTTTGCACAAAATCAGTACAAGTTAAAGAACATTCCTCAAAATCTAGAAAACTATGTTGAATTTGACGACGCAAAAGTGAATGAGTAAGAAGATTTCGAGTTGAGGGGATAATTGTAATTATCCAAACATGAGGGGGTTTATCGTAATTTGGCCTTTAATCATATAATTAACAAAAATTGGCAACTATAAATTGCAAGATTTCTCGTTCCACGACCAATATATGAAAAAAAAAAAAAAAAAAGTAATAATAGACTAACAAATTAAATATCGAAAGAGATGCAAAATCCAATCCAGTTATGGGCTGGGCCCACTTCTATTTTGGGCCTGGTGAATTATTGAAATTCCCAATTGGGCCCATCAACTATTCAAATAAGCAAATTGCAAAGAACTGATTTTGATTTTCTTTTTTCGCTACCTGAACTACATACGGGCAAATTAAACCAGGCTGCCAATTCTGACTCAATTAGGAAAATCTGAAACAGCGTAACAACGATTGAGTTATATATAGTAGGAAAGATTCAGTAAGGGCAAATCGGAAAATAACAAAGATTCCTTATTTGCATGAATTATATATAAGGAAAATCCTAGTTCTATACCATCTTGGAAGCCACTTAAACCCCCCCTCTCTCTCTCTATATATATATATGCATATACATCGATCTTCACTTTATCAAACGCATATTCCAACTTTCACGAAATATTTTCTTTTTCTGTTCAATTGGAAGTATATTGACTTAAGGCGAGAGAATTACGAAGAAGATCGATCGATGGCGCGCGATACCGCAAGATTCGACGCTTTGGTTAAAGTGGCCCGCCAAAGATTACAAGAACTCATCGAAGCAAAGAAGCACGCCCGATCGAAATCCTGCACGTCGACGTGGTCCCCTCCCCGGCGGCCAAGAACCAAAAGAATAATTGTCGAAGACAAGCCTGCTGTACTAATTGAAACCGCCGATGATGATTGGAAAGTAGATCAAGATGAAGAAGAACAAGAAGAAGACGAGGAATATTCCAACAACAAGGCCAAGAGAAGGAAGTTGTCCAATAATATTCCGAAGAAGAAAAAAGAACCGATCGGGAACGGGCCCCACACACCGCCGCCTCTGCCAGAAGAATACAAGATGGTGATCCAAGAAATCGGGAGAGGGAGAAATATATCGGAGGAGATGAAGCTGGTTATCCAAAAGGGATTGTTCGAGACAGATTTGGCTAAGGCGAATAACAGGCTATCGATCCCTTTCACGCAGGTTCTTGATCATAGTTTCTTGACGGACGAGGAGACTCACTTTCTTACGACTCGCGATGGAAACAACAAGATGAAGTTCAAAGAAGTCACGATCATCGAGCCCTCGTTGGAACGGGATAAAGTGAAGTTGAGCAGATGGGATATGAACAAGGCCAACGGCAAAAATACGTCTTCGAATTACGTAATAAACGGAGCATGGAGACACGTTGCAGAGAGGAATAATCTTAAACCTGGGAATGTGGTCCAGTTGTGGTCTTTCAGGATCGATCACGAGTTGCATCTTGCTCTTGTCAAGATCCCAAATAATAGTAATAATTAGGGTTTTTTTTTATAATTAATTTTGTGATTTTGGAGTTTGAATATGGTTCGATTATTATTGGATCATAAGTTGGGGGTATTAGGGTTTTCATTATTTGTTTTTTGAATAGGTAAATAACAATAAATCCTGGTTAAGTCTGTTCTATATTACGATGAAAACGGCAACGTATCGTAGCCTTTGTCATTTATCGATCGAGTTTTCCTAATTAGTTATGTTGATGTTGTTATAATTTTAATTTCTTCTTGCTCCTACATAAATTTTCCACTTTCTTGTTTTTTTTCTATCGTTTATTATTTGACAGGTAATTAAATTATGGTAGATATTAATTAATCTTCGATCGATCTTCTTTCACGTGTAATCGGCACGTTCACACCCGTTAAATAAAACTTATGAGAAATATTTTGCATATATTCATGTTTATATTATACATCAAGGCATAGATCAGTAGCTAGTCCAATTAAAACTTTTAGTTGATATATATGTTGATTGTTCTAAGGATGTCCAGTGGCACTGTGGCAGTACACAATTTCTGAATAAACTAATTCAATATTAAATAAACTACAATTATTTAATTAAGGGTAAATTACAACCATCCCTGAGGTATACTAAATTAACAAAAAACCCCTCATGTTTGGATAATTACATTTATCCCTCGACTATGAATCTTCTTACGTCTTCACCCTTATGGTGTCAAATTGAACATAATCATCTAGATTCCGTCGAATGTTTTCTAGTTTGCACTCATTTTGTGCAAAAATACAGTTTCGGATGCACCACAATCTGATATATACAAGTCAAAAAACACATCTTATGATCATCTTGCTTCAAAATATGGAGCTCGAATGGAATAAAACGGGTTTAAATTTGAGAGTATTCCATATAATCTTGAAAATTCCACTAAATTTGGAACCGTAATGGTGGACGCAGGGGCGGATCTAGGGGGTGGCCAAGTATGCCATGGACCACCCCAAATAATGAAAATAAATTTGTCTTAGTGGCAAAGATCTCCAAGTTGTTAGATGAAGTCATGAGTTCGACTCCATTATGGTACAAAAAAGTATTGTTTAATTTTTTTGTCTAAATTTCTTTTGAGCCCATCTCCCATAAACACATTATATTATATCTATATTAGTATTTAGTCCACCCAAATTTCAAAATATACAAAAAAAAGTCCTAACGTTTTTTTTTAGCCCCTCTCCCCAAAAACACATTATATTATATCTATATTATTATTTAGTCCACCCAAAATTCAAAATACACAAAAAAAGTCCTAATTTTTTCTTGTTTTTTAGCCCTTCTCCCCAAAAACACATTATATTATATCTATATTATTATTTAGTCCACCCAAAATTCAAAATATACAAAAAAAGTCCCAAATTTTTTCTTCTAAAAAAAAAAAAAAAGTTTCAATGTTTTTTTCCCTTCTCCTAATTTATCCAACAAAAAAATGTTTCAAATTTTTTTTCCGGGTGCGCTGCCCCCGAACCCCCAAAAATGTAACCCCACTATACAGTAAATTCTTGGACTCGGCACACCCAGCATACCCCGAATTTTCGTTCTGGATCCGCCACTGGATGGACGTGTAAGAAGATTTATAGTTGAAGGGTGGTTATAATTACCCAAACACGAGGGGGTTTTTCGTAATTTGATCATACCTCTGAAGTGTGGTTGTAATTTACCATTTAATTAATTAATTGTATCTAAAAAATATCCAAAGAGATACAAAATCCAATCCAGTTATGGGTTGGGCTCACTTTTATTTTGGGCCTGGTGAATTTTTGCACTTCCCAATTAGGCCCATCAACTATTCCCAGTAAGATTTTTTTTTTTTTTTTTATTGGCTTTGGCTACCTGAGGCACAGGTAACAGGCAAATTAATCAAACTTGGCTGCCAATTCTAATTCAATTAGGAAAAAATCTGAAAACAACTTAACAAAGATTGAGTAAGGGCAAATCCGAAAATAAAAAAGATTCCTTAATTGCATGAATTATATAAAAGGAAAATAAAAAAGATTCCTTAATTGCATGAATTATATATAAGGAAAATCCTAGTTCTATACCATCTTGGAAACCACTTCAACCCCCCCCCCTCTCTCTCTCTATATATACAGCCTTAAGATACATTGATTATCCCTATTTATTATCAAACGTATATTCAATTATTAACAAGGCTATCGAGAGAATTAATTATTAAGAAGATCGATGGCGTGTAGAAAATTCAGACGCGATGAAAACAACAGATTCAAGACTTTGGCTAGATTGGCCAATCAAAGATTACAGGAATTAATGGAAGCAGATGAGCTGAAGAAGAAGAAGAACAGAAACAAAAGAAAATTCAGGAGCAAGCCTGTATTTGAAATCCCCGACGACTTCGTCGATTGGGAAGTAGAATACGAAGAACAACAAGAACAAGAACAAGAACAAGAACAAGAAGAAGAATATTCCGATCGCAAGGCATCGTCGGCCAAGAGAAGGAAGTCGTCGTCCAATAATAATAGTCCGACGAAGAAGAAAAAAGAATCCAGCGGAGAAGGGTCGTCGTCGTCACAGCCACCGCCGCGTCCTCTGCCGGAAGAATTCAAGGAGGTGATAAGAAGATTAGCGCAAGGAGGAAAACGTGTATCGGAGGAGAAGCTGGTTATCGAAAAGGGATTGTTCAAGACAGATTTGGCTAAGGGAAACAACAGGCTGTCCATCCCTTTCACGCAGGTTCTTGATCATACTTTCTTGACCGACGAGGAGACTCATTTTCTTACGACACGCGACGGCAACAACAAGATGAATTTCAAAGAGGTCACGATTATCGAGCCCTCGTTGGAACTGGAGAAAGTGAAGCTGTGCAGATGGGATATGAACAAGGCTAACGGCAAGAATACGTCTTCAAATTACGTATTGAACGGAGCATGGAGTAACGTTGCGCAGAGGAATCATCTTGAACCTGAGGATGTGGTCCAGCTTTGGTCTTTTAGGATCGATCAGGAGTTGCATCTTGCTCTTGTCAAGATCCCACATAATAATAATAATTAGGGTTTTTTTTTTTGTGATTTTGGGGTTTGACTATATATGGTTCGATTATTGGATCATAAGTTTGGGGTATTAGGGTTTTCATTATTTGTCTATATTATAGGTAGAAGGATAAATCCCGGTTAAGTCTGGTCTATATTATGATGAAAACGGCAACGTTTCGTAGTTTTATCTGATATAAGTTTATCGATCAAGTTTTCCTTAGTTATGTTTTAGTTGCTATATATGTTGATTGTTCTAAGGATGTCCAGTGGCAGCACACAATTTCTCAAAAAACTAATTAAATATTAAATAAATTACAATTATTTAATTAATTATATCTAATTTTACCAACCAAATTAATGAGGCCTTGTTTTGCACTTTAACCAGAACTGCTATATTCGTAAAGGACCTGGACCTATTGTTAGAAGGCCCAATCTATGGGACTCATGTCCCCTCGTGATTGTTACAAATTTCACTATTGTTATATCTTATATGTATATGTATATATATATTTTTAATAATGTACTATTGTAATCTCTCCTAAATATATTTTTCAGCTATTTAATTATGAATAAAAATTGAATTAATTTAGTATAATAGTGTTTTTTTAGCAATTGAAACATAATTAACGTTGTTCTAATTTCATACATGCCTACCTGAAGCGCGATGAATACAATTGGAAAGAACTCGTCATCGAACCAGAAATTGACAGCGAACTTTTGAAATGGACACTCACAATTTGACAGAAACTTTTGAAAATAGGTACCGAAACTTTAAAATTATATTGACAATATATTTTGAAAATATGAGGTGAAATTCAAATATGCCTAGGGCACATCCCTCAGTCATCACAGATCGCGGCCACAATGTTACAAAGACTTTTAACTAATAAAAATCCGGGGTTGATTATATTTAAGCAATGGTGAACTTTTACCGGAAAAAAAAAACGTATTCTTATTGCTAATAAAATTACATCTAAGAGACTTTCATCATATTCTTCCCTTAAAGTGTTTGAATAATAAACTTATAAGCTATTTATACTCATTAGGAGATCTTAAGTAAAAATGTGGGATTATAAATACTTTTTTTTAAAGGATGTTAAAACTTAAAAGCTCTCCGACAGCTTAAGGGGTGTAACTGTAATTATACATAACCTTAGGGGTAATGAATATAAATTACCGAAATATTGATTTGGACACAATTTGATCCGGATAACAAAATATTCGCATCCGTCTATATATATATCTATGGGTTTTGCATTCAAAAGTTACCAAAAGATTTTATTGGTAATAAAATTTTAAAGTAGAATTTGCAGCCACACAGTAGTAGACAAGAAAGATGCCATTTTCTTATCGTCCACAAGCTGCTACTTTAATAAAATAATAATATATATTCTTGAATACACGTCCAGTGCTTTTAATTTGTTCTTCTGAGTTATAATCCTCTGTGTGGAGGTCCACGGCCCATTATGATGGACGTCATCGCCATTGATTGCATTTAAAAAATTTCTTCATACAGAGAACCTTCTTTCTTATATATATATTATATATATATATATAATATTCTAACTCTCTCTCAGTCCTATCTTCTCTCTCATTCCTATCCACATATATACATATTTCCCTCTCTCTCTCTCTCTCTCACACACACACACACACACACACACATAAAAATCTAATTATTGGCTGGAGTGTCGCCATGTCATCATTTTAGATTCTGAACCAATGGACCAAAATAGCTTGCAATTTATTTCTTCAAGATTTTTATTGTGATTCAACCTGTCGGATGGTGATTCTTTATTTTATTGTTATATATATACATAATACATTAATTACAAAGTTTCCAACTAGCTGAATTTCTTTAGAATTGCATTTGAATTTGAATGGTATCTTAATCTTATCTTGTTTTTCAAAAAGTATATATATACTTAGTTTGTAGTAATGTGAAATTATCTGAAATTATTAATTGATATATTAATGGAAATACAAATAATATAACGTTCAATATTTATTCTCGTGGGGAATATGCTCTAGACCCTTATAAAAAAATGATCCGTTCACACCCTTTTTTCCTATAAAAATTCAATCGTTTTTTTGTTTTCTCTTCCTATTGAAGTTTACAACTAATTTTCACATGTTCTCGGCCGATTTTCAGTTAATTTTTAGAGTATTACATATATACTACCAATATTCATAATTTTGTTGACATATTTTATTTGAATACTCAAATTTCGTTGTTAGTTTTAATAAATTACTCATGTTTTATTACGACATTTATATCGCTTTTATATATGCAGGTTGCTGTCAACTTGTATGCTAAAAAATATTTACTCGTATTAAAATTGAAAATCTTTACTATTAAACCGCCAAATTACGAAAATTTATCGTAAGGGCAAAAAATAATTAAGAATTCTACTACAAATAAAAATAATAATTATTCTATTTGTAAGATAAATGCGAAAACAAAATTGCTCTAATACGCCTATTCATTTATAATGAAAATAAATAACAATGGCTCTTTTTAAAATAAATAAAATAATAATAAGGGCAAATTACGGCCACCTCCCTAAGGTATGACCAAATTACGAAAAAACTGCTCTTGTTTAAGTAATTACAATCACACTCTCATTTTAGATATTTTTACATAAAATTTATGTAATTCAATTATTTACCGAACCAAATCGTATATTCAGTTCGGTAAACGGTAAGAATTATTGGCGTACCGAAATTTCGGTTCCATTTCACCGATTTAACATCCCTAAATTTACCTCTAAAAGTGTTTTTTCGTAAGATAACACATAATTGAAGAGTGACTGTAATTATCCAAAACAGAAGAGGGTTTTTATAATTTGACTATAACTCAGGTGATTGGCCATAATTTGCCCTAATAATAATTAATTCAAATATCAGCAGTCATGAATGCTTAGAATTGCCAAATCAGCTGCCACGTATGAATGTTCACATGGCATCGCCACGTCACGAATAAAATAAAAAGGGAAAATCCTCGCCCATTCCTTTGGTTTCGTGCTTCCGTGATCATTTTTTGGGCTTTGATAATATAAAATGTATTATTTTAATAAGAAAAGATTAAAAGAATAAACAAATGGTAAAGAGATTGGGCTGAATTATTCGTGTATCGATATCCACGACACACCGTAAATAAAGGAAGATGGGCCAATTTTTTTTATTTTTTATTTTTTTCTTTTAAAAAGTCAAGAATAATAAATCGTGGACCAGGTGAAATTCACATGCCTCAATCCCTCTCGTGGACCAGAACTTGCCATGTAGGCAATACGGGTTTGTGAGAATCTAATATGGCTCTTGCAACGTGACACGTAATCAACACCTTTGATTAATCATTATTTATTCTTTAATCCCCTTCTTATGGACCACACAAATATCCTTTGGAGTCAGTCCCCTACGCCTAAATGCATGTTTATCACTTTCATAATTTTGAATTCACTATAGTAACTTATTTACAATATTTTAATTTTATTATATTATTATTAATCCATCCATTTATATTCATACATATCCACTATTGTATAATAATAGCTTGAATTACACTGAACAAATTAAACGTGACAAACTCGGTTAAAATCATGAGTTGAAAATGACTTTTTAGAGTTTTTTTTCCCCTAAATTAACTCTATAAGTAATCATATACTAAATAAAACTCAAAATAACACGATCAATGGTCATGTGATGTATTGAAAGTACAAGGGACTATGTGCACAAGATTCAAACTATATGGGGTTAAATGATATTTATCCTAAACCAAAACATAATTAAAAAAATAAAAAAAAAATGTTTGAATGAGAGAATATAAGCCCTAATGTGCAAAGAAAAACATTACCGGGGGCGGTTTAAAACTTTATAGTATTGTTGTTTTGGGAAAAAAAGAAAAGAAAAGATAAGTAAGGTGGTTTGATGCAAGTTGCAGTTTCCGTGTGGGCAGGCATCATAATTACCATTTTAGCCTCCACATTGTTTTTTTCCCTTTATAAAAGATCCCCACACCCATACAAGATAGCCCTCTCTCTCTCTCTCTGAAAAATAAAAATAAAAATAAAAATAAATCTTACAGGACAAGAAAAACAAATAAAGGAAGGAGGAGGAAGAATTACTTACACAGATCGAAGAAGAAGAAGAAGAAGAAGAAGAAGAAGAAAATTACAGATCTTAATCAAATGTCTGCGAAGGGATGTGAGCTGTGCGGTAATCCAGCGAGAATGTTCTGCGAGTCCGATCAAGCCAGCCTCTGCTGGGATTGCGATGAGAAGGTTCACGCCGCTAATTTTCTGGTGGCCAAACACAGCCGCACCCTCCTCTGCCACGTATGCCACCGCCTCACGCCGTGGAAGGCCGCCGGACTTAAGATCGGCCACACCGTCTCCGTCTGCCACTCCTGCGCCCACGACGCCGAGAATCGCGGCGGCGGTGGTGATTCTCAGGAGAGCGAAAGCGACGGCGGAGAGTACTACAGCGACACAGAGGATGATTTTAGTGAGGCGGAGGAGGAGGAGGAGGAGGAGGATGGAGAGAATCAAGTAGTGCCGATGTCGGCCTCCCGCTGCGATTCGCCGCCGCCCGCCGTCGCCGCCGCGGCGAGCTCTTCCACCAGTGAAGAAAATGTCTCATATTCCTCTTCAAAGAGGACCCGCGACGAAACTTACGACTCCCAGGTAATTTCTTCCGTCTTTGTTTTTCATTTGATTTTTTTTTTTTCTCAAATAAATAAATAAACAATTGGAAAAATTAAATTAATTCATTATCCTGAAACAATTTGGAACTGATATGTTTAATTACAGGATGAGGATGGTTGCTGTTCGTCGGGCTCGAAATTATTAAACGCGTCGGGATCAAGTTTACAAGAATCCGACGAGAATTACACCTCTTCATCACTCAGACCACTGAAAATGCGGCGGAGGAGCGACGGCAGTCCAATGAATCCGGCGGCGGATACGGCAGGGTCGTTAGGGACAAGCGCCATTGTAGAGAAACTGAAAAGATTCCAGCAACAAATTGCAACTGGAGAGGGAAACACATCTGCAACGATATTAGGTCTTTGCAAATTAGCAAGAGATTAATTCCTTTGATTCTTGCAACATTTCTGTTTAAATCCCTCCATTACTAATATTCCCCACCCAGATTTCACTATACTGTTAGGTTTTTTTTTTTTTTTTTTCAATTAATTAACCGAGATACAATTTTTTTTTTATTTAAATTTTAATTTTTCAATATTATATTTTGGTATGCTCATGTGGCTGGATTTGGATTCTTAACTATATTTATTTTTTTATTGGTTCCAATTTCATATGATCACATCAATCCAGTGAATTATCAAAAAAATTAAATTAACTTGTAGCGTTTTGGTTGAGCTTCAAATTTGGCCCCAAAAATGTGTTCATCTATTCAATTTGAATCGTATATTTGATTAAGTAACAACCTGCTAAGCACACACATACACACACATGTATGTGTGTGGCATTTGCTTATTAAACATATGTTTCCATGTGCTTGATTCAATATGAAATGTGACAAAACATGTTTAATTTTTGAAATTGCACTAATTATGCTAACTGATGAGAGATGAAAGAGAAGGGAAAAAAACCCTACCCCACCCCCATCACCAGAGGCCTAATTCCTTCCTCCACTAACTAGGAATATCTTTATTATTATTATTATTTATTTATTTAATAAAATGTAGTTAGTACATTTACGATATTTATGCCACTTGCTGCTCAATTCCAGCACTGTGTGAGCTTTTCTTTTTTGTGTGGCTTAAAATGGATCTGACTTTTGAGTGTTGAATGAACTTCAAACCAATGCAAATGTTAGAAGACCGAGTGTTGTGGCTATGATCAAATCAAATGGCGATCATTACAAAAACTATTGCGATAAATTTAATACAATTAAAAAAAAAAAAAAAAAAAAAAAAAAAATAATTTGTCTTGTAAGATAGCTACGAGACATAATTTGCTTGGCGGTACAAGGTAATGCGTCTTTGGTGGTGATGCCCAAGATAAGGAGTGGATTGGGAATTGGACCATTCAATTCCAAAAG